GATTTTTATAAACCGATACATTACATTCTGTACATTTAACTTATTAGGACTAAGATTAAGGTTAATACTAAGACTAAGTTAGGACTAATACTTTTTATAAACCAACCATAAGGTTGATACGGCTAAGTTAGGACTAATACTTTTTTATAAACCAACCACTAAACTGATTTGTTACTTCAGACTCCTATTGGTATACTGTTCTGAACAACTAACAAGAAGTGGATTGGATGTAATTTAAATCTTTAAAAATATTTTTGCCTTCAAAATCACAGAAGTATTTGATTTGGCTGTAACTTAGAAACGATACTTCAGTAATTTTTAAAAAAAGCTCTGACAATTTTTTTGCTTTTTATGAAAATAAAAAAAAATGGAGAATAATTTACTTTGTCCTTCACATAAATGTAATTTAATGGAATTATTACCCATTCTTATGGATATTGACACAGAAGAAATAATTGTAAAAATGTGGTAACCCTCTACTTACATCTACTAATTTTTTAATTTATAGCTTTTGCCGTCACAGTTGAATAAAGAATTACAAATGTCTACAGAAGAACGTCTAACAAGACTATCTAAACCTACTAGAAAATACAGAATCTATACAGAAGTCAACACATTTAGTAGGACTCCTGACATTATAGTTTTTCAAAACTTCCAATCAGGATTAATGTATAAAACTACACTTTCCTTTTTGAATTTACATCCAGTAAATATTTTTTCTATAAAATTTTATATAAATTGCATAATTTTCAATAACCTAAGGTTTCAAGACATATCAGAGTAGTTAGTGGAAACTCTCCCTATTTTAAAATAGATGGTCCTGTTAAAGACAGCTCTGTGAAACTTGCACCTGGCATGTCATATACGTTCAACGTAGAGTTCTTACCAACAGAATATAGAAATTATATTCATAATATCACAATAATAACAGATACAGAAAATTTTGCCGTTCCGGTTTATGGTAACTATTAATATCTAATCTGCTGATAAAAATATACATACATATTTTTAAAGACTTATGTATGTCTTCATTTTACATTACTCAAACTTATGCACAAAAATGAATGCTACAAAGTATTTTAATTTGAAATCTTTTATATTTTAGGTTTAACAGGGCAAGCATTATTAAATTTACCAGATCATATAAAGTTACTATCTACAGCTGTTAACATAGCTTCAGAAAAAAAGTTAGTTTTGCACAATTTTGGCAGGACAGCTGCATCATTTACCATGTCGTCTAAAGATCCTTTTTCTGTTTCTCCTTATAAATATTTTTTACAAGCAGATGAATTCATAGAAATTACAGTTACTTGTAAATCACCCAATGTAGGCCATATTAAGGACTGTATCTATGTAACATACAATTATATAAAGCTAATGGTTCATGTAGAGTGCGAGGTATACTCACTAAATACTTATTTAGACATAGATAGCATATTATTCCAAGATATTTACATGGGACTCAAAAGACAACAATCAGTTACAGTTTATAATAATAGTAATCACTTTATCGATTTCAAATGGAAATTGTACAAAAGTTTTGCAGTTGATCAGTACCAAACTTCCAAAATGATAACAAATCTCGAGGGAATGAAAGAATTTGAAAAAAAACGTTCTACCAAGTTAGAAATGTTGAGTGTCATTGACAACGAAGGACATTCTAGAATTTATGAAAAAATGTTTGAAGATCAAGTGGCAGAGTTAAAAACCGACAATTCATATTTGTACCAGAATACAGCTTTCGATATTATACCTCTGGTAATCATTTTGTGGTATACAAACCATATCGGAACTATTTGATTAAAATTAAGGTTTAATTCGAGTTATCAAAATAGAAACAAAAATTCTATAAGTAACGCCTGAAATCGCTCGTTTTCCAGATACAGCGGATATAAAATGAAACAGTTTGTCCTTCGAACAAAATGTAAAAAACATATTTTTCTTAAGAAATCCAGAAATCCAGAAATATGCCACTGATTGCCATATTTGTATGTTAATAGGTTTTTACTTCTACTTAGATACATCGGTGGCCACAGTTTTATAGTGTACGTCAAATAGATGTTTCAGAAAATGTACATTTTTTTTCAAATTTCAACACCCTGCATTTTTTTGTTTAAAATAATTTATTCTATCACTTGATGAAGTTTTTGCCTTAAAACTTGAACAACCCTGCATTTATATTTTAATTCAAGAGTTTTATCTAGATTTTTATTTTTTTTGATGATTTTATTTTAATTTCAACACACAGTATATCGAAAACAAGGCATTTTGGGACATTGCTTCACAGGATTTGTTTTTTCATTTTGATCACTCAAATTTAAATTTTAAGTTTGTCCAATTAATCTAGAACGCCTAATAAAGTTGCAGTTGTGCTTGATAAATATTCTTAGTTTATTACCAAAAACTGTTTCAGGAAGGAAAAATTTTACCAAAGAAATCACAGACATTTACCGTTACATTCGCTCCAAATAAGAATAAACGGTATGAAAGTTGGGCATATTTAGATGTTACAGGAAACACCAGTAGATTACCTTTATACTTGAATGGCACAGGAAGAGGGCCATATGTCAGTCTTAATGTAAAAGTACTAAATATTGGGGATGTTTTTTTGTGTGCGACACATAATTATGAAATTGCTGTAAAAAATGAGGGTAACTAAATTGTTATATATTGGTTTACTTGCTTTGTTTTGTTTACCTTGTAGGAAATTTGTTTTGTTTACCTTGTAGGAAATATACCGGCTACGATAGTTTTTAAAGACATGGTTAGTGACTTTGATGCAGTCATCAAATGTGTACCGAAAAAATTGCATTTACCGTATCAGGATAGTTGCGATGCATTTATATTGAGCTTTTACTCTGAGCTTAAAGGAACATTCATTGAAACAGTTCAATTTGTTGTGAAGGAATCGGAAGAGATTATTCAATTTGTATTGACGTACTTATAGATAATGTAAAATTTATACTTACATCAAATTTATGTCGTATTTTTTAGAGGTAATGTAGTTTGTCCATTACTTAAAACAGATATTCGAGGATTAGATTTTGGCTTATTTCCGTTTGGTAAGTATTTATAAATTATATTGTTTTTATTCACCACGGTAGCGTAGTCGGTCGAGTATGCAGTGGCAAGCATTTCTCGGTCAGACTTACTATTCCGGTCCGGGTTCGATCCCTGGCGTTGGCACTGTCAATGTCGATGGATAAGTGTAGCCCCTTTCCACACAGCCTTTGGCTTTCGATTTGGGGGTTGTCTCATTTCTGTGGTACGTTTTATGTTTTTATTACATGATTACTTTTTAGGTGTAAACCAAACAAAAGAATTTTTCCTTAAGAATGATTGTCAAGTTCCTATAGAATTTAAAATAGTTCTAGAAGAAAATATAGATAATGAGGTAAAGTTTGACCCTGACAGAGGTGTTGTTGATGCTTACACGAAGCAACTTGTTCGCGTAAGATATTTTTATTTACTGAAATATATGCATTTTAACATATACTTATTTTAGGTTGATTTAAATATTTGCCGAAGTAAAGCAGTGGACACAAATTTTAAAGTCGTTATGTGGGGGTCAGAACAGTATTCTTTTAGTAAATTCATAAAATACACGTGCATATGCCCTAAGATAAAATGTGACCCAACTGATATTATAATGAAATTTAGTTTTATTAACTTTGATTATAAGAGAACTATTATATTGACAAATGAGGACAGTGTGTCTGGTTTCATAACTTACACTCCGGAGGTTGTTTTTATAAACAGAATTTAAACTGTTCTATATTGCTGTTTCTTTTTTAGGTTTCCGAGAATAATAACATAGTATGCACTTTAAATAAAAATAATTTTGAAATATGTCCTAATCAATGCGAAGAAGTTGAACTCTCTATAATGACAAATACTTTAGGAATGAGTTGCCTACCTTTAGTGTAAGACTATTAAAAAATACTTGTTCCCGCTTCATTATTTGAATAGAAATATGTTGTTTAAACGAAATCACTTGTCAAGTTTTTGTAAAATTAACTTCATGAAAATGTAAAATTTTGAATTTCTATTTCAGATTTACCGTAGCTGGAGGTGAACCCCAAGAGCTATGCAAAATTACGCTAGACGGACAGGGCCCCGTAATATCGTACAGGCCTGAAGAAATCGATTTCAATGAAATAACTCTTCTGCAAACTGCAGTGAAGGAACTAACTTTAATAAATGATTCACCTATTCCAGCTACTGTACAAATTTCAAAGGTAACAGCTTGTCCTCACTTATAAACATATTTTATGTATCAAGAATTATTTTGAAACTGCTATAGTTATTTTAAAGCTTTTATTCTCAGTCCTAAAATTAATAGAATAAACTTGTAGCCGCCCGAGAGTCTCTTCAAAGTCAATGTAAATGAAATGGATATAATGCCAGATGAAGAAAAAAATATTCGTGTGAGTGTGTATCTGATGGACGTAGGGAAATATGTTAGCAAAATTAATATCACGGTTCAAAATGGAGAATCAATAGACGTAAAAGTTTTTGGGGAAGGTGTGGGACATTCACTTTTATGCGAACCAATTCTGAATTCTGAGTATAATGCTGAGGAATTACTGACACACCAACAATTTGTGTTACCTATAAAAATGACGAACGTGGGAAAGCGATATTATAAAGTACGATGGACATCCTATTCTTCTATTAGGAATTTAAGGGATAAATTAGACCAACCGCATGCTGGGTAAGTGCTTATGAATATTTAGGAAAGATTAAAAACTCGAATTAATGTATTTATTTATAAACAGATATATTTTGTGTATGTACAGTGAAAATTATCTTCCCCTTTTTCTCTGTTATCATTTGAGATATCAAAAAAGTTAAGAATAAAAGTTGCAGGGGTTTTTTAAATTTTTTGACATGACAAAGGCAGTTGAATATTGCACATCTGAGATAAAGGTCTAACTTGTATTTTTCTATATGGAACACCCTGTAGATTTTTACACTATTGGAAGGATTATATGATATTTATCTGCTCCTACTAAAGTATTAGAGACTATTATTATAGACATAGAGAAGTATTAAAGACTATTAATACATTGTTTTTAAGGAGGTAAGTGTGTTTTACCGTAGAAGTGAAAGTAGCTATGGACAACGGGAGGTAAGTGAGGTACGTTACCTCCCTAGGGAAAAAATGCGATTTCGAGTTACAAAAGCATATTTTATGAATAAATAAATAGAAATATTTGATGAACATTATTACATTTTATTAATTATGAATGAATATTTATAGTACAGTTATTACATTTAGTAACATTTATAAAATCTGGATAATTATTACCCTCGCGATTACTAATTGTCACATTTTTCTCAAAATGATTTGACCGCTCGATTTCAGTCACCGGAGGCTCAATATTATCTGAATGGTCCATTAAAACAGCATAATGCAACGTACACTATGTGAACCTGAAGTGTCATTGTAAAGAATCCTGTTGGCTATTTCATTTTAATACTTAAACTGTCAGCAACATAACTTTCTGAAATTGTGGCCGATTTCCAACTACCATGTCCCTAATACATCAACTCCTGTATTAGCCAGTAACGTTGCCGATGTTCTTCAGAATGAATGGCCTGGCCAGGATGTTCTAGTTTCAGAAACTGTGCAATCTTATTAGGAATCATAAAAAGGGTATTCTTGCCAAATGGTTGGTTGTAACTTCTACCCGCTTAATAGCGCATAAAAAAGCGTAAAATTTCTGTTTTAATTTCCAATATAATCTTGATATATTTCTTGAGAATTTCTAGGTGAGAAACAGAACCCAGACAAAAAATAATTGTAAACGTATGTGACATACCATTTTTAGAATCTGGAATTGTAACTACAATAATGTCATCGAAATTTTTGAAATTGATGTTGTCCAAAGTAAGTTCGCATAACTCATCAGAACCGTCACTACCTTCATTAGCAAATATGTGTTATCAGGTGCCTGAATGAGAAAATCGTTGACTTGTTCTCTTGTAAAAACGTTTGACTTTTTTATGTGTATAGCCATCATTCTTATGTTTCAAAAATGCTCTCAACTTGGGGTGTTTTGATATATCCACGTTCTCCTCTATGAAATTAGTTGACTTAATCATTGAGTATCCACTCCACAAACTCGCCGGTGACTTTAAAGTTCCATGAAATATGCTAGCGGTGACATTTCAGAAACACCAGTATTTTTATTTTGGCACCATTCTTTAAAATTTCTATATGCTCGTCCGTAGCTCACTTTCGACTTCTCGGGCAATAAAAATTCGCAGGCAGCATTTGCTGCACTTTCTATTTGAAAATCACTGATTTAGAAATAATAATTCAAAACCAGCAAATTTGCAACTTTTATATAGCTTTGTTTAGAAATACCTTAGAAACGACAAAATTTAAACAACCAAGGTGACTTTGCAAAATTTCGAATAATAATTGATTAAGAAATGTCAAAAAATAAAACCTAATCTTTATTTCATGAACCATAAAGTTAGCAGTTAAGTATAATTTACTACTCTCGGATTCTATTACCAGCCCTCGCTCCGATCGGGCGCAAAATCGTCCTCGACTGGTAAATAATACTTACCTCCTTTATGGTGTAAATAACTATTATTTTTAATAGTTTTTGTGACATTACTTATTTTAATATAGTTTTACAAAATAGCCTTGGAAGAATATTGACAATTAAAGAAAGCAGAAAGGTGTGATTTAGTGACAATTTACTTGATATAAATTAATAATAATAATAATAATATATAAATTAATTTATTTTTTTTTTTGCAAAACGTGTATATACTACATATAATCTCATGGAACATTTCCTTCAAAACTTACCTTTAGAACACTAATACCAAAAAGGGGGCAACAAAATGATGGTGAATTAGAAAATAAGTGTCCTTTATTAAAAATGAATTCTTAATTAAAAACAGTTAGGTAGCTTATTTAATATTTTATCTTGGAAATACAGGAAAACAATTATTTTTAAGAGTTATGACCTTAAGTTACTTTTGTCAATAATAATATTTACATGGTTTTTTTCAATCTTTTTTTTCATCAATATTGATCATCCTGTATCTCTTACATACAGCAAATTTTTTTATTAACTTATAATGTAGAATCAACCTCTAAATTTTGGCCAAACGTTACAGTTACAACCCATTTATTTTCCATTTCAGGTACTGTTTTCGCATAAAACCTGAGTATTTTGAATTAGCCTACCTTGAATCGCAAGTATTCGAAATTCAGGGTCATTCAAATTTCCAAAGACATGTTGAGGAAGAATTTTTCTGTTATGCATTATTTGATAAAACTAATAAAATCCAACTCGTAATGTCGTTTATTATGAAAGCAAGTTTTGTGGAACCTTGTCTCAGCATTAGAAAACCAATACTTAATGTTTTGGTAGCGAAAAATGATTGCTTAGAGCTAGAAGGTGACTGAATATCTTTGCATTAATCAGTGTAGGTAATGTAAAGAAATAAATTACCACATATTTTTTAGATCGCATGTCTTTAGTAAATAACTTAGCTATACCTTTGAATATTAATCTATCTACAACAACTGATTATTTTATTGGGCATGAGGAAGGCTATCAGTCAAGTTTAAGTCACAAACTAGAAGGGAATGAAGCATTAATAGTGAAAATAAAATTTGCTCCAAATTTGACTGAAAAGAGATACAAAAAAAAAACTGGAGCAGTTTTTATTAACTATATGAATCATCCAAACAAGGTAAAAATTTTATCAATAGAAATGACATTTTTGTGTTATTACATATATACATATTATTTTATTATTTAGGTTAAACTTGATCTAACAACCGAAGTATGTTTCCCTACGATAAGTCTGAATGAATCAGAACTGGAGTTTAGTTGTATTCCACTAAATTCATACTCATTTAAAAATGTTATCATAAAAAATATTACATTTTTACCAGCAACTTACTCGTGGGAAATTTTAGAAGAATTTTTTGAAATAGAACCCTTACCACCAGTCAAGGTAATGATATACGGAGTGCAACTTAAGTAAGTGAAAGTATCTCAGGTGACTTTTAAAGTCATTTTAACAAGAACTTCTTGTGAAGGTTCGTACAACCTTTTTTTACATCAGCAGCATAGCTTTCGAGAATAACATCTACACAATCTCTCTGAAGATGTTTGACATGCGCTGATGAAATTTGGCTAGTGAGTTATTAACCTCTAGTGGTTTAACTAAGTAAAGTAAATATTCCCTGAATTTGTGTATAATTATGTCATTTAGAAGAAAAGATACTGGGAGTCGTTACCACCACTGGTGGTTTCTACATAGGGTCATTTGGTCAATAACTTCCGGCATAAATATATGATAATAAAGAAACATTCAATGTATTACTACAAATTATTGACATTTTATTTGTAATAATATTGTATTTTTATTGTAAAAACTATATATTTATTATCTAGCAACCATGGGGGAACGACTTTTAAACTGTCCTCGAAGCTTGAAGCCGAGGTTCATATTTGCATCTAAATTAATGGGTTGGAATGAATGAAATGAATGAAAGAGAAAGAAAATGAGAGTGGGGAATAGCCAATCGTCGATTCTTGCCATGTTTCTTTATGTGCAATGCATTGCAATGTTTATAGTCAAGTTCAGTGACCTGATCACTCTAATGTACAGTATGCTATCTAGACAGTACTCGAGTAAATTGTACAAAGTAAAAAGTACTTGGTACTGGGTACTCATGAAAACTTTTGTTTTGTCAGTACTCAGCACTCGAAATTTTTAAGAATTCTGTAACTTTTGAGTAGGTACTTTGAATACTCAGTACATATTTGATACATAAATCTGATCAGTACCAAGTATAAGAGGTATTAAGGTGAGCTAGTGGTTAACTTAACTTATTTTTAAATAATAATTTTGAACCACCACTGACTACACAAAAACACTCCAAAATTTCATTGATGCTAAGTATTTTAGAAATTCAGTCAGTGTCTTTGATTCCTAATGATGTTTCAAGAAAAATTTCATTTTATTTGGAATAGTAGGTCATTTTAGATATATTAATTTTTTTTTTTTTTTTTAAGTTAGGTTTCTTTTGTTTTCGATTAATTGGCTGTTACTTCCAAACCGGTTTTTTTCCCGGAAAAATTTTTTGGGACTTTTTTTTTTTTTTTTTTTCGGTTTAACCATTTTGGCCTTCAATTCTTTGTCTTAGAAATTTTGAATTTGAATTACTTCTTGAAATAAATCATAATTTCTACATTAGTGATTTTTTAGAGTTTTGATGATCACACTGTATTTAAATTGTATTTCTAACAAAGAATTAATATTATAATTACTCAAAAACTTTTTTGAATAGATAAAAAATATATTTTTTCTTTAAAATACAATTAGAAATCAAATTTACTAGTAGAGTTTCCAAATACTCTGTGGTGATGAAATTCCGAGGTTTTTAGTTGTGTTGCCTTCCAGTTTTAAATTTAGTTAATTTACCTTTACTAAATAAGTTTCATCAGATTTTAATATAGAACGTAGATTCATATGATTATTTCTGCATAAAATGACCATCCCTGATTTTTTTTACCTACTTAAGTTACACAGAGCATTCTAAACCAGACTTTACCTGGAGATAGAAAAGTTTTTTTGAATAAATCCAAAATGATTAAAGATAAACCAATGAAAATGACTTCATAAGATAAAATGATAATTATTTATCAACCAGAATCATTCAGTGGTTAATAAAACCAAAATTTTGACCCATTTTTAAATATATTTCTTTCCAAAACTTTATTTAACTTTAAGAATTAGATTACAATACTAATAAAAGTTTAAATCATTGGAACTTAAAATTGGGTAATTTTAAAAAACACAAAAGAAGTTCAAATTGTAAAGTGCTAGTATTAAATGAAAAAAGTGTACTTAGACCCTTCCAATTTTACCTATCATTATATTTTATAAAGAATAAACAGTAAAATGCCTCTATATAATTTCATTTGTTTAAATTTATGTATTTTGAATATTATAAAAAAAAAACATTTTCAACCTCTGATCACCTGAAAATGTTGGGATTATGAAATTTGTTATACTTTGTATTTTGCATAATAAGGGTGTCCATTCCAAACTTCCCAGACCGATATCCTGAAAACTGGAAGAGGAATCAGTAAAAAGTGTAGTGTAAATTATATAAATGAGTGCAAAGGAAGTTTCTCTTCATAGAAGTGTAGGTGGCACAAAAAAGCCAAAGACTTTTTTCGATAAGAATAACTTTGTAAAATCCAAGTAAATAATCATTTAATTTTGAACATCTATTGCAATATAAACAGTGCCTTGGAACATTTTCACGTTTGTAAGAAGTGATTTTGTGAAAAATTGTTTGTCGTGATAACATTTTTTTGGCTTGCTATATCATCTACATCACTAAGAAGAGTAATGTCATTTATATTCAGAACTAAGAGCGAGTGCGACCTAGTGACTTGACATTCGTGGCAACAATATAAAAAATCAAGCAACACTGATCGCGTTTGATACTTCGATGGGTGATCATCAAATTTAGTCGCAGTTTGTATAGAAAGACATACCATCTCTCGGGAAGGATGGTCTCTTGTTTTAGCAGTGTTAGACAAGTAAAAGATCCCAACTCTACGACAAATTGTGGGTTCGGCAAAATTTAATGTTGGGGTTTGCTCGTCTCCTGGCGTATGATCGAAAAACCAAGTAAATTCAGAACTAAAGTCGTTTAGGTGCACTAAACAAAATCTTACATAACTTGGAGATCTCTGTTTTCGAGATATCGAACTGGGGAGTTTTTATACAGAACACCTTGAATAGCCTGTGTTGTTTTTAAAACTAGGACGAAAGTGAAAGTGATGAATGCTTAGGAGATTTTGTGTCAAACGTCATTGAAAAACATAACGATACATTAGAAGAACTTTTTACTGGTGTGGATGAAGCAAAGTCTAATTCTGCCTGGGTTAATATTGATTATGTAACAGAAATGAAGAAAGTTCTGCTTCCTGCAGTGCAGCGATTTATGCATGACTGTAATGAACAGGATTTGTTTGGGGATATCAACAATGCTGCAGAATATGATGAGTATAATATTAATAACATTTTAAGCATTGAACCGTTTCGAGGTCAATTAGATCCTTATGAATATGGAGTTGTCACTGTAGGATTCTTCCCCCCGCCAAACACAAAAATTCGAGCTAAGGCAGTTTGTAAAGTGAACGAAGGAGAGAATGAAATCCTCTCCATAGTTGGAACTTCTTGTAAAATTTCCTACAAGTTCAACAAAAAATATGTCGAGTTTGGATGTCAGGTACAGTTTCTTTTTAATACAGGAGTGTGCTAATTTTGGTAGTTTTGATGGGTTTTCGTATTTCCCAAGAATACATAAATAATATTGTCTGCGACAATTTGTTTGTAACATTTTTTATTGCTCTTTTATTTATTTATTAGGACTGAATTAATTTTAAGGGATTCACAATATATGGCGTCAAAGTTCTGCCATTAGGCTTTTATTTTATTAATACATCAGTTACATCAATGACTTATTTATATCAAGAAACAATTAAATTACAAAAAAATAATTCTTGGCACATAGATACTCCTTTTAATATTAATATTATTTGAAAGAAAATTTTACACATTTCAAAATGTTATGTTTTTCTTCAAAATTGAGGAACTATAAGAAACCATCTCAAAAGGCCCGCCCTGTACAGCAGTTAATTTCAAAGTTGAATTTGCATATTTACGTAATTCGTAACTTGCAGCTGTTTTGTGAGATATGTGAAAACACGATAATTTTAACGAACAATGGCTATTGTGTCTTTAACTATTCAATTACCTGCGATAATATTCAGGAAAGTAACACTGATTTGGAACCTGGCTGGCTACATGTCAGCCCAATGTCTAAGAAGATATTCCCTAATACTAGTGTCACTCTGACAATAAAGTATTTCCCTGGAATGGTTGGAGAATTTAGGAGAACATTCAGAGTTGTGGTAAAAAAAAATAACGGGATCACTTTGTGTATATAGAATTGTCTATAATTTTCTAGATCGGATACTTAGATCCCTTTGAAATAAAAATACATGGCTTTGCGGTGTTTTCTCAAGTTTTTGCATATATTCCAAGACCTCTGATAGGTGTTCAACCTGTTGATCTCACATATAAAGCAATATCTGTTTTATCAACATACTATCATCATCGTTTGAAAAATATATCCACCACTGGTTCAAGTCAGTCTTCAGAGACAGAAATTTTATCTCAACTAGACGACGAATGGGTTGTAATCTCTCCCAAAGTAGGTATTCATAACACATGCATTTATTATATTATTTTAAATAACATTTGTATAGAAAATCTTGAAACATAAAAGTCTTAATTTAAATGTAATTTGGAATGCAATGCACTTTTGGTAGAAAAATATAATTTAGTTTTGTAAATATTTACATTAATTTAGAACGACTTTCCTTTAGTAAAACAGTTGATTCATTTTTTAGGGTAACTATCCAAGTACAATGGATATAGATCTATCCATAGAACGATTGCTGTTGGCACAATTTCTAATGAAACATTCGAATATTTTACACTTGCACACATTTAATCGTAAACTGAAAATTATCCCCGAGTTTAAAACTCCACCATATTTGTTAGACTTTGGATATGTTGTTGTAGAAAAATCGGTGTGTTACACTGTTACACTTTTAAATTATGGACCCATTGTGACTGAAGTTAAATTAATCAAAAATGGTGTGAGCTTAGAAAAAAATAAGTTCAGAATAGAATATTCACAAAAGAAGCTAGATGTCGGTGAAACTATAGATTTATATGTCATTTTTCTTCCTACTTTAAAGAGATTCCAAAATCTAGATGTTAATGTTAAAGAAAGCTTCTCTTTAGTAGTGACTCATGGTGCAACCATTCCGATACTGATAAACGCTACTGTGACATTGCCTCGACTTACTTTTGACTTCCAGTTTATAAATTTTGGGGCCGTACATGTAGGACAGTGCCTCAGGAAATCTTTGGTGATAAGAAATAAGTAAGTGTTTGAAAAATATTGCAATAAACTTTTATAATCCTATAAATAATGAAATAATAGTACAAAAAAAAATTACATAAAAATAAAAAATTAAATATTTTACACTTAAATCTTGTGATTTGTCAAAAAATATTTTAAATATGAAATAAACTGGCACATTTCTTATGTAATATTGATAAAAAAAACCACAATTGGAAGAAAAGGAGATTGTAATCACATTGATCTTTTTATTTTTTGTTTTGTGCATATGTCGACGCTTTAGTACGAAAACATGCTATCTCAGATTTCGATTGGAAAACATGCTATCTCAAATTTCAGTTGGAAAACATGCTATCTCAAATTAAACTTGGAGAACATGCTCACTCAGATCTTTAGGTAGAAACATGCTATCTCAGTGTGACTAGAAATTTAAGTCCGCACATTGAATGGTTGAAACCGTGCGTTTATAATAAACTTATATAATATAAGTTTATAATAAACTTATACATTTTTAAAAAAGTAAGGAATGTTTATGTTCAGGTACACTGTTTATTTTATTTTTTTTATTCGACATTTTTCAATTAATTTTGTTAAGTTACACTGTTATAAACGACAAAATTGTTAATTAAAAAAATAGAATAATATGCAGTGTGCTGTAACACGTACATTTCTCGACGTTTTTTAAAATAACAAATTATAAAAAAATAGCGTATGCCTCAAAATATAAAAATGTTTGTTATTACTAAAAATAATTCGACTTTTTTCATAAAAGTTTGCTTTGATAAAAAAATTAATAGCGTACTCTTACCTGATTTATAGTCACTACTCTTACTTTTGTTAATAGAGTTAACATAATAACCAGAATATAAATATAATGTATAAAGTTGAATGATAAGTATGCACATATCGATTCAATGGGCACATATGATTTGCACGTGCACATTTCGGCGGTTCCCCATGCACACATGTTTATCATCAGCAGATCATAAAGTACCGATAATAAAAGTGTCGCATACCTGCATTTTATTTCCAAAGTCTATGCAAGCACGCGACTACCGACTACCGTACCCTTAAGAAGCCATTTGTTTTTATTGAGGTGCAGTAAAAATTCTTTTTATTGCAGTCTCCTGAGGCTTACAAAATTATTTTCAGAATAAATTGTGCATTCCAGATTTTGTGAAATAGAAAAATAAGTGTATCAAGAGTAGCGACTATAAATCAGGTAAGAGTGCGCTATTAATTTTTACATCAAAGCAAACTTGTATGAAAAAAATCGAATAATTTTTAGTAATAACAAACATTTTTATATATTAAGGTAGGTATACACTATTTTTTTTTATAATTTGTTATTTCAAAAAACATCGAGTAATGTACGTGTTGCAGCATACTGCATATTATTCTATTTTTTTAATTAACAATTTTGTTGTTTATAACAGTAAATTAACAAAATTAATTGAAAAATGATGAATAAAAAAAATAAAATAAACAGTGTACCGGAACATAAACATTCCTTACTTTTTTAAAAATATATTATATAAGTTTATTATAAATGCACTGTTTCAATCATTCAATGTGCCAACTTAAATTTCTAGTCACACTGAGATAGCATGTTTTTACCTAAAGATCCGAGTTAGCATGTTTTCCAAGCTTAATTTGAGATAGCATGTTTTCCAACCGAAATCTGAGATAGCATGTTTTCGTACTAAAGCGTCGATGTATGGTTTGGCTATATTTTTTACTTTGGATCAAAAATTCTTTATTTTATTTTACTCTAGGAAAATTTTGATTTAGAGCTGGGTTTATGATATTGCAACACCTTTGGTAATTTGATATTCACCAATTCGCTGTTGAAAGAACCCCGCCACAATCAATGGAAAATGGGTCCCAGCCGATTTTGCTGATATTGCAGTATGTTATAGTTTTTGGCTTTCTGATAAAATGTTGTCATGGGTCCAAAGTGATCCTATGAATAGTTTCAGAGATAAAGAGGGGGGAAGTATGTAATTTTGGGTGTAGGCCCGAGTAAACTTCACGAAGTTTCAAGTTGATGGATTCAAAAACTGAGGCATGTAATGAATTTTGACCAGTAGGTACAATACTTTTGGGATCGCTGAACCTGAATTCGGGGATAGCTTAGCTATCTAAAGTTACCTGGAGGTGAGATAAAGGTCATTTCGAGGTCAAACTGAAGAAAAGTGTTACAGCAGACGTATTCTTCTGGAATGAAAAATGAAATGTTGGTTCCTGTACAAAAATTCTACAAGACCTGCAGTGACCTCTTGCAATGATCTTGATTAATGGTCAAGAACAAGTAAACAATCAGTTGATTATAAAATACTCAATTTTAAGAAAAATCGACAGAGACCCACTTTCCATTTGCTTCATGTGGGGCTTGAATTGAGATTAAGTCTAATGAAATGACCTTGACTTGATTTATAGGGCTAAGCTATCCCCGAATTCAGGTTCAGCAACCTCAAAAGCATTATACTTACAGGTTAACATTCGTGAAAGGCCTTTTCTTTACTTTGATCTTGAAATGATCTTGAATTCAGTTCCCCCTCAAAACAACTTATATACGTACTAGTTGAAATTCAATACAAGCCTTTTCTTTAGTTTGATCTTGAAATGACCTTGAATTGACTTGAAGGTGGTCTTTAGGGTTACGCTATCTCCAGATTCAGATTCTGTGAGCCCAAAAACCTATACACTTGCTGGTCAAAAATCAATACAAGTCTTTTCTTCAGATTGACCTTGAAACGACCTTTACCTGACTTCCAGGTGACCTTAGATAGCTAAGCTATCCCCGAATTCAGGTTCAGCGATCCCAAAAGCATTGTACTTACTGGTCAAAATTCATTACATTCCTCAGTTTTTGAATCCATCAACCTGAAGCTTACTCAGGCCTACAGCCAAAATCTCATACTTCCCCCCTCAATATCTATTCACAGGATCACTTTGGGCCCATGACAACTTTTGATCAGAAAGTCAAAAACTATAACATACTGCTATTGCAGCAAAATAGACTGGGACCCATTTTCCATTGATTTTGTGCGGGGTTCTTTCTCTTAAGCTGCCGTTGGATGCTACCGATTCAGATATATTTCTGCATAATACCTAACAAACAATGACTACTATAACCTGCTTTCATCTGTTTGTGTTTAGATTTTTTTTAAACAAATTAACATTAAAAGTATACTAGCATGAGGTATGTGCAGAATTTTAACTCAAAAAAAAAAGGAAATGATGAAAATCTTTTTTTTATTTTAACTTGTACACCCTGTACTATGAAAAATCATTATTTTTAGTGGATATGTACCCTGCAAGTGGAATGTGGACTGCAAAAAGAAACACACCTACTTTGTATCTCTCACTGAGGGAGAATTACTTCCGGGAAAGACAGCTCTACTGGATGTATACTTCATGCCAACAGTGAAGGACTATCTTTCGGGTAAATTAAACATACATGTTGAAGGAAATCCAATGAAATCTACAGTTCATATGGAGGGTTACGGGATAGGATCTAACTTAGTATTTAACAACACAGAGCTGAAATTTGGAAGTGCACTCCCTTACACAAAAGATAACGTCGTAATGTTTATAGTTCAGAATATATCTTCTGCCCCTGTTGAATTCTGTTTCGCAGATTATAATCAGTAAGTAGCGCCAAAAGTGAAATATAATGTTTAATCATTTTTATTTACTTTTTAATTTAACTATTATATTTTCAGACAATATGCACAAGAGAAGCTTTGGATCAATGCATATTTCGTTTCTCACTGTGTAAAAGGTGTGCTTGTACCAGAGAGAAATGTAGGGGGCAAGTTACACAATACATTTGAAGATAATTATTTCACGCAGGTCAATGAACTTCGTAAAAAACTTCTGAAAATAGATCAGGGGGACGCTGATGAATCTGAAACGAAAGAGGAATTATCAGAAGATTCAGTAGACCCTCTAACAAAATATTCACCTAGCGAAATTTTAAGAATGTTAAACGGTAATATTTATTTGAATTATAATTAAGTTTTAAGTTATAGTTAACAACAATTACCAATTATTTCATAGAATTCGTAGAAACTACACAGGCAGTAGGAGACTGGGGTAGTACTGATGTTCAAGACAATAATGATAACTTTCATTCAAAAATGACGATAGTGGAACCAAAAACAAATAAACCATTAATATCGAAAAAGCTGCAAAGTGGTATCTTTGTTATTTTCCATGGTGGGCCAAATACAGGTTAATTCTATTTTCAAAAAATATTTTCCAAAAAATATAGTAGCGAATTGTAGAATACTTCAAAGCTGCCAATTGGGCTGGGATAAAGCTAAAAATACCCGTTTACAGTATCGATAGATTAATATATGAGTCGTTGGTGGAAAACAGTGTAATTTGGGCAAACGAAATAAATAACCTTATTGATGAGGAATTTGAATATGTTGCAACCAAAGAAGATTTAGTTCCTGTCCCGGAAGAAGGTATAATTGAGGAAAGTTGAAATGGATATTTGCTTTGCTTTTTGATTATTTTACTTCGGCTTATTTCTGCTACTACGGCTAAACACCGATACCAGGAGACGGGGCAACCACAACCTGGAAATTTTGATATTTATTGCAAAAACTAATTCTCGTTTATTAAATTTTTTAGACGAATACGACACCCTGATGAGAAAGGTTTATGTAATACTAAATACAAAGAAAAAGACGAAAACTAAAATTTCCAGAGATAAAGTGGCAGATAAGACGAATAGGATATCTGAAAAAAGTTCTGCAAAGCAAACTGGTAAAAAAGACAAGGATACCAATACGTTAGGAGATATACCTGTGGAATTGTTTGAGGACCTTATAAAATATAAATGTAAATCTTTTACAAATGGCGTGATAATAGAAAGCCTACATAGCGACTTTCTTAGAAAAATCAGTGTCGCTTTAAATTCTTTACTGTGTGCCATCGGAAATTCAAAATATGTACATATTATACTATTGTCATATACATTACAAAACTATATCAAAGATAAAGTAGCAGACATTGCAGAAAAAGAAAGAACAATGGGAGAATTAAAGGCTGCAGAAAGAGAAAAAAATATAAAAGCAAAATTACGTAAAAATAATATTATATATGGTATATTCATCTTAATTAATATATTTTATTTCATAGAAAATAAGAGTTCACCGGAAATAAGTGAGAGTGGAAAATCAAGCAAAAAATCCAAAAAACCAAAAAAAGAGAAGTCCGATAATGAAAAATGTAGAGGTAAATATATTTTTTATTCATATAGCCAAATGATTTCTTTTAGCACCTTTAAAAGACCTTCAGAAAGACGAGAAAGATGCATTTGACAGTTTTCAAGCATTATTGGCTGATACCTTCGATCTTTGCCAATACTGGGATAGAAGAAGTTCTTCTCGTATTAAGGTGGGGATCATATACTTCTGTAACTAAGTATCTACATAATATAGTCTTTATCTTATTCGTATAGGCTACAAGAAGTATTCTTAAAGCAGATGTTGACCCCAAAGATGATGTAAAAGAATCAAAAGGTACACAGCAAAAGAAAAAGATAAGCTGTGAAGAAACTTGTGATGAAATTGGTATATTATATAAAGTTAATATCCTATTTGTCTGTTTTTTTTTGCAATAATCATTTTTTTTTGTTTGAGTCACATTATAGGACAAAACGCCTTGGGCATTGTAAATGTCTATATAACGCCCTAGGACTTTAAATAGTTATTTACACCATAAAGGTGGTAAATTATACTTAACTGCTGCGTGGTGTATAACATTTTATCTGCTACCACAATTCTTTATGGTTCATGAAATAAATATTAGGTTTTATTTCTTAATCAATTCATTTTGACATTATTCGAAATCTTGCAAAATCGCCTGGTTTGGATTTTGTCGTTTCTAAGGTGTTTATAAACAAACCTACATAAAAGTTTCAATTTTGCTGGTTTTCAATTATTATTTCTGAATGAGTGATTTTCAAATAGAAAGTGCAGCAAATGCTGCCTGCGAATTTTTATTGCCCGAGAAGTCGAAAGTGCGCTACGGACGAGCATATAGAAATTTCAAAGAATGGGGCCAGTACGAAAATACTGGTGTTTCTGAAATGTCACTGCTAGCATATTTCATGGAGAAGCCAAGAACTTCAAAATCACCGGCGAGTTTGTCGAGTGAACACTCAATGATTAAGTCAACTATTTTCATAGAGGAGAACGTAGATTTATCAAAATACCCCAAGCTGAGAGCATTTTTGAAACGTAAGAATGACGGCTATACATCTAAAAAGTCAAAATGTTTTTACAAGAGAACAAGTCAACGATTTTCTCATTCAGGCACCCGATAACACATATTTGCTAATGAAGGTAGTGACGGTCTTAGGCATTGCAGGAGCATGCTGTTCTGATGAGTTATGCAAACTTACTTTGGACGTCAATTTCAAAAATTTCGATGACATTATTGTAGTTACAATTCCAGATTCTAAAAATGGAATGTCACGTACGTTTACAATTACTTCTCGTTTGGGTTCTGTTTCTCACCTAGAAATTCTCAAGAAATGTATCATCAAGATTGGAAATGTATTATGTATGTATTAGATTGGAAATTAAANGTTCTGATGAGTTATGCAAACTTACTTTGGACGTCAATTTCAAAAATTTCGATGACATTATTGTAGTTAAAATTCCAGATTCTAAAAATGGAATGTCACGTACGTTTACAATTACTTCTCGTTTGGGTTCTGTTTCTCACCTAGATATTCTCAAGAAATGTATAAAGATTGGAAATGTATTATGTATGTATTAGATTGGAAATTAAAATTGAAATTTTACGCTTTTTATGTGCTATCAAGCAGGTAAATGTTACAACCAACCAGTCGGCAAGAATACCCTTTCTATGATTCCTAATAAAATTGCACATTTTTTGAAACTAAAACATCCTGAAACAAATACAGCCCATTCATTCCGAAGAACATCAGCAATGTTACTGACTAATACAGGAGTTGATGTATTAGCAATCAAGATACATGGTAGGTGGAAATCAGCCATAATTGCAGAAAGTTATGTTGCTGACAGTTTAAGTAACAAAAATGAAATAGCCAACAGTATTTTTTAAATGACACTTCAACTCTAGGTTCTAGTAGTACTTCGCATCATGCTGTTTTAATGGATCAATCAGATAATATTGAGCCTCCGGTGACTGAAATGGAGCGGTCAAATCATTTTGAGAAAAATGTGACAATTAGTAAACGCTAGGGGAATAATTATCCAGATTTTATAAATGTTACTAAATGTAATAGCTGTACAATTACTATAAATATTCATTCATAATGAATAGTAAAATGTAATGTTCATAAAATATTTCTATTTATTTGTTCATAAAATATGCATTTATTACTCGAAATCGCTTTTTTCCCTTAGGGAGGTAAGTTACTTTACTTACCTCCCGTTGTCCATAGCAATTTCCATTTTTACGGTAAAATCCACTTACCTCCTTAAAAACAATGTACCTATTTACTATAGTGGGAGCAGATAAAAAACATTACCATCAAAATAAATCAATTCAGTAATAGAAATTACAAGTAACACTTAACAACATTAATACAGATTAAATGTTAATCATACAAAAAATTTTTAGAATTAAATAACAGCCTAAAAGGACATTAAACGTTGAGGGTAATACTATATACAGGGTGTAACTTTGAAGGGAAGTCATATTTATATAGAGGCTCCTTTTGACCTTTAGAAATATGTAAGTGTGATTTTTTAAATCCCATTCTGAAAATTGAATCTCTAACCCTTTTTTTTTTTCTTAATTTTTGTACCCCACTGTTGGATAACCTCAAACAACCATACAGCATAGACAATGCACTTTAAAAATTGAATTATAACTCGACTGTTTATAAACTACTGGGAAAAATTAAGAAAACAAAAAAATTTTTATAAATTTTTTAGTGATTTTTGAAAGGCTGTATCTCAGTGAAAAATGGTAATGTCAGGATAAAAAATATATCATTTTGAAGCTTTAAGTCTAGATTCTAGATCTTTTGACAACAAATTTTTTTGCGTTACACTTATTGAGCAATCAATATTTTTTTAATTTTTTTTTAGGACACGCACTCAGCAGAATTTTTTTGAACTCAATCAGTGCAAAGGTCAGTTAGCCTGCTTATTCAGCTTCAATTTGCTTTTTGACAGGTGTCCATACGATTATTGATTACCGCGATATCGATGGTTGAATGAAAAATGTCACTATTGTCTTTAATCATCGATATCTCAGCAACAAATCATTGCTCAGTAAATCCAAGCACTGTTTCAAAAACTTGAATAAAGCCGCTACAAGAACCTATTGCGGTTTTCGAAGAAAATAAATTTTTTTCTTGTCATTAATTTGAAAAAAAAAAGCAAAAATGGCATTTTATGATTTTTTAGAAAATCTACTGCTAATTTATAAATATTAATAAATAGACAGCAATAGACATAAATTTTCACAGCTTAATGTACCTGCAATAACCCTATAAATTGATAAGCTGACCCATCGAACCATTTATCTGTCCCAAATGAACAAGTTTTGGAAAGAACGGAACACTTTTTTTTTATTTGAAAAAGTTGCTGGACATTTGAGAAAACAATATCTAGTCGTTTCTGGCAAAGAAAAATAAAGTTCAAAAAAACTTTATTTTTTTTACTGAAAAAAGAAGTTTTGAAAAAAGTTGTAAATTAACAAAGGACGAAATACAGGTTAAGACGTCAACTTGGCATTTAATGCAATTAAATAAAGATTAGTATAATCATGCCATGCAAAGGTTGAATTGTGTCAAAAGCAAATTTGGAAAAAAAAATTTATATTTCATTTGAAAGAGGTTTTTTTTCGAAATATTTGGAAATGAGACGTAAAACTTCAAAATGCTTTTTCTTTTTATCTCGACACGACTATTTTTCACTGAGCATTTCAAAAATCTTTTTGTTCCCTTAATTTTTTCCAGTAGTGTATGATGAAAAAACTGTCTCCCTCCCCTCACACTTAAAAAGTTACACCTTGTACAATTGCTATTATTAGAAATTTTAAATTTATTCAATATATCTACAGGATTTTTTTTATGGGTGATAAATCACGCAAATAAAGAGAAGCCGATAAATTTTTCCGAAAATATCTTTAAAGCATTAAACGACTTTCCCAACTTTCAAGAAGCTAAAAAGGACTTAGCAGAAGGGTTTGACGAGGCTAAAGATTCTGTTCTTTTTACCATTATAACAAAGTCTGATAATATTCACATGACCAAATCAGATTTCTTTAGTATTAGTACTAATGATCAAATCACTGACAAGAAAGGAAATGAGGTAAAAAAAACAAATAATATAATACATATATTGGGTGGCCCAGAAAGTTTGGAACACTGCTCGTTTGTAGACTCCTGGGGCCTATTATTTGAAAGTACTTTTCAACTTTTCACTTTTCATTTTACAAATGCAGAAAAACGAAGAATAATTCTGTTTTATAAAAAAATGTACTTTACATAAATCTTTATGCGTATTAAGAACCTTCAGTTATTCATTTTCACTGTGGTTGTTTGAATATTAATTTTGAAAACAGAAAATAGCCAGAAAAGTGAAATGTAAGGAGTGAAAAGTTAAAAAGTACTTACAAAAAACAAAGCCTACTGGAGTATAGCCCATAGAATGTGGTGCCTGGAAATAACATTTTTTAAGATCATACTATTTTAGTTACACGTCTTGTTTATTTAAGTGTACTTGACTACTCCATAACTCCTTTGTTTCCACAATTAAATATGTATTTTTTGATCTTTTATGAAATTTTGATACCTGCTATGGAGTTTGAGTGAAACAGAAAATTCTTGAGTGAAACAGAAAATTCTTGGGCCTTACATGTACAAGTTTGAGAATTTGTTTTTATATTTAGAGGAATGATTTTATACACATAATTCCTTTGACCTTTTGAAACACGTGTCAGTAATTTATTTTTTCAAATTCCGTCATAGAAAATTAATTTTTTTAACCTTTTTTTTAAATAATTTTCATAGCCTGCCGCTGGACGAGGTAGTGTAACCTCAACTAACGGCACGCTTTAGTTGCAACGCATGCACAATTCCATACCATTCGCCGCAAGTTACTTTTGTTGAGTGGGTGTTCGCCACACAAACAGTACATAGCAGGTAACCTAGCAAAAAAACTCAAGCAGTAATCAGTAATGATAAATGAAATACACAAAAATAAATAGTCTGTTAGCTTCCAGCAATGAAAAACATTCAAATGCACAGTTAAATGTACTCTCTCCAAATGCGGAACAACTGACTCCCTTCGCTTCGACCATGGTTGACCCACACTATCTCCCTTCTCATGCACTGTAGGTTGCCTACAATTCATGTATTTGCAATATATGAATGTTACAGTGGCGGTGTACACAAGTGTGAAAGTGCATTTTAAAAAACTAATAACTCGACTATTTATTTAATTAAAAAAAAAAGAAATTCAGATTCGTATTCAGGAAACACGTACTATTACCCCTAAAAAACTGACCCCCACTTAAAGTTACATAATATTTAAAAATAATACATATAAAAACTTATGGGTTTGTAGTATAACAACCCCGGTTTCGATTGAAAAAAATAAATATAAACGTAGTTGTGGCCAAAAATATGTGATCGTCATGAGGAATACCTACGTTGTATACATCTATTTTTAATTGACCGGAAGGCGCTATCTACTAACTTTAAACAGGGGAAGTATGTTTAATTTTATAAAAACAAAAGCAGAGTAAATACACCTAACTTTATTATTTACGTACAGCAGTCTTCAAATTAAACATGTGACACATAGAAAGAACAACAAAAACATTAACAACCATTTAACATAAAATGGGAGTGCCAGGCTCACCTAGAGCTCCTGTGGGGAAAGAGCATGGCGGAGAAACCCACAATCGTTGCTCTAACTACCCAAATATAAATACAAAACAACCGCTAACAAAAGGCATAAATTAAGATCCTTCGCTAATGATAAAATAAGACCTGACTTATTTAATGTCTCACTAAATGTCACCTCACTCGAATTAGACATACACACTTCCAAGTAAAACTGAAGAGGTTTGGTGTTAGTTAGCTGGCAGGGCCGGAAGGTAATAATAACAACAATAATAACAACAACAATAACAACAATTCTTTTTTTTTGTATTCAATTATTCTTTTTACAGATACATTCCTCACGGGCGAAAATGTTAGTAAATTCAACAGGGCTCTTATATGCGTATGACATAAAGTGAGAACAAGAAATGCTTTATTAGTTGTTTTTCGAACAACGTAATCATGACAAAACAAGTTAAATGTGAAAAAAAGGAGTTGTTATTGCAATATCTGGGCAGTCACGACAATATACACATATTTTAACATGTAATATATAATGAGCAATCTTCAATAATTGTAACAATTTTACGTTAGAAAAATATATGCCCCTGAGCGTAAGACAATGAAGGCTAAACATACACAGAATTTTTATCATGAAACATCTATAATCATCACAAGCATAAGATTACATAGAACAATTAACAACAAATTACATACTTAGAGAATAATTACCTGCTAACTAATACCGGTTAAACACTTTTAATTTTTCACTACTTATATATTTTCACCATACACGGATCGTCTTACTACCCATCTCCACCCTGTTCTCACTTCAACTATCTAGGCTTCCTTCCAGAATTCCCCACCTAAGCGCTTGTTTTTACGCTTCCTTCTACCAACTGTCAATATTACGTTTTCATTATTGTATAACACCCATGTAACAGGTGACGTTGAAGTTGATACGATAAGTATGGTTTTGCACAGGTTGGTGAAAGCCATATATGGTAGCACTCAAAAAAACATTTTGTATATCATTTTCTTGCATATTTTAGTATACTGAGAAATCTCTAGATCAAAGTTATGTGAAAAAATACTGTTTGACAATGCCACCTTGAAAGTGCTATAACTCAGTAGGTGTTGACATTTTTATATGTTCATGATCAAGCTGTTTCCAAAGTCTTTCGGGCACCCTTGGACAAATTTGAAATATGTATAAAATCTTAATTTTAGGGTTATCCACATATATCGAGTGTGAGTTTATTAAGTACAAGAGCTGCTATTTCTTCTAAAAAGAAAGCTGCCAAACATCATAAAGCCATTGAAGAAAAACCCAGTATTCAAGCAAAAGGTACAGTATTCAGAACTAAATGTAATTTTCTGAATAAATCTAGTTATACTACTGAATTTTGAGTTTTATAGACCATAAACTAATTATTTGTTAACTATACTATAATAAATACTATTTGTAGTCTTTGTTCATCATTGTACACGTACTTATGCAAGTCGGCCAACTTGACTTGTACTAGCCAATTCCACCGACTTACTTGCATGTCTGCAGCAGAAATCCTCACTACTAAATTTAAGATTGTTAACTAAAACTTGTGTGTATAGTAAACTGACTAAGCTGACTTAATATTCAACTTTGCTAGTTCAAGGCCAAGTCAGCCAACTTACCTGAGTGTTTGTAGGGACTTTGTGCCATGCAAAATTCGTCAATAATATATGACAAATTTTAGTTACAGAAAACGAAGTAGCACCTTTCGAACTTATGTCCAGACGTATTTTACAACCCGAAGAAGTAGCTTATTACACTTTTACTTTTTGCCCCAAAACGTGTGGCAAATACAATCACAATTTTACCATTCAAGTGACAGGATTGAATTCAGATATTATAATAAACTGTAGTGGAGTTTGCGAATTACCTACAATAGATTTTAATCCACATGTTATGTTTCCTACTGTTGTGGAAAGTTACCGAGACAAGGCTGCAAATAGTAATTTTGTCTATATTAAAGACATGAACGTACTTGATTTTGGCCTAGTTTTCTATGACACCGACAAGTAAGTTTTTTTACTAACCCTTATTCGCCACGTGCATATGCGACTATTTCTTAACATTTGTCTTAAAATTATATTAAAATATATTATTTATATATTTACACTTATAACCGATTTAAAAATTAAATTACCCAAATATCCGTGTATGAAGAGGGCATGGGTAAGGGCAATATGTTCAAAAAATAAACTCATCTCCATTTGCAAAAACATGGACATTTTTAATAAACTAACGCAATTGTTTCAAATATTTTTTAGACCTCATAAATATGAATATCAAATATTATTGAGAAATATCTCACAGTTACCCTGTGATGTTAAAGCAAGTTTAGAAGAGAAGTCATCTTACATTTTGCAGTCAAATTTGCTGCATATCGATCCGGGACAAGAAGTATATTTACCAATATCTGTAAAAGCCGCTAAATCAAGTATTTTAAAATCAGAACTCTGTATATCTGTAAAAAACAATCCCAGTTCACAAATAGTGAACCTTGTAACAAAACCCTGGAAATTGGATTTCCATATCAAACCTAAAGCATTGACATTTGACAAAGTTCCAGTTGCGTGTAGCTTAAAGAAAAAAATAATGTTATGCAATCTTTCTCCAGTAAACCTGTTGTGGAGATTTGCTGACTTTAATTGGGCTTTACAGATATTTGATATATCTAAAACTGAAGGGTTCCTAGGGCCATTTTCGGTTTTTGACGTAACTTTTTCGTACACACCACTTCGTGAAGAATCACATTCTAAGAAACAGTTAGCTGTTCAGGTAAGATGTAACCCTAAGAAAAAGCATTTTTAAATAATTTTGATTCGACATATTCTTTTTTTTAGGTTTTTGATCTGAATTACTCAGACCAAGTACCACTTTTTGTCGATTATTTTACCGTGCATGCAGATTCTTTTGACTGCGTGGTTGAATATTCTGATCATATTGATTTGGAAGAAATCAAAGGTGGAAAGGAACACAGAGTTTCATTTACATTAATGAACAAAGGACAACACAATACATGTATTACGTAATTTTTTTAAGCTTGGTAGACACCTGATAATGTTCACTAATGACTAACTTTTTAGATTCTCCAAAATTGATAACCCACTTGATAAATACAAGCAGATACGGAAATGTTTTGAAGTGATGAATACAAATGAAACATTGGTGCCTAACAAATTATTCACGGGAACTCTAATATTCAATCCCTCGAAGCCAATGGAATTTAAAGAAGTGCCCATATTTGTGTGCAATGTTGTGGAATGCACACATTCAGAAAACATTATGAATTCTATTATTATGAAAGTGTCTGCAAAAGTTTTCTTCTCAAGGTAAGTTATCATAATAAATTGTGAAATGCGGCTAATATACCATGATACCCTCAAAAGATTTATGCTCATTGAATGTTAGACAACGTTTTGTCATTTTAATTGTAAATATTTAAAGTGAGTTTCTTATCCAATTTTAAGAATACAGTGGGATTTCTCTTTGACATTCACCATAACCATTTGTCTGTCCAAGGAAGGTGGGCTAATGAAAAATTGAATAAAATATATTTTTAATTGGTTAAAAAGAGAAAATTTCTCTCTGGTGCATATCAAGTACCACATTATTATCAAAAGTGAATAAATTAAAGAAATAAGAAATCAAGAGCAACTGGCTGAGGTTGGGATTTCCAGTTAAATTGATCTTGCTCTCTCACAGCCAAAATATGCAATTCCGATACTACGGATTGACAGCAAGATTCATTGTAAAGTTTCAGGCACTCATTTTAATGATAATATTCACGCTTATAAATTTTTCTGTATGTTTAGAAAAAATATTTAAAAATATTAGAAATTTAGTGTCTATGTCTACTCAAAAGAGAGATTAAAAGGATTGTTACAACAGTGTTATTATGGAAAGCTGACGGGACCGGTTAAAACAGCTCGTTCGTAGAAGGTGTCCATACCTATACAGGGTGATTCACAACTTATTAAAAAAAATTTGGGAATAGATGTGTCGTGAAAATTGGTGCCAATATCGTAAAAAAATATTTGTAAAATCCTTATAATTTCCGAGAAAAAAATTATTGAAGTTGTATTTTCAACCTTTACATCACTGGACTACTGTAGTCTCTAGCGTCATTCGCATTGTACGCTGAGCGCAATGCTCTCTCTTGCAACGTGGCCCCAAGAGACTCCGAATACTGAAATCCAATATTAGTTTTTACGTTTTTACATTAGTTTTTCAAATGTCAAAAATGGTTTACGAGTATAGCAACTCGGGAGCTGATGGATATCGTTTTAATTATGGTGAAGCCAGACAACATTTGTGTTATGGTGAAGCATGACAGCATTTGTGTTAGTTCGTAGAAACTAGGCGAAACGACCCCAAATGTGTTTACACAAAACTTTGAATAGTTGTAATATCAGGTTATATCAAATTATTTCATTAATTAAAACCACGAATTAATTTTATTAGTTAATAACAATAGCGGTAAAAGCAGTTGAATTTGCTGTTAAAAAATAAAATAGCTGTTATAAAATTTTATTTATTTCTTTCCTTGGAAAAAAGAAATTCTTTCAGTGTTTTATCTGTTCATTTTTTATTATCCTTTGCCACCGTACCTGTCACCGACTGCTTGCTTTGCCTTGCATAGGTCAGGTTTTATAGTGGACCAGTTTCCAGTGCCGTACATAAATGTATTTTAAAATCATTTTAGAGCTGCCCTTTTTATTATTTTTTAAATTGTATTCATAATTTTTTTTTTTGGACATATTCTGAATCACCCTGTATAGTGATGCCAGTTAAAGGGAATTTCACTGTATTTTATTCTATAACATCTGACATTGAAATCTTAGTTTTTTAGATAGATAATTTTCTGCAAATAAGAAATTTTTTCTCTGAAAAGCAGTTTTTTGTCTACCTATTTTCTAATTAATGTTCAATTAATGGTTTTAAGTGGTTACATTACACTTTTATAGCCTTAGCTAGGAATATTTGACCTGACCTCGTTCTTCTCAGGCTAGACTCTGTCTACCCACTATTAGAACTCCTAGGCCCATCTTGATGTTCTTATTGTAGGTTCTAAGGCTGCTATGGACAGAACTGCTCCTCAGACAATGGTGATCTCTGAAATGTTCCACATTGACTTCTGTAACTGGTCATATCCAGTGCATCCAAACATTTCGCCATTCTTTACTGTCAGCTTTTTCAGTGGTGACTCTGCAAAAACTTTGCACTACTGAGTCTCAGCTGAATGTCTCAGAGGACCACCATATTTGAGGAAAATTCCGTTTGTAGTGGCCTTAGAACCAACAAAAAGAACAGAAATGAACATCAGGACAGAGTTCTGATAGCGGGTCACCCTCATAGAGCGTAGTTTGATAACAAGCCCAAGTCAAAGATTCCTGGGTAAGGCTATGGAAGTGCAATATAAGTTTATAAATGGCAGCAACCAGGTACATAGATTATGGCATAACAGCTACCCGGAAAACCATCTTACTTTAAATGATGTTCAATTGTTTTCCTGTTTATACAGAGTAATACTCATAAAACTTAAGAAAAAGTTCTCATGAGCATTGGTCAGCTCTAAAACCATAAGTTTATAAAATTATTTTTTTTAAATAGCAAATTTAAAATACGAAAAAATTTGACGGATATTTCTACACTTGTATAAATTTTGCCCCTACAGCAACTGGTGATATCAAAAAATTAATAGTCTAATCGGAAAGAGTAGTATTTGTAAGAGTCGAGGAATGTTTTTTAATAACATCTTTGGGTGTTGACTTTTTCACATCTTGGATACATTTTGATATTTTTCTTGCAATCGCTTGGAACAACGGTTTTTGAGAAAAATTTTTTGTGTAAATAAGTACGTAGCTATTGAAAATATGTTCACGATATAAAAAAAGACAACTCCAAAGATATTATTGAAAGACAACCCTCAACTCTTACAAATACTATCCTCTTCGATTGAACTAGTAATTTTTTGATATTATCAGTTCCTTTAGGGGCATATTAATACAAGCGTGGACATTTTTGTAAATTTTTTTTTTATTTTAAACTTACTCTTTTAAAAAAACAATTTTATAAACTTACCCTTTTAAGGACTCCTTAAGCTCCTTTATTATGCATTTGCAGACCATTATTTTTTTAAATTTTTATGAGCACAGTGCCGGCCCTTTGAAAGTGGACGACTCTTATAAGCAAATTGTCTATAATTGGCCTTTGTGAAGCTGACTTGAAAATGTGAGGTTCAAATCGGCTGTCATTATGTCAAATTTAATGTGTGTCTATCATACTAGTTCTAGTGAGCAAAACAAATTCAAATTAGGTAGCAAATTATTTATTTTTCCAATACTGATATATATTATATATTCTAACAGCCATTCATTCGCCGTCAACGAGATCTAAAAATGAAACACTTTCCGTCGTCAAAAAAAAGGCGATTCGTAAAGTTAGTATTTTGTCTAAGCACCATTTTTGTCTATAACACTGCAATCTACATAGCATTGATAAAATTAATGTTCTTGTTAGAATCCTCAGTGATGTTATCCCATGCGTTTTCAATTGCCTCCCAAAGTTCTTCGACGTTCACTGAACGGAAGTTTCTGTCGTAAATTGTTTTCACTATATATCCCCAGGAATTTGAGGGCCAAGGTAAAACATCGATGTTGTTATCAATGAACCATTCTGATGCAACTCTTGAGGTGTGAATTGCACAATTATCCTGCTTGAAAGTGAAATTCTGAGGATACAGCATAGTCACAACAAACATCAGGACTTTGGCAGCTTATCCAAGCACAAACGTTAATGGAGAATCCATCGCTGCGCTGTGTGGGTTTGACATAAGGCTCCGAATACCTTATAATCTCTGGTGGGTAGACACGGACAGAAGCATCGGAGCAAGACTAAAAACTTTTCTTGTCCGAAAATATAATATTCTCCTAGAAGTTGTCTGGGCTTCCTACAAATTGTCTTGCCAACTCTAACCTCTGTTGTTTATACTGGGGAGTCAAAGCAACTGTATTTGCGGCCACATAATTTTTCAGTTCTGAATCTTTCTCCCGCTTCCTTGCAGTTCGCACTGATCCAGGAAAATTTGTCTCAAAGGAAGCTGCTACTGCCATGTCAAAAGGATTTATTCTTATATTCTTCTTATTTTCAATTTATAGGATTTTCAAAATCAAAGAAAATATGTGGTTTATTTCAAGTTACAAATAATTTAATGCTTTGCAATAATTGGCCGGGATGGTCTAACATTCACACAATAAAATAGGTTTTTGTAAAGCTTGTAGTGCTTTATCGTAATAGCGAGTCAAATTTGAAACAACTTGCATAAGAAAAAAAGATTATTCCAGTTAAAATGGCTAGGTCCATCTTTTTTTTGTTGATTTATGATAAATATTTCTGTCCCACCCTGTATAGTTGTATATTTGTAGTTTCGAAATAAGTCCAGCAGCTGATATCAATTTTGGACATCAGCAGATTTTTTCTATAAAGACACACACAGTTGAATTGAAAAATACAGGAAAATTTCCATTCAGTTACACAATCACTTATATAAAGCCGGAGGAGATAAGCACTGACAAATCTATTAAAAAAAGCAAATCTGGGATAAATGCAGCAGAGAAGGGAAGTAAGAAAGGTAGCAGCAAGAAGAGTAAAGAAAACAAGGATGATAAAAAGTTATTAAAGTATCTTACATATGTATATATTTTTTGTACATAAATCATAAATCTTCAATTGCAGAAAGAAAACAAAATTTAATGTAGGATGTTTTTCTATTCATCCATCAGAAGGCGATATTATGCCTAACGAAATTGCCCAGATAGAAGTGGAATGCACTCCTGAAAAAAATGAAGAATATAAAGAGGTCATAACACTGTTTGTGTCTGAGTGTGTTGACGAAGATATAAATGGAAGACAAATTACATTAAATGTAATTGGTTGTGAACCAAAACTGAATTTTCACAACTTCAAAAGAATATTTAGAGAACATTTTATTGTAGATAAAATGGAAAATGTTAATGTTCCGAAAATTGTAAGTTGACATAATTCCAACATTATTTATTGTACCGTATCTTATTATATTTTCTGTACAATATGTGCCAATTTATAGGTGTTCGTTAACACAATAAATTAAAAAGTTCGGTCATCTTCTATTAAATAGACTCTAAGGTTAAAAATTAAATTGTTAAGCCTTCCTCAATTTTTTTCAGGTGTTAATTTTAGAAAAATAGTATTAAACAATTATTTTATCAAAAATCTAATAACAGGATGATATTCTATACTGTTTGACTTGGCCCACCACAATTTTTTTTTAATTTTAACATTAAAGATTAATTGTGCAGGAAAAGAACAAGTTGTTGGCTGAGGTACAACCGCGTAATTTCAGACAATTCGTTTCTGAGATTTTTTATATTGGTTTAAAATTTCACATCACATATGTTTGCAAAACCGTATACCGGGTAGGAAAGCGCCGATGGTCTATCACAAGTTACGTGAGAGCGATAAAGTAAGACATAGAAATCCATGCGATAGAGAAGGATGGCTATAATTAAGGCGTATCATAGTCAACGCCCATTTCGCCCTTCCACAAATAAGAAGTGGATCTTATTTGTGGAAGGGCGAAACGGGCGGTGACAAAGAGAAGCCTTCATTATAGCCATCCTTCTCTATCGCATGGATTTCTATGTCTTACTTTATCGCTCTCACGTAACTTGTGATAGACCATCGGCGCTTTCCTACACGGTAGGTAATATTTAAACAGGTTTTACGTTATAACTTGAAATAAAAATTAAAAACATGTAACTGTATATTAGTCTCAAAATTGTGTGTTTGCCATTCATTCGTTTGTAAGATAATTACTAGATGGTAAAAGTTAAGAAAATTGCATATACATACATTTGGAATGTGTAAATTATTGTTTATAAATCAGTATTTTATATGTAGATTAGGGAAAAAAAGTCACATTGATTTAAATTAGTGTAGTTGTCTTCTTCTTCTTCTTGTTCTTCTAGTGTTTGGTCCTAATAAGTCCCATAGCACTGCGGCCTGATTAGGCCTATTGTGCGGCCCACTACTAGTCCTATTTAGCAAGTAGATTTGTCCTTTTTACAAAGTCCAAAAGCTTCCTTGCTGACACTTCTCTCAGTTCCTTGGGTTCCAAATAGGGTCTCCCAAGGAGCGCCATTCTGCTACGTGCAAACTCCGGGCACTCGCCCAGGATATGCAGAGAAGTTTCATCCGCCGATTCACATCCTCGTCGGACCGGACTGTCTGCAAGCTTTAGCTTATGTATGTGTTTCCTAACGTGACAGTGTCCCGTTATGAGTCCTGTCACTCTCCTGAGCCGGATTCTGTTCAAGCTCAGTAGATCATTCGCTCTTTCCTTCGAAGGATACTCCATGAGCTCCTTAGAATGGCTATGTCCTGGCCTTGAAGTCCAGTATTTTCTGTGTTCTGTCTCAGTCCATTTGCCCAGAGCCCGCCTGACCACACTGGGAGATGTGCCACAGAAGCGCTCCGGGCCAATGAACTCTGTCTTGGATCCCTTCCTAGCAAGTTCATTCGCTTTCTCATTTCCACAAATGCTTTTGTGCCCTGGCACCCAACACAGTCTGACTGTATTGTTGGTGGCCAGTTCAGTCAGCATTTGTAAACAATCCCACACCAGTTTTGAACTTATCTTGCGTGCGTCTAAAGCTTTAATTGCAGCTTGACTATCAGAGAATATATATATGAGTTTACGTTAATAACCTCTACATACATTCTCTGCCAGACAAGCCATTATCGCGAAAATTTCTGCTTGGAATACGGTCGGGAACTCCCCACAGTGTAGCTTGCACTCCATCTGGGTCTGAGTCCTGATTTCTGCACCTGTCCCACTTGTCATTTTGGAGCCATCTGTAAACCAATACTAGGCTCCACCTTTCCAGGTTATTAAACCTTTCCTCCTATTTGCTTTGATCCTCTATTCGAGTCTCAAATGGCTTGTGGAAGTGAAACCTTGGAACCATCTTGTCTGATACCATGCCAAAAGTTGGTTCCGACATAAACGTGTCTATAATCATGAAATAGGAACTACCCCTCCAGTCGTAGTTATTCCTGAGTCGATATGCTGCTAGCCACGCTTCTCTTTCCACCACTATATACAGCGGTGGTAGATTTAGCATGGCTTCTAGTGCAGCTGTCGGGGTCGATGCCATCGCCCCTGTTATACCTAAACAGGCCAATCTCTGAATTTTATTCAGTTTTTCCCTCGCTGTGGTCTGTTGTGTTTTTTGCCACCATACCACAGCGCCGTAGAGAATCCTAGGTCTTACTATCGATATATACAACCAGTATGACATTTTTGGTTTCAGTCCCCAGGTGCTCCCAATAAGGCAACGGCATACACACAATGACTGCTTCGCCTTACTCACCACTTTATCCAAGTGTGCATTTCAGGTAAGCTTATTATCCAGTATCACTCCTAGATATTTTACTTCCCTGGAAAGCCTAATGCTCCTCTCCCCTATTATAGGTTCAGAGAGTCCAATTAAATTCCTTCTCCTGGAGAAGGGTACTACGGCGGTTTTGTCAGGGTTTACTGACAGTACCTGCCCCTTACACCAGTCATCTATCCATTTCAAAGCCCCTTTCATGAGTTCTGAAACGATAATATTATGTTTCCCGACTATGAGAACGACTAAGTCGTCCGCATAGCCTTGTGTATAAAATCCCTTTCGATTAATGCCCTCCAGTGCGCCGTCTACCACTAATCCCCATAACAAGGGAAACAGTACGCCTCCCTGGGGGCAGCCCCGGCCTACCTTACACTTGGATGTCTCTCCCGAAAGGGTAGCTGTTACTGTCCAGTTTCTCAACATGGTATCTATCCAACGACATAAAGTGTCATCAAGGCCCTCGTTGCGAACTGCCGAATTAATAGATTCGAAAGGTGTATTATCAAATGCCCCTTCAATATCTAAAACAGCTGCCAAAGCTAGATCTTTGTCGTCCATCGCCCTCTCTATCCTAGAGACTAGGCTATGAAGGGCTGTGTCGACTGATCTGCCTGCCTGATAGGCGTATTGGTACTTGTGTAGAGGATTTGCCCTCAACACCCCGTCTCTTATATGCCTATCAACTATTCTCTCCAACGTTTTCAGGAGGAAAGATGTTAAACTTATCGGGCGATATGCCTTTGCCTGGGCATACGATGGACGCCCTGGTTTAGGAATAAACGCCACGTTTGTCGATCTCCATGCCAGCGGTATATAACCAAGTGCAATGCTGGCTCTGAAGATGTGATTTAAAATCGGAGCTAGACAGTCCACAGTTGTCTTACAATGTTTTGAGTTAGAATCAGAAGTGAGATACATTTTGTTTAATGCTCTGTTTTCACCTTCGCCTGAAAAATTACCTGAATTGAGTTGCATTTTATATCACAGGTGAAAAGTGTAAATTGTTTATACAAAATGCACTTTTTTCAGTTTTAAATAAAAAAAACAGATAATTGAAACAAAATATACCAGGAACCTGTCACGTTTATAATTTTATATATGAAATTAAGCGATTTGTGTTTTTGCAAGGCATGAAATAACGTCTTACCATCAGATTTTGAATAAATTATTCGTTATATTTGCTACTATAATTTTTCAAAAATTGGCACCTAAGAATGAAGTTTTTTTTTGAAACCTGTTCTTAGGATCTATTTAATAAAGATATTTGAACCTCAATTGGTTTTCACCTCTTATTAAAGACTTCACACCTATTAACATATACATGGTGTTTATTAAGCAAACTTTAAAGGGTGAATCTTTGACTAAGTTTAAGAAAAAAGTTCATATGAACATGGGTCCGCCACTGCTTGATTCTTGAGATACAGAAAGTCCAAAAAAAATGTTTGTTTAAGTAATTATTGTAAATGTTATTAACTTATTTTTAGAAGTATGTAGTTTAGTTTAATCTTGTAAATGATCTGAAGTTTGTCATATTGCAATACAATCAATAAAAGACACATTTTTTCTCTTGTTTTTCAAAAACTCTTAATGATTCAACTTAACAAAATTCCAATGCAGGTTTAACTTTAAACTCGTTTTTTTACAAAACGGCTACTTTCAGCGACAAATATACTAAGAGTACTTTTTAAACGTAAAATTGAATGGAGAATAGGTAGGTAATAAAAGACATACAGTGCCGCAACGGTTAAGGTTATTTAAATCCAGGTACAACACTGTATGTGGCACCCTCTAACATTAAACAAAAAACTAAGTAATTATTTGAGTTTCTCATCATCAATATTCTCAATTTCCCGAATTTCGTCAAATTGCTCGTCAAATTGAACAAAAATATAATCAAAATACCAAACAAAAATTTTTTTTGAACGCTCTGTATTTCAAGAACCAGGCCTTTGTGAACCCATTTTTATATGAACTTTTTATTTTAAAATTAGTCAAAGATTCGCCCTTTAAAGTTTGTACAAATACTTAAAAACACCCTGTATAACAATTTTAAGTAATTAAAAATTTAGGTCACGAGCCATTGCATATATGAGGCATCAGAGCAAACACTGCATTTTAGAAAAGTCAATCTTAATACAAAAGCAGTTAGCAATATTTACATGCAAAATAAAGGGCACGTAATAGCTTATGTCACGGCTAAGATAGACGATGGAAATAAAAATGTATTTAAAGTGTTCCCAAATAGTATCGATGTAGATCCTTTCAGTACTAAATCGTTATCAATTATTTTCAAACCTGACTGTGTAGGGGTATGTTTGTGTGTTGACAAAACTTTAACAAGCCTCTTAATGAGCTCCTGTTTGTAGGAAACCTCTTGCAGATTAGAAATAACGTACAATTGCTCCACAAATAATAAATTTTCACTTGCTCTGATTGGTGAAGGGGTAATGCCTAAGCTAATGATTATTGAACCAAACTTGGAACAAAATAACAAAAGTACCATAAATTTTCTTCCAACATACATTGGACATAGCAGAAGCCAGAGAATTTCCATAAAAAATATTGGTTCTATATCCGCTAAAGCAATCCTTCAAATAAACAATAACATTAATGAGGCGCTTACACTTATTGCATGCGAGGATACCTATAGCATGTTAAATATTTGTGATTTAGAAGGTAGGCGATTTGTTAATTTCACAAAGATAGTCGAATTCCATCTGTTTTAGAATTTGAAAATACAAAATATTCCACATTAGTGAATTTGCAACCTGAAGAAATTGCAAATTTCATTTTAAATTATGAACCTAAATGTGAGGAGAGTTTAGATGCAGTTGTAAAAATTCACACAGTTAATAATCCATTTGAGATTGCACAGGTAATAATATTTAATACTTAGCACATTTCATATTATTAGGGCCTCTTTGATTTAGATAGCAGTATCTGGACAGAGCTATTACCATGATATATGCCTGGAAGGACTGACACCGTGCATCATTAAAGAAAGAAATACTATGGGTTATAAAATCGACTTTGGTTTTGTTTTCTTACATTACATCCAAAGGAAAATGTTTACAATAAAAAATTACTCTGAACAATATATTTACAAGTTTGAATTTACTGATTTTGGTCCACTAGTATTTACACCAAGAGTAGGTCATTTAAAACCTTTAGCTCACAAAGAAGTAATTGTCAGTTTTTGTACTAGAAAACCCCAGTATTACGATAAGGTAAAATATTTCTCTTTCATATCGATTGCTTTAAAATTATGAAATTTAGGATCTGGTAGAATTTACTGTAAATAAAATAGAATATATAACTCCAGCGTCAGATATTTTATCATGGGATGAAAGACTGAAATTTGTAACGTGGGATATTCCGAAAATTGAGTTCAGTGATAAATCCACTAAAAGATTTAGTAAAACCTCATATGATGAAGAAAATGAGGAATTCCTTGAAGTTGAAAGGTAACAACATATAAACATTATAAACAATCAGGGGAAAATAGAATATAAAAAATATTGCCAGTTTGCGTTATAAATCCATGTCTAATCATTCACAGCTTTGAAGGTACAGTGTGTTGAGTTAAAGGAAAAATGGTGTTAATGTCTAACCTGTTTCACACTGTAACAATTATGGACATATAAATAATTAGAATTTTAAGCTGGATTATAAATTCTTACACATTTTTAAGCAAAATATGAGCTTTGTTCATTATACTGAGCAGGGGCAGCCCCTCGATAAGAGCTGCAGAGCTGCAGGACCACCAAAATTATAACAGGAATATAGTGTATAGATCTACATCAAAATTTTTATCAAAATTTGGCATAATGATTTTTTTCGATTTTTAATGCTACAGCTCAGGGCACAGTTAAAAAGTAAGGGCTAATCTGTTACAAGACGAGAACAAACGAGAAAATGAAAATGAAAATTTGGCGAAATATATGGGGCATTCCACGCCAAATGGACCACTTTTAACCCTCACCCCTTTCGATTTGGCTGAAACTTTTTTATTGGTTTCTATCCCATTGAAAACCTCCGAGAATTTTTTCAAATTTTTTCACCCAACTCAAAANAACATTGTCAATACCTCGACTCGAGTTGATGGCAGCTATCATAGCAGTTCGACTATACACAATGTGCAGAAAAAATCTAAATAGTGAACTAGAAAGTTTTTTCTGGAGTGACTCGACAACAGTACTCAGTTGGATTAGAAGACCAGAAGAATGGTCAACATTTGTTTGGAATCGGGTGAAGGAAATTCGGACAGCATCTTCGGGCAAAAATTGGCATCATGTTCCTGGTACGCTGAATCCAGCTGACCTCCCATCTCGAGGTTGTTCTGCGAAACAATTGCTCGAATCGAGATGGTGGGAGGGCCCGTCATGGTTATATCGAGACTCGTCGTGTTGGCCTAGGGATAATCTCCATTATGATGAAGAGGAGATTAATAAAGAAAAAAGAGATCAGTCAGTGTCAAATAAATAAGTTTTTCGTTTGCATTTTACTTTTGAAAAAGATTCTAATACACCTAAAGAATAAAGATTTATTCAAGATCTTGCGACTTTATTTGGAAAAAACCGAACCGTCTGCTTAGGGTAAAACGGGTAGTTTTATCACGAAGCAATTGACACTTTGCATGTATTTTTTTAAAACCCACTGTTCGTTCAAAAATGGACCAAATAACTTTTTTTTTTCATTTTCTTTGTTTTTGGATGAAAAAATACAAAAAAATTGTTCAAAACGATCTATTTTTTTCTTAACTTTTTCAACAAAAATCAAATTTTTTTTTGTCATTATTTCTTTCATATATATTTTTTCAATTTTGGGATTCTATATACATTTTCAAAAATTTTCAAAATGGTGTGAAAAAAGCTAATCTGAAAAAAAATATTTTTCAATCAATAAAGAAAAATAGAAAACAAAAAAACCACTATTAAAAAATTTGAGGATTTATAAAAAATAGTTTTCTAGAAAAAAAAAAATTTTTTTAAATGGTAATCGAGAAATTTTCGTTTTTTTTCGAAAATTGAAAAAAAAACAAAAATTCATAACTTTTTTTGAGTAGGGTGAAAAAATTTGAAAAAATTCTCAAGAGGTTTTCAAAAAAAAAGTCCCAAATCGAAAGGGGTCAGCGTTAAAAGTGGTCGATTTGGCGTGGCGTTTGGCGTTTATTTTTCGTCACAACCTGTTTTGCACTGAGATTTTCTCGAATAGTTCTTAAGGTCTCGGAAGAGATAATCATTGAGCAACGTCTGATCTATAGGATTAAAAATAATCCCATTGGAATAGTTTAAATGAATTTACAAGAGCCATGGGCGGATGTGTATCATCATGAAAGAGAATGATTCTTGACCTCAACATTCCCTGTTGTCCGTTTTGAATAGTTCCTTTTTTATAGTGCTTAACTGTTAATAATTATGTGGCAAATTATCAGGCAAATTTGAAAAATATTTGATAAACTACTTTCCTCTGATTTTTTTTGCATCAGTAATAAACTATTTGAATTAATTAACTAATATTGTGAAATCTTTAGAATGAGTATAAAGAATACTGTTGATCGACCAGAACCTGACTTCAAGATAATCTCAGAAACATCAGAAATTATACCCTGTTTATTTTCAGTAATTGCAGATTACGCTACATACATTAATAAAATTTGTGACATTACTTTTCCGGATACTTATATTAACGAGGTAATTTTGAAAGAAAAAAATAAGTATAATAATAAATGTAGATTATAAAACACCCTGTTTACAGAAAAGAAAGACCCAGTTCGAAGTAGAAAATGATGGAATAGTTCCTCTAGAAATTGAATGGGATTTTTTTTATTCGAGAACTGAAACAACTAGAGCTGTGGAGAAGAAAAATAAAACCGTTGAAATTAAAAAAGGTAAAGACAACATTACTTACAAGTTATAATTAATTTGTTGTTTCCGTTTTAGATTTAGCAAGACCGATTAGTGCAAATTCTTTTATCAGCACCAATTCTAGCTGCTCTTATGAAGAAGAAGAAGCCATGCCATTTGCCATAACTCCTCAAAAAACCTCCATCTACCCCAACGAAGCTCAAGAATTTACAATTGAATTCAGGCCTTTGAAATATATGGATCACAACATGATACTTCAATCAACTATTATAGGTCTTAAACCAAAATTAAAAAATATACAAATAAATGTTACAGGAAAAAGCTTATTACCCATTTATTATTTTGAACTTGAGGAGACCAACTATCTGAGCAGAAGGCCCGATGTTATTAAAAAGTGTAATAGTATTGATTATGCGGATCCGAAAGTTATCGAATTTGAATCGGTTGGAATTGGAGTTTTATCTTTAAGGTAATATTGCTTTAAATTTAAAATAGTCTATTACTAATTTTATGCTTTTCAGAAAATTAAATATAGTAAATCCTGGTAATGAAAGTTTTACATATATATTTGATTCATTAGAACAATATCCAATATTTTCATACTTCGAATGTAAAACAGGTAGCGGTTTGGTAAAGGAAGGGAAAAAATCCGAAGTTATATTTACATTCAAATCACATGAATTTGGTAACTTTGAGGGATATTACATGTTTAAAATTTTAGAGGAAGAAATAAATGTTCCATTTTTATTAGCTGCGCGGTGTAGGCAGCCTGTTGTTTACTTTACACAATCGTACATTTCAATAAAACCTACAATTTTAAGTGTTCCATCAAGTGCTACAGTTAAATTATTGAATAATGAAGATATGGAGCTATTCTATAAATTTCATAACGAATCTCTCCTTAATGAAAATCAAGATCAACAATTGGGCATATCGCCAAAAAAAGGAAAACTTCAACCCCATTCAGAACAAATTATTGAGTATGAATTTTAATACCTTAATAGTTATTCTGATTGTTAATTAATAACATCACCCTTTCTTTAGGGTCACTTTTGAAGCAGAGAAATCCGGTGACGTCAATTTCTCCGTACTATGTACTGTAGAGAAGTTACCAACACCTCTCACTTTAAACATTTTTGCACAGTGTGAGGAAGTTTTTTCCTTAATATCCTATTGGGATAAATTTAATGCGATAATGAACACATTAGATAAAGATAATGAAAATATTATAAACTTAGGAATGGTAACTTTGTAGTCACTTTATATATAGTAAAAAAAATAATAATACTGCGGTTTTTAAAGATTACTCCAAAGAAAAGAGAAACAATAAAATTCTCAGTTTGCAATAAAGGGAAAACAGGATTTTTCTACACAGTGCAATTTAATGCAAAGCCTGTAGAGCACATGTTTTATATTGATGTAAACCAAAAAAAGGAATTTGTGGCCAGTAACAAAACCTCTACTTTAATAATATATCTCGAGGCTCTCAGAAAGGCGACTTTGAAGGATTTCAAGGTCAAAATAAATGTATTTATAAAATATTAAGCAAATTCTAGCCCTGATTAAAACTGTTTCAGATATCTTACGGACCGACTTATCTATTAAATATGAATGCAAAAGCTGAAACACCATTGGTCAAGCTTTCATTTCACACCCACAATTTTGGGTACTGCATTGTACAAAAAACAAAAACCACATATTACTCCGTTACTTTGGAACTTAAAAATATTGGAACTAGGATTTTAATGTAAGTAAAAGTACTGCATAGATCCATAGAATAATGCAGTTATTTGATATTGTTTTTTATTTAAAATTTTCATTAATAAAATCTTTCAAATGTGAGTAAAATCTTTTAGTTCAACATAAAGCAAATTATATTTTTTACCTGATGACAGAGTTAGGCATTAATCAATTAAATTTTCAATCAAATAATTAATTGATTGAAATAGTGCCTATATTACGTAATAAGTGTTGTAAAAAGCATTTTACGCACGAATGGAAAAGTTACGTAATTCTATGAGTACGTAATTGCATTACACCAATAAACTTTTTCAATTGTTTTAAAAAATGACTAAAACTAACAATTATCCTGCTTTGATAAAGGCAGACACTTTAATTTTATGCGAACAAATATTTGTATACAAACATTTGTATAGAAATGATTACTAAAACATGATTGTCAGTATTAAACTTAAATTGATAAGTGATTGTCAAAAATAACTTAAGAAATTATAATTAATACATCTATTCTGCAATTAAGTTTAATTAAAATTGGTAAAAAGAAATATATAGTAACCTTTTATTTGTTACGTACCTACATATTTTATTCATAACTTACATTATACTTTTATTTTGGCGCCACTATGCTGTTCATACTATTGCTTAATATATATAATATGCTCAGTTGTTAGTTGTTAATTGAATACATTACTAGCCGGCCTGTTGCTTTCATCAAATAGTGATATTTCGCTTCATGTTAAGTATCAACTAAATATATAAATTGTTAACAAGGCCAGCTACCGGTTAGTAATGCCAGTATCTTGTTTTGCTTTGCATTAGCTTTATGTTCAAATTTTGTTATTGAGGAATTTTGATACTTACTTTATTCCTACTTAAAATAAAAAATGTTTTCTTACAATCCTACTTTATTAGCTTTAAGAGCGACCAGTTTGAAGGTGTGAGGTAGCGAAGCGTGCAGCATGGCCATAATTTGACAAGTCTGAGCCTGCATAAAAATGCACTCATTGCGTAAGACAATGTATTCGAGTACAAAGAAGTACCCGAGTACACGGGAAAGTACTCGAGAACATTTCTTGCGATCTAAAATGAAAAGTACTCGGGACTGAGTACCAAATACACTGAAAGTACTTGGAAAGTATAGTGTCTGAGTACTTCTGCTCGAGTACCGCAAAGCTCTGCTTGTAATATAACTTAACTGCACAACTGTGCTGTTCAGCAACAATACAGTATAGTGGTATACACATTGTCTGGTCTTATCTTAATTATTAATCATCTACCTCATTTTTTGGTTTAATTAAAAACAAAATAATTACGTGGATATGGAAGTCTTGTAATTGAATGAATTATTATTATGTGGAAACATCCATATTTGGAAATATAATTGTACTCACCTCAAAGCTTTCTCATTCGATAAACTAACTGTTAAATTTAAAATTGTAATTATTTTTATTTGTAATGAGAATAAGACTACTATTGACTACTACTACTACAACTACTGTTGATAATTTTCAGAATGAGTTAAAATTTAAATTTAAATCAATGTGATTATTTTTTCAACTGAACCATATGGTGACCATTTCCAATCATTTTCATGAAAGATGAAAAAATATTTGATTATAAGTTTCTGAAATCCACAAAGCATTATTTGGTTTTTATCGAATATTCCAAATTTGACTTGATGGTATTTACTAATTTTACTATATTATATTTGTATCGAAAATACATTGATGGTAACTTACATAATAATTAACTAATTGAAAACCATGATAATTACAAAAAATTAAATTGAAAAATCCCTCACCTTAACAATCTAAAGGGATAAGGTCACTTGGGAAAAAAGTGGGCATATTTGCTTAGTTCTGGGAATATTTTCCCATTTTAGTAAATGGAATTCTTTGGTCACTAGTAAAAAGTTACATCTATAGACAAATGCTAGCATACCCAATTTTACTTAAATCAGGTGAAAGCTTTCAGGGTCATTTGAAAAATAATTAATTTTTTTTTTGTCAACTTTGATCCCTTCTTCAACTGTATGAAAAAACTTTGATTGTGGATGTTTAGATAAATTGTCTTATTTTCATCCCAAGAATCTGTAGTAGTTGTATGTGCTTATAATAGGATATCGTGTATATTACATATTCACAATTTCGACAGGTTAGAGAATTTTTATGAAAATAATGAAGATTTAACAATTGATTTCAAGAGTGGACATGTACAACCTTCTGCTACACAATATATAACCATGTATTTTCACCCCATGAATGTAGGTCGATATGAAATAAATATACCACTAAAAGTGAACTCTGTGAAGTACGTAGTCAAAATAATGGGTGAAGCAGTAGATATTAACTTGCAACTAGTTAAAAGTAGTGATAAATATATTGACCTTGGAGGAGTACTAGTAGGAACACACCAACACTATGTTGTTCAAGTAATAAATCGGACTCCTACTCACGTAAATGTATTTTTCGATCTATGGCAAAAATTACCCTTCCATACCAGACCCAGAGAAAAGATATATTCAGAAATAAAATTACCGGATGTACCAGAGCCAACAAATCAATTGTACTGCCTATAACATCGGTACTTTAAATTTTTTTAAACACATTGTTTTAGGGCATCTAAATCAGTTAAAACTATTATCAAAAAGAAACAAATAGAAGAAAACAAAAAGGCAAGTAGTAAAGAAAGCAAAAAAGAAGGTAAAAAAGAGAAAAAAGTCGTTGAAGATGTAGCTAACAAGATATCGAAGTATTGCACAATATACACGCTTTTACATTTGTTATGTTTTATTTACAAGTATTATTGTAGGTCCCAAAAACCAGATAAAGATAAGGGTAAAGATAAGAAGAAAAAAGAAGATGAAGAAGTAGTTCAAGACGAGTGAGACTATATCCTGTTAATAAAATTGAGCAGTATACCTCATATTTTGAGGGTGTACATAAATCTATTTTCTATCTTCAACAAATATAAAATAATTTTTAGTTTTTTTCAATTCAGATAATTAAGTATAATGATAATATTATCAAAAAATATAATTCAAGTCTCATTTAGTCACAACTGGCACTTAATCAAGTAACACTTTTCAATTTTAGCATATTAGAGTTAATAGAGCCACCAAAGAAAACTGCAATTGACTTTCTGAAAATATCACCAAGAGATTGCATTCAATTAGGGCCAGATAAAAAATTTCAATTCACTATAGACTTTATGCCAACAGAACGAATAGAACATTTTTCGGAAAAAGTATATTCGCATCAACTTTAGTAATTTGGTTTATTAATAATATAATTCCTAGATTTTCTATGAAATTCAAGACCATATTGAACCGTTATGTGTAGTAAAAGGTTTCTGTCTTATACCAAAATTTGTACTGTCTCAAAGTCAGTTAAAATTTTCAAATGTAGTAATAGGACTCAAGCATACGATGAAGACTTTGTTAAGGAATATGGGTGACTTTAAAGGAAGGTAATTAAAATTTAATTCAAATTTAAAAACATGACTTTCTCAATTGGATTAACATAGATTTCAGTGGACATTAGATAAGAAAATTGACGTATTTAGTATAACACCATTGTCTGGTTTTGTTGGCCCATCATCAGAAATAGAAATTTGTGTCACATTTGCATCAAAGACGGTTGACAGCATATATAAGACAAAGGTAATACGTATTGTAAAATTTTATAAATAGTTTATTATCTTATAAGTACATGCTTTTTAGGCCAAATGTTTAATAGGTGGGCTAGAAAAACCTCTGGAATTGATTTTAGAAGGTAACTCCACCAAAGTTCCTACACCCATTTCTACTCTACATTTCCGCTGCCCTGTACGAGAGAAAATTCAACAGCAGATTAAAATTTTCAACAAGTATGTTAAACTCAATAAGACTTTTCAATTGATATCATCAATTACAAACTAAAATAAAATAATAGTTCATTACCTTTCATCTAATGGCTAGTAAGTTTTATAATAGTTTATTCATTTGTTAATCAATTTGTTTCATATTGTAAACATTTTTCTTTAGAACCAAAGAACGGTGGGTCATCCACCCTTTCATATCAAGCGAACAGTTTTCGACAGAAAGAGACCTAATAGTTGAACCAGATACCGAGTACACTTTAGATGTTACTTACAAACCTGAAGTGATGACTACATTAGCTCCTCACAATGTAATAGCTAAAACATATTAACAAGTAATTCAAAATTATAGTTTGTTTTTTCTAGGCAACGTTATTTTTACCCTTACCAGAAGGTAAGGCAATTATATACACACTAATAGGACAAACGCTGCCTCCTTTACCAATAAACAAAATTAAGATGGACATTAAGTGCAAAATGTACCACACACAAGTACTATCTATACGGAATTGGATGAACACAAAGCAGTGTTTCAATGTTACAACAGAATTAATGACCCCACTGACAACAAAGTGTTTGTACAAAGTTTCCGGAAATCCCCTGGTGGAACTTTTTCCTAATGAATCTAAGGACTATATCTGGAAAATTTTTATTATAAACGAGATACCATTGGATTTTAAGGTGGGTATAAGAAAAAAACTGTTAAAAACTAGATTAATTTGCAATATTTCCAAACTACTGAAAAGTTTTAAGTATAAACATTTATGTATATTTATGCCTGTTTATACAGGGTATTACTAAAAACTAGGTTAAGCGGTTAACCAATATAATTTGCCTTGTGCTGTTTTTCAAAAAAGAACTTTATTAATAATTCCTTTATTTTTTTAAAACATTCGTATTTTTCTTTAATTTTTGTCACTTGTAAAAGTTTTGTTTAGCTCTTAGTTTGTGAGAAATTGCAACTTGTTTAGAGATCTATGTTATATTGACCACTCGCTCGTGTTTAATTTTCCAACTTTTCTTAAGCAATTTTGAAAAGTGGCATTGGATAATGCATAATAATCAGATGTGTTTCTGCATAACATCTATCAGCTTTGCAATTATAATTTAAAAAAAAAATCTGTTATTAAAATTGCAGAACATTGAAAAAATTAGAAATTTTCCAGTACATTTGCTTGTCCCATTAGCAGAGCCCAAATGTTCGTTCATAGATACATTGAATATTAAATTCTTATGTTTGTCTTCTTTTCTGATCTTTAAAATGCCAACGTAGTAAACTTCATATCTTAGTTTTAAATAAATCTAAGTTTTAAAATTAGATTTAAGTAAATTACGAGAACATTTATTTAACCAAAACCATTGTCTAAATCGATAATTTAAATCCACTAATTTTCTTGTACAAATGCGAAGCCATAAGTCTAACATAAACAGAAAAATTTCATGTTATATCCAAAAATGAGGCAATATGTCCTCCAACCATATATCAAAATTTTACAAGCATGAAAAAAAAATGAATGATATAAATGACTATTAAAACTTCCGCCCGTTACACTAGGCCTTCAATGTTTTAAAAAGAATTAGGCAAAAGTGTGTCAGCATAAGATAAAAGTTTGTACAAAATTTTAATAGTATTGTAAAAAATAACCATATTATTAATGAAAATCTTTTTTAATTTGTAACATAAAAATTGCATCTTGAAAAGGGCGCAAAAAAAGACAAGGATTATTATTTTTGACCAACGGCTTGACTACCTTTCTACAATACCCCGTATTTGTAAAATGTTGAATATTTATTATGCTACTATATCGCTACCCTTATAAGTTATTAATATTTTAGGTTATTTTTACAAATATCGAAACTAATGAATACATGTATTATGAAATATATATAAATGTTTTGCCCTGTGATGCCTTAGAAACAAAAGTTGTAACTACTTGTGTACGAAAACCAGTGGACTTCATGATAACATTAGAGAATCCTATTGATTACCCCGTTACCTTTACTGTAGAGTGTGATCTTGCAGAGTCAATTTTCGATCAATATGTTACATTAGAACCATGCAGCAGGGTAAGAGACTGGTTATTTCGGCAGTAAAGAAAATTTATCGCATGTATTCTTTGTAGTATCAACTTCCTTTCGCATACTGCCCTCTCAAGAGTGACGAAATCACTACGTATTTGTATGCCACATGTCCAGAACTCGGCACATTCACTTACTGTGTAAAACTAATAGCGAAACCTCCGATGCCAGAAAATACAGTGAAATTTAAGGCTGAGTTGGGGGAAAAAGTTAATAAATCAGTTCTCTGGAATAATACTTTTAAAGCTGCTGTCGAATTTACTGCAAAGGTATTTATCACATCGCAAACATGTTTACAACTGAACACATGATAAATATTTTAGTTTGACCATCCTGTCTTTTCACTAGAAAAAGTGTCTAGCATACCAGAAGGAGAAAGTGGAAGACTTAAATTTGGTTTTGAACCGAACCAACTGGGTACAATACAAAGTAAAGCTATTGTTTTTTCACCACAAACTGGAAATTATGTGTAAGAGTTTAACACATTTTATTATTCTTAAATGTAATAGTTGTTTCAATAATTTATTTATTTACGTATCTTTCATCATAAATTAAAAAATGAAAAAGATATCTTATGATAACCGAGACCTCTATAATGCGGCTTGAAAAATGGGTACTCGGTATATTTAAATAACTGTTTAATTTGCAGTACATATTAAGAATAAGCACATCAGACAGGAAAAATGCTCTATATTAATATTAAAATTCAAATATTTAATTGTCTCTAACAATGAGAAGGTAAGTTAATCGGATTTTTGTAATTTTGTGATATTTATAGTACGTGTAGTTTGGACCTTGAATAAGAATTTTCTGAAGTAGTTCAACGCAACGTTCATAAATTACCGAGATAATCGATTTTGAAAATGGAAAATGGTTTTTTAATTCTTTTTCTCATCTCGAAAATTATGAACAAACGAAATATTAGAATGACTACTTATTTATAAGTTTCAAATATTTCATTAAAATGCACAATTGGTTGATAAACAATATTTATTATGAATTAACAATAAGGTTTCATTAAAAAAAAAAAACAAACGAGGTCAGGTAGGATGCTTTTTATTTCATTTTTAGTATTTGACATTTTACGCAGTGTGGCATAAGCTAGAATGATGATGTTGAAAGTGTGAAAGTGGAAAGCAGAAATTTTTTAAGCATCTAGCACGTCGTGTAAATGTTATGTTTTTACAGACACATTTTGTTTGCAAAATATCGGCATCAAAGCAAATTTCGTTAACATTTTGAAAGATTGTTCTTTCATCGCACAGTTTCGATGCTTCTCTACCCTTTATGGAATTTATCAAAACTTTTTATGCCCGAGCAGATGTGTTCTGTAAGCAGTTTTTCTCAACACGGTGGACGACCCACATAACCTAGCTCAAAATTTTAATCAAACACTTGAAGAATATTCCTACATACAGTTCTTATAATATTTCGTTTGTTCATAATTTTCAAGATAAGAAAAAGAAGATGAAAGAAAGCTAGATGCTTAAAAATTTCTACTTCCCATGTTTCTATGATAACTACCATTCTGGCTCGTGCCACACTGCGTAAAATGTCAAATACTAACATACAAATAAAATAAAAGAACATCGTACCTGACGCCGTTTGTTTTTTTTTTAATGAAACCTTATTGTTAATTCATAATAAATATTGTTTTATCAATTGTGCATTTTAATTAAGTATTTGAAGAAGAAGAACATACATAAGAACTTATTATAATATTTCGTTTGTTCATAATTTTCAAGAGAAAAATAAAAAACCATATGGTGGGTTTCAAAAAAAAAAAAAATGTCACACGACGGACTCGAACTAGCGATCTCGTGACTGTCAGACCTGAACGCTACCAATTAGGCCATGCTCATAGTTGATGAATGTGTCGCATCTAGTGGATTTAGCTGTCAGGTTAAACTTCAAAATCGATTATCTCGGTAATTTATGAACGTTGCGTCGAACTACTTCGGAAAATTCTTATTCAAGGTCCAAACTACACGTACCATAAATATAAAAAATTACAAAAATCCGATTATCTTACCTTCTCCTTGTAAACATTATAAAAATTATAAAACTAATAACAATATTTTAGTAGATACTACATCATTTTATTTTATTTGGGAGATACATTTTTAAATAATTTTAAAATTGGTAGATTGGTAGAGAAAAATTTTTAAGTAACAGTTAAAAAGTATTATAATGCAATTTTCTTTGCAAACTGCTGAAAAATTTCTTTTAGGTATCCATTAATTGGAGAATGTGTCTTACCTACTCCGAAAGGTCCCTTCTCTGTTAAACCAGGTGGATCAACACAGATAAGCTTTGTTAATCCATTTATGGAAGATCAAACATTCAACTACTACATCGACTCGAATGCTTTTTATTTAAAAACAATAACAGAGACATTGAAAGCTAAGAAATCAACAAAAATTATCGTCAACATGCAAGCCTTAAAATACTTGGATGTAAATGTACAACCACGCCAAATAACTGCAAAACTACACGTTGAGGTGGCCGGTAGCCCTATGAACAACATCAAATGGGTTTTTTATATTCAGAGTGAGATTTAATATATATATTATATACCGATTTATTTATGAGCATAAATAAATAATGACTTACCACCTACAGGCATTTTCTTGGTACTTCTCTATTTTTTTATTGCAAGTAAAACAACGTATTTATAAAAATGATTAATGTTGATAAACTGATGATAATAATAAATGTATGTTGTACTTAAATAGTAAATGGAATATCAGAAAAGATGAAATATTTAATCTTCACCAGCAGGCATTGCATCTTCCAATCTTCTTATAAATTTTACTCTGATTTCTGTGTTCTGATCACCTTTTAACTGGTCCTAAAATATAATAAAAGGTGTCACAATTTTTGTATTACTGAAATATTTCTGAAATACCTGCACAATCCAACTTTGCACATCCAACTGAACCATTTCTAGAGCACCTCTTATCGCGCCACAAATAATATTACAGTATTTCAGACTCTTAAGATCGTCTGGTAATTCTACAAGGTCTGTCAGAGGATTTGTGTCCAAGATAAAAGAAAACTCGTCTCCTGCTGCACTCCAGTTTGCTACGTTTGGTTGTACACCTAAATACATTCTAAAAGCAGTCTGTATTTTATCTGCTGTATCTTTTAAATCTAGACATCTCCCAGTACCAGTTTTTGCCAAAAAATCTTCGATAAGCCTAATTCCCATGTTATAACCAAGCCGTTCTAATTGCTTACTAACATCGTCAGTATTATCAAGATCTTTCATCATTTGGGCAACCAGAGCACCATACGTAAGAGTAACTAACTCTGAATTCTAAAACGAAACAACTGATCATAAAAATAAAATAACTTATATCCCAAACATACCACTTTTTTAGTATCAAATCTTGTTGAAGATCTCGACATGTTGGTATTTTGTTAAATGTTTCTTTCAAAAATAAACTTTTCTGTAAAATTAGTCTTTTTAAAAAATGTCAACTTTACATTCTTAACCTCCCCAAATTTCTTTCGACTTTGACATTTACAAGACGTCAGAAACAGTGACCAGTGACGTTTTACGTCACTTGACAGTTCGCACTTTTGTGCTTTCGAATTCCGAATATGAAAGACTGAATCACACCCAAAAAATAGGCTAATAGTCATTTATAAAGAATATTGAGAGCCATAGAACGAATTGGGTTACAAAACTTTATTCGTGCTATTTTTACAAACGCAATTACTTGAATTCATACATATTTGATTTTGCTACTATCGAAATATGTTCACACCTTTAATGTTAAAAGACGTTTAATCAAACTTTAATCCGTTGTAAATCGTACTTTTCAATTTTCCTGCCAATTAAATTTAGGTTATGTGGTGAACTTGTAAATTCTTCAGTATGTTACCGTGTTATAGTTCAAGCGAACAATAAATAATAGCGTCATTTAGTAACAATAAAAATGAGTAATTCGTCGACTTTTATATTTGTAAAATCGTAGTACTTCCCTTCCAACAATGGTTTATAACGGGAGCACTATGTCAGTTATGGACTGGTCAAGTGAAGATATTAGATCCTGTTTAAAAAAAGAAGGTGTCGAGGAAGATACAATTATAATATTATGTGATGAAAATAAGCTGGATGGTAAATGCCTCCTAATGTTAAACGAAAATGATTTTGCTTTGGACCCCATTAGTAAACTAACACTTCGAGATAGAAAAAAGTTATATTTTTTATGTAAAATGTTGCAAAGAGAGAATCAGAGTGTTTTAGCTGATCTAGGAGTGTTAGATAGCCACACTAGCAGTATATACAGTCCTCAGACGCAGTATAACAAATTAGAAAGTGAATATGGTGATTCTGAAAGAATATCTCCTCCAATATCAGAAGATGGTAGACCTCGTTACCCTCCAGAAAAGACGAAAGCATTGCTTAGTTTGTTATATGTTGTTGCTGTGACTTGGATAACAGCTTTCGTCATGGTAATAGTGCACGATAGGGTTCCTGATATGAAGAAATATCCACCTCTTCCAGATATATTTTTAGATAATGTTCCCCATATACCATGGGCATTTGATATGTGTGAAGTTACTGGAACTATTCTATTCACGATCTGGCTCATAGTGCTACTTTTTCATAAACATAGGTATGTAATTTATACTCTCATTTATATCTGCATTTATGAATTTAAAATACATTATAATGGTTCTCTTCCTATCTACATGTGTCACTTTTAATGCAGATCAGAATATTACTATTCAAAATCTTATCTGTAAAATGTGAACATTTTTGTGGTCAGTATAAATTGTTACGTCAATTTAAATTGAAATTTGATTCACTTGTTTCCCATTTATTCGTAAATGTTAAAAATGGAATTCTTCATGTAATGATTTTACATCTAATCTTAATCTACTGAAAATCTTGACCTCTGACCTCTTGTGAATTACAACTGAAGTTCCTACATCAAATTATGATTAAAACAATAAATAATAATAATATATATCTGATCATAGATCATATTTATATGTTATAATAATATTATCTTTATTATAAACCAAGTATCCAATGCTGACATTTTATTCTATTAAATATAACCTGAATGAATCATAACTTGATTGGATAATGATTTTTGTATTGTTTATAAAATATTTCAGCTCGTGCGTGACTTAAGTGATATGAAAATATGTGCACATGAACTTTGCTTCATAGTTACCAATCAAATTGAACAATGAAACAAAGGATTAACAAATATAAAAACGAATTCTGTTTGAACAGTCAATATTTACATTCTGTTACACTTCCAGCTAACACTGTTTTTATTTTTTTAGTATTTTTCGGAGCTGCACACTTTAAAAACGCAATTACAGCAATAACAAATAAAAAGACATTTCATTTTTTATAGAAACTTATATTTTACAGGTTTATTCTTATGAGAAGATTCTTTGCATTATCGGGAACAGTTTTTCTCCTACGTTGCGTCACAATGCTTATAACATCATTAAGTGTTCCTGGGGCACACTTACAATGCCAGCCTCGTAATTATCTCACGCAGGGATCGTCGAGCTTCTCTGATCTGGCGAAAAAATTCTCTCAAGCTTATGTGATATGGAGGGGCGCTGGAATGTCTATACAGGGTGTCCGGACATGTGGTGACTACATGTTTAGTGGACACACTGTGGCACTGACAATGTTAAATTTTTTTATTACCGAATGTAAGTGATTTTAATAAGTTTCTAACTAGTATTTTTAATAACTAATTTTCAACTAATAATTTTGTCAATGTTGAAAATGTAAAGATAGGATGATTTATTTGAATATGCCCTCGCAGAGAAACATTCATAAAACCAATAAAAAAGTTTCATACATTTGCCTATTACGTGAGTATGTTTGCGACACTGTCAATAGGTCGTAATAGGTTTTGTTCACTATTAGTTGTGCATATACATACCAAGATATACTCGCACAGAAAAAAATTTATTATCTTAACCAACATTGAATGTCCAAAAGGACAGGACTTCTACAATACAATGTGTTTGATATTATCGGAAAATGCAATGCAATATGATGTTACAATTTTGCATCACAATCTTATCTAAAATGTTCATACTTGCGAGTCGCTTTATTTAATTAAACTAACTACAAAACAAGTGGGAGTGTTGAGGATGCACACTTTGTTCAATCTGTTGGTTGACTATTGTACTTCACAGTTGTAATATCGGGAATTATTATACAAAAAATATAATTAGAAGTGAATTGAAATTTTACAGGTCGTCTTTTACACAGTAGACTAACCTACCTTTAAAATATTGCCGTGTTCTAATAAATCACCTCTGTATATTATATATTCACATTTTATTACTATTTATTTTAGATACTCCAAGACACATATACTATATTCATACCTTCTCTTGGATGTTGAACATGTTTGGAATTTTCTTCATTTTGGCAGCCCATGAGCACTATTCCATTGATGTCTTCGTAGCTTTCTATATAACCAGTCGTTTATTCCTTTACTATCACACTCTCTCGAATAACCAAGCACTAATGCAAACGGATTCAACTAGGACGCGGGTATGGTTCCCGTTATTCTCATATTTTGAGTCCAGCGTCGAAGGTATAGTACCAAATGAATATGAAACTCTGAGTGAGATAATTATAAACATCTGTCAGTTCATAAAGAGCCGATACAATGACATTAAAATGCATGTTACTGTTGCCGCTAAGAGTAGTACCTCTACCAACCATGTAATAGAGACTGTTAGTAGAACAATTACAGAAAATAATAAAAATAAATGAGTTGTTGGTGTGTGGGTCTTAGAAACAATTAAAAGTACGAATTTAAAAAGTATTATTATTTAATTACAGCTAACGTATCATTATTTGAAGTGGTGCAGAATTAAATAAAATAATAAGCAACAGTATTGCTGAAATAATTTATTTAATTATCATGTACTGTAAGTAATAAAATTTTAATTACGTTAAATTTGAACTGCACTATTACAAATATTATTACCTTTACTGATTTTGGATACTAATAAGGCTGATATTTATTACGAAGTGTTCATGAATTCTCTTTTATTATAAAATTTATTTATTATCTTTTTGCGTTTGCAATTTCCAAAAATACCAAAGACTTCCACTATGTTAGGATTGCTTCCAGAAATTAATTTCATTTATCCAATTGGAGATGGATATGTATACAAAATTGTTGAAGCAAATTATCAATACATATATACTTTAATTGCTGTAGTTTATTGTTTTGTAACGTGTTAATAAAAGTTTCTTTCGTGTTCAAATGGGACCATTTTCGATTTATCAAAAGAAGCTATTGTTTGTTATTTATGAACTATATCATAGTCATTTTTGTTATTAAAAAAAAATATTTATATTTTGTGTAAATATATTTCATATATTATTTATTGTAGTATATATAGTCCTCAGACGCAGTATAACAAATTAGAAAGTGAATATGGTGATTCTGAAAGAATATCTCCTCCAATATCAGAAGATGGTAGACCTCGTTACCCTCCAGAAAAGACGAAAGCATTGCTTAGTTTGTTATATGTTGTTGCTGTGACTTGGATAACAGCTTTCGTCATGGTAATAGTGCACGATAGGGTTCCTGATATGAAGAAATATCCACCTCTTCCAGATATATTTTTAGATAATGNATTGTAGTATATATACGAATGTCTGTTTTTAAGACGTGTTACACTTAGGAGAAAATGGGCAACAGTAATATATTTTTTTGCGTTTCAGTTCGTTTTCAGAGGACCGTTTTTTTATTATAAATTAATTAAGTAGCACCAAATAGGATCATTACTTTTAATATGTATATATGTTTATTATATATTTTTTCTTTTTTCAAATAATCAATCAAAAAAGTACCACAATAAAAAATAGTAAATATTGTGAAATAATCTTATTTTTCTAAACAATACTGTCAAAGGAATATTGTAAATGCAATATATATCTTGTCAGTTCTTATTCATTGGGTATATGTATATTGTTTACTAATTAATATTCTTAAAGGAGCTACAAATCCATCCAAAACTGCTTGAGAGAAACGATTACTTTGATTTTTTTTTTTTAAATATTCGTAAACTTCTGCATGAGAAAGTTAACTATACCTTTCCTTCAATCGACTTTTATTAAATATGGGTACTTTTAAATCTGTCAAGTCTTCTAAACTTAATTATTGGCTCAAATATGTACTAACCATAACATAATTAGGTAGTTATTGTTACAAATCTCTGTGATAGATAATTTATTAATGTTTATTGAAAATATTTTCTTGGTGCTAATAATTGTCCTATTAATACCTTACATGATTATACAAATTACGAGTTAAAATTGTATCCATACATGGTACTTGCAGTGGCGGTTCCTCAGGTGATGCAAGTGACGCACCGCTTCACCTAAAATTTCCATTTGGCTGTGCAATTTAAAATTATTTTTAATTTTATATAAATTTTATACTTTAGGTATAATTCTATATTGAAAATGTATTGTGTTTGTTTAATACGCAGAAATAAACAGAATAGTTGCGCGGTGAACGCCTTCTAAAAAATATTGCCTTTGTTGAGCGCGAACATCAACCTCGTACATACCATACAACGTATAGTATACGCAAGTGACGCAGTTTGAAATTGGTCTGTATTCTGCTTCTCTTCATAGCGTTGTTTACGGCGGTTGTCATGGCAACGAGGCGGCCAACTCGGGATTAAACTACGGTGTGGGGGAACGAGTGACGCAAAAATTTAAGCAGCATCGTCCATCGCCTGCCATTAACAGTTTATACTCTACGCGTCGCCCAGTGCACGATTATAATGGTTCTTAGTTAATATTTGTTTTATATAATAATTGTAGAAATGTTTCCAATGTATGATCTAGTATGTTTTTTATTGGCAATGCCATCTTCCAGATGGAAAATTGTGGACAATAAGAATTTTTTAAATTGCGAGAGACCTGTACCTTATTGTCTCGATATGGAAAAAAGGGGAAGTCAAAAGACGTGTACGTTCGAAAGTTTCGTAATGAATGGTATTCAGAGTATTAAGTGGTTGTGTGTTGTGTGGAAGTGTTCGTGTAAAAAAACTTCTGTATGCCGTGTTTAATTGTGGGTGTAAAGTTGTACGTGTGGAATAAGAAGGGATTTAACAATTTTGGGAACGTCACGCAAGGCTGTCGTAATCACAAAGCTTCTTTAGAACATACATGTACGGTGTGTGTTAATGTTCGCAGAAGACCACAAGCCAAACTAATATTCCTATTTTGTATAAAATCTAAATGAAAACCCTTCTCAAGAACGTCAGTTTTTCAGTAATATTGCAAATGCAACTAAAAATGACCAGATTCATTTAAAGCCATTTGACCTTGAAAATTTGAAAATTTTCGTCAACGCCAGCAGCGCTTTTTTTCTTTTTAGTCAATCAATGAATATGCTTCACCTATTCTCAATGTCATGAGCCGCCACTGGGTACTTGTAACATGGGATCTGTATAGATATAATAATTTATAGCAAAGCTACTAATTATGTCACATCATTTGAACGTGCAGGTCTCCCACTCAAGTGCTTAGATTTCATCACCACAAGTTCTGTTACATTTTAATTTTGCTAGCTTATCAACGCACAAATATTATGTTACCTGACCTTTACCATTTACCTATTTGTTAAGATAGGTATATCTACAATAAAACCATATAAAGTAGGTTTTAGGTACATTGTTTGAAATTTTTAAATACTAAATTTTTTATGCTGTATTAAATATATGTATTTTTTTAATAATTAAAAAAATATTTATTGTTACAGTCAAACATATTAAATGTGAAGGAATATCTTATTACAAATCCCTATTAATATGAAAATATTTCTTTTTGTGTCATTTATTATGTACAGTTGTTTGAATTTTTACCAAATAAAGATATTTTTCTTATTATTGTATTGTTTTATTATTAAAATTAAAAAATTTATAAATATACTGGGTGTTACAGACACGAAAAAAAAAAATTCTTGAATGATACAAATTGAATGCGCTGGGTGTCCGTCTTGTTGAAAGTAAAGAAAAAAACAAAGTTGGACGATCAAATTGAAAATTGATAATCTGTCATAACTTTTAGTTCTCAATAACTTTCTAAATAAATATTTTTGATATTTTTAAAAACAAAGGTACTTTACTTATGACAATTTTTGAAAATTCATTGTAAAAACACCCTGTACATTAATTAATTGCACTAATTTTTTCAGCTTACTAATTTAAGGCTGAGCAGAGATAATGCCCAGAAGCTCAAATTTCAACTCGAAAAATTTTTGTCATTTACATCATACGTGCACACAATCCGTGGACACTGTATGTAATAAGTAATAACGATAAATGCGTAACTTGTTAAATCTTGAGGGTATCAATAATAATGCCCCCTGGATCTTGACGGCGTGCAAACGTCAAAATTTGTGGGCAAATATCAGCCCTTATTTTTTTAAATCTAGTGGAAAGCGCGCTGGACTTCATTTTTACTGTTGTCGAGTGATCCAAGCATGATGATCGTCTTTGTATGGTGTCTATCTTTCACAATACATTAAAAATAAACATTTACCTTGAAAAAGTTTATTATAAAAAAGTGCTACATTTATCAATAAATAAATAAATATAAAATACCATATAATTTAAATTTCTGGTGGTTTCCATTTTGTACCCCCAATTTGTACAGAAATTCGTAATTAACAAATAATGCTTATGCTCTTATTAATTAACAATAGTTAATTAAAATGTCTTTTACAAATACTTATTGTTAAATGAAGAGAGATCGAATCTAATTCAATTTTCACCCTAGACTCTTGACCGCACTAGCTCTATCTCTATCGCACATATCTGTGCAGTACAGAGTGATTAACAAAATATTTGTTAAGAAAGACAATTAGCCATAGGCCACGGGCCTCAAATTTTTGCAATATATTTGTGCTCAATAAGTTAGCTCTTTTCTATGGGTTTTCATTTATTTTTTACAAAGTTGGTGTTCATGTGAGCCAAACTTTGCGCTTGTAGACTTATCAGTCAAGTTATTTATGGAAAATATATGTAATAATTTGTGTTGATGCTTCGTATTTAATAAGTTGACCCTTTTATCAGTCCTTGATCTTTCTGTGGTAGTGATAACAACATCTCATGTTGGTAAAATACAAAGCGTGTGGCGTTGTGTCGCGTATTGATCACCAATATTGTTCAGAATTACCTGTCAACAAAAGAGATGTATACAATTCAACATGTTCAGCGCCCAGAAAAGCCAGAAAAGGAATCTATCCACTCAGGACATTTCATGGTATCACACTTTGAAGCTGAGGAACAAGACGATGAAGACAATGTTGCTATACCAATCCCAGAGGTTACGGATACAAAAGCTATCGTACAAGTTAGGTCACAAAAGCAAGGATCTCTCATTGATTATGTGGAAAATAAAAAAAACCAGCAGCAGCTTGCAATTGACACGAGTTTGTCTAAACTCTTTCAATGCATGTCGTTAGCTTACAGGTTTGTCTTTCATTTTACCAGTGTTAGTTAACTAATTTGTCAAATTATCAAGGAATAAGGTTATCCATTTTTGTTTATGTATATTTTTCTTCAAATTGGTCTTTTCAGTTAATTTCTAAATATTTCTTATACTGAGACATTCTGTTTTTTAGATATACTTATCATGTTTAAAACTCGTAATTTCAAAAAATGCAAAAAGCATTCATGGGATATGTATTTATCAATATTAAAAATGTATTATATGTAATACTGTTTCATACAAGACATGAATGTAATGATTATAACTCATATAAATTTAAAATACTTATTCATACAACAGAATATTTTCGATTTTATAATATAACCATTGCTAAAGTGCTATATAAATTTATAGCTTGCAACATATGTTTTATCATGCAATCAAGACAAATTTAAAATAACACTAATTTAGCCCATTCTAATAACATATTCCAACTTGTAAACAGATTAATCCTCTGTAAATAGTTTATATTTATAACTAGCCTAAAAGTTGTAGAAACTTGTTTGCAAATATTTATATAGGTATGTTAATTAGGAAAAAATTAATTACACTATTTTTTCAATTGTTTACAAGTTACTAAGCTACAAATTTATATTTCCCATATACTTCTAAAGTTAAGAAGTTGCCAGGGTTTAATAAAACTGATGGTTATAATTTCAAAGCAGAATTGTAATTAAATACATGAAATTTGATGACTGGATAAAATTTATCACATATCAATTGTTATCAATTGACCTGCTCTTTTATTAGTATTTAATCTTAATATTCAATTAATCAATGATAATCTTAAGAGATACTCCATAAATACACATGTATTTCTGTAAAAATCAGTTAGTGTAGAGCTTTTGCATGAAATTTCAGTTATTTAAAAATATTTTTAATGAAATAATAAAGCTTATGATCTTTTTGTTTTTCACTTTCAATGTATGAGTAATATAAAAGTTTTAAAATAAGTTTAAATATCACAATTTTAAGAAATGCTAAGATGAAAGTTAAATGAACTCATTACAATGTAAAAAAAATAATGCAAAATTTATTTACTAGAATGATTATAACTGGACAAATTTCACTTGAGTCCAAAGTGTTCATCTCTTAATTATTTGTTTCTGTATTTTAACATAACTATATGATTACTTTGTGTTTATTTTTGTTATTTGTTTTGATATTGCAACTAAATGTTATTGTAAATGTAAACAGACATTGTTTACTTTAAAAGTGTACAATCATTTTATCAGATTACATTTATTGACATTTGTCTTCAATAATTTATATTTTTTATTTATAAAAGTTATTAGAAATTTGTTTCCTACTCAAGGACGCCGAATTCATTAAATAGTGTTTTCCGCAAAGACAAATAATTTCAAACATTTAATAACTGAATAATCTAAATCTAAGGAATGTTATGTCATGCCATCTGGGTATTTTCAAAGACGCCCTAGTAAAACGAATAAACAGGTGCAAAAAACGATCAAACCATCAAGGTTTTAGGCACTGAAATCTACGAAAATACAAGCTTTTTTATATATAACTCCACATGTAAATATTCTTATAACATTTACTTGTTTAGTCCTACATATAAAATTGTTAACTTTTATTTATAAGTACCTGAAAATAATTCTTAAAATGTGCGATTAGGATAACATCAAACGCATGTTTTACAAATGCTTTGTTTTAAGTTATAATTTTATTTGAGTAAATTTAAATAGTAACAATGAATAAACAGAACATTAAGGATTTTATTTTTGTGCTTACTTTTGTTCTACACGTTTTAGTTTTCAAGATTTCAGTACCTAAATACACCAGAAAGGATCCCGCACATTTTATATGGAAAACGGTCCTCCGGTGAAATTTGCTAAAAATTTGGGAAATTGTTCGTTTTGTACCCCTGATCAAGTGTCAATGGGGTCGAAGCTCAAAATGCCCATCTTTAGGCTCTACGGCAATTTTTAGTGGCCAAAAACGGCAAAAATTCATTTTTTAAAAATATTATGTTTAATGCTTGTACAGTCCCTTAAGTTTTCATTAAATTGTATGCGTGTGAGTATTTTACGTAGGAATATGTCCATGTCTAATTATATATGTGTATATGTATTTGTGTGAGAGGGTTTTTGAATGCACAATTATACAAGATTTAATATACACCGTCTCAATATTATTTTGTGGTTTTAATAACCTTCATTGAACTCGGAACTCTCATGCATTTTTTCAAAGAGTTCCCAAGAGTTGCCAAAGATTTTCCAAGAGTTCGCAGTTCATAACGGAAGTGGATTTCTAGAGAAAGAATGTAAATAAAGCGAAAGAGAAGACATGCTGAATGAATTTTTGCCATTTTTGGCCACTAAAAATTGCCGTAGAGCCTAAATATGGGCATTTTGAGCTTCGACCCCATTGACACTTTTGATCAGGGGTACAAAACGAACAATTTCCCAAATTTTTAGCAAATTTCACCGGAAGACCGTTTTCCATATAAAATGTGCGGGGTCCTTTGACTATTTCTCGGCCAGGGATATGGTCACCTTAATAATTTCACATAGAATGTTTCTTGCTCTCTGCCAATTAATGGTGGTTGTCACGAAATTAGTTTACTTCTTTTTACTACATATGGGGAATTCCATGACAAATCATTGACGTGACCATTTTCAATTTTCCAGATTTGTTTGATATTATTTAGTACCCATTCATAATTTTTATTTCAACCCACCAAGAAGTTAGTTGAATATTCTGGGTAAAAAATTTTGATAGCTGATCTAAATAGGTACTAAATAACAAAAAAATAGGAAAATTAAAAATGGTTTGGTCACGACCTGAGTAATTTGTCATGGTATGCTCCATATGTATCTCGTTTTATATAGGTAAAACCATTTTACCTGCTTATTTATAGATCATCAGTTGTAATTATTTTCTGATTTTTTTTTGTTTGTGTTATTTTTATTATTTAAACTGTACTGTTTGATATCAGTCAATAAAATCAAATAATCCTTAACTATCAGAATATGGAATAGAACGGTATTTACAAGATTACTTTCATAAATATATTAGTGTATATATGGAATTTGTCCAGTTGACATAGTTGTGTATGATTTACTACAAATGAAAAGATACAAGGTCGCTGAACCCAAGGCATTCCTAATGGAATTCTCCTAGAATTCCTAATTTGCACTTATGTATTTTGATTATTTTTAAATTTGACGTAGTGTAGTATAAAGTGATGAGTTTATAATGAGGACTATTAATGAATAAATGTAAAGAATTTGTACAAATTGACAAAAATAAAAAATGTACCTAATGTGTTTTCTCTAGACAAAAGTTAACATCACCAAAATGGAACAGATTTCGTGGAATAAGACTTAGATGGAAAGATAAAATACGCTTAAATAATGTTATATGGAGATGCTGGCATCTGCAGTGTAAGTCGGAAAGTTACTCGTAAGATGTAACTTCTTTAAAAATATTTTTTCCAGTTATAAAGAAAGAGAATACTTTTGTATGCCAGTTCGCCTCTCCACTTGATGTAGACACGCATAACAAGCCTGAGGTAAGTAGTATTTTTTTCAAGTTCAATGGTTTTTTAAATTCTGCGAATTTTTTCATCTTAAATGATACATATTCCCCCTTTTGTTTGAGTTAATGTAATAAATTATGAGTTCATATTTACATTTATTTGTTTAAGTAGTATTGTAGTTAGTTATCTATTGTATCAGTGTTTTCTTTGAGATTAATGAGGTGGAAGTGATATGCTATCACATTTTATGAAACACAATATTTAAAATCATCCTTAGAACTTTGAAAAACATACATCTATATGTCTTCTGTTTAAATATGAAGGTAGTGGCAATATTAATAAATTACGCTGTTTTTTATCTAGTTTAACTAATATTCTTATCATTTATTTTCGGAACATGCTGCAAAGAGAACAAAAATCTGGATATTAGAATTTTATCAGCCAATATCAATATTTTGTTTTGCTGAAAATAACCAGATATGGGAGTGAAGTAGATTATTACATGTAATTTCAGTCAAAATCAGATCTCATATCAGCAAAATCATTTGGCAAATATTTTGAATGCAAGATAAGTTTTTGGTACATTCTACTCTTAAATAATACCTATCTAATCTAAATAAAACTTCTAATGTTTACTGGTTTATATAAAAACAAGTAAATTAATAGTGTGCAAATGGAATTTTGTATTGGCTTGAATTCAAATATTATGAACTTTGAACTGTTTACAAATACGGGATTCCTGTATTTAAAACCAGCTATGCTTAATGTTGTATTTTTAAATAATATGCAAATGCTATTAAGGAGCGCTGTTAGATTGAATCAATTTTCGTTTATATATTCCTTAGAAATTGAAGATGTTTATAATTTTCAGTAAGTGTATCTATAATATTATTCTAATTTAATGTTTAATATAATTATTAATTAACGAAATAAATAAATTAATGTAATAATTTTGTTTAATCATGGTTATTTTTTTTTCATACTTTTAAAGAATTCAACATTACTTTTTGTTATGAACATTTTATTTAAGTTGGAAGTATATACAATAAGATTCAGAAATAATAAATACAATGATAAAAATCTCCTTCATTAGTTTTCAATGCACTATAATAGAAATATGACTTTTAAACATTTGAAATTGTATATTTTTTGCATATGTTTTATAGTTTTAATGATTTAGTATTTTTATTATTTTAGACAGAGAATTTAGTGTTATTAATATGTTTTTTTTTTTACATAGGGACTAGTTACTCCAACTTAATTATTTAATGTCGTACTAGATTGTTATTCTGCAGTAATCATCCTATTTCGAATTACATTAAATAAAAGTAACTCCTCTGGACATTCTGAGTATTAAAGCCGCCTAGGGAAATTTTAAAATACATTATCATTGAGATGAATCATTTGAATGATAGAAATTACAAGTAAAACAAATAAATAATTCACACTAGCTATAGATCAGATAATTTTTAAATGAAATAGGCACGTGTGTTATAGTGTAATATCGCCCTCGGTCGACTACATTCCCGGGCCAGAAGCCCTCGGGAAATATGAGCATAACACCCTAGATACCTTAATTACTAGTAGTTACAAAAAAGTGGTTCATTATTTATAGGCCGTTGTTCTGGAAGGGAAATATTGGAAGAGAAAGCTTGCTGCCGTAACAGCTGAATACAAAAGATGGCGGATGTTTTATCGAAACAACCTTTTGGGCCACATGGCCAGGGATGCAACAGATACGGTAAGCACAGATTAATAATAACGGAAAATAATGTAATATCATATTTGATTATCATCTTAATTCAGCTCAGCGATGTGGACTTGCTCGTTTGGGATTCCAACAGTTCCGACAACATGAATATGATGGTGGATGAGGACTACATGGGCTTGATGAGCGATACGTTATTTTCAACAATCACTAATCAACCGTTTGTCTTCCCAGATTCTAGAGAAATTGGTAATTGTAACAAAAAATATATATACAGGGTGTTTGGGAACTGTGAGCAAAACATTTAGGGAGTGATTCAAATTCTCTAATCCTGTATATCTAATTGTTTGTGGTTTCCAAACATCTTGTATTCACTACATTATTTGAAATTAATGATTTTTGTATGTAAATATGTTTTGATTTAAAGTTATATGTATATTAGTAGTGAAATCATATTTTAGCTAAAGCTGGTTTGGCTGATTTTATCCAGCCGAGCTTGGGTCCACTTCAACCTAACTTGGATGACTATATGGATACGCTTGATCCGTTACAAGGTAAAATATCATTAACCTGTATTGTATCTTATTTTTTTTTTAACAAAGACCTTATTGTAGAGCTTATAAGCAGTAGGTTACCAACAGTGCCTGAAGAAAACCAATCCACACAACAGACACAACAGCTGACCTGGGGTTATATAGATAGTTCTATGTCTTCCGCCACAACCAATTTACAGGTAAAAATGAAGGGGAAAAAATGACGGCGTGAATTTAGAAAGTTTACATAGCTTCAATTACAGGTTTCGAAAATAATACTTCATTTCTCAACAAATTTCAATTGTGTGAATTGTTAAGTGCAGTATAATTAATTTTTATTATTAGGTTCCCACATTGTCGTCATCACCTCAAATAAACCAGTACCAGCTCCAGCAAATACAGCAGATGCCCGTGGAGAAGCAAGTCCCCATCCAGGATACCCGGCAGCAGAATATCCAAGCTTCCTACAGTGACATGATCCTCCAGCAGCCCATAGAACAGTACGTTACCCATCAGAGTCAACCACCACCTTACTCGTCTGTGATCTCAAAAAATACCAAATCCATGAAGAATGTATCTCAGTCCAGGGGCAAGCTCCAGCAGAACATCCAGACTGTCTACAGCAAATCTATGGATAATATTTATCCATCCTATTCACAACAAAGTGTATCCAACCAGATTTTGGTCAGCGATCGAATATGCCGTAAGTTTATTTTATTTTCATGTTTGTCTATATTTTTTGGTACAAAGGTTAATTCTATCTTCGTTTGATGAAAATCTGAATAAACCAGTAATGCATCACATTTTGATAATTTCTTACTATATTTCTAATTTTCGCGTAGACATGTTTATCTTGCTGCAAATAACTTTGGAACTGATGAACTGCATCCAACCCGATTTGAACGAATTTTGCAGTTTAACATTAAGAACATTAGATCACTCCAAAATGGACCCCCAAAATTGGTCTTCTGATCAAATTTGGTAAACAATAAAGAAGTAAATGAAATCTCTGTAGATTTGTTAGCCGTAGTCGTACATTATTCAACATATCAACATAAAACAAATTCATACGTGTGGGGTAAACCTTTAACTTTTCATTTTCGAGCGCGAGCTCCGCTCTTCGGCGCTTGTATACTATTAGAAATATGCAACAGTAAATTTAAACAATTGTTTACTTAAAGTTAAAGGTTTACCCCACACGTTCGTTTTTGTTTTATGTTGATATGTTGAATAATGTTCAAGTATGGCTAATAGGCGCAAAATGTTAAGTAGCTTAGGATCTAAACGATGAAAATATTTTTGTTTTTAAATTGTAGGTAATTGTGCTGGCTAATCTACCATAATGGAATATTTTATAAATATACATAAATATATGTCCAAAAATTAAAAAACGGTGACGTATAAAACTAGGGTGACGTATAAAACCTTACCAAAACTGCAAAAATGAAGATACTTGAATTTTGCAAATTGCTTTTGGTTTCTGCATATTTACACTATGCGTGTACCAAATTTCAAGTGTCAGCAAAGCTTCGAACAAATTTGGCAGTTTCGAGTTTCAGATGCCGATGGATGTATAACACCTTATAGAAGAAAAAGTTTTGCTCTCCTGATTTTCGGCTTTAGTGTCATTATTGTATATATATTGAACTATAGTTTTCGAAAGTTTTATCACTTTTTGTTTATAATTGACATTTCTACAGCAACTTTAAAAAATTGACGTTTTATATCGTTTTTTCAATCTCATGGCTTTGTTATTACAAATTTCATAATCGGACCACCGTCATTTTGTAGCTATTTTTATTACGAACAAAATCATGTCCTAAGCATTTTTTCGTACAAAGTCATCCCGCTGAGTTATTTAAAGAAAACTACTAAAAAAAAAATTTTTTCACTATTAAATTATTAATAACTTTTTTTCCTGATAAAATACTTTGTCAGCAAATTAGCGTGTTATTGTACTCATCATTTAAAGTAGGCCTGTGTAGTTATTTCCGGGTTATCAAGGTTTGACACAGGCTGAGCCTCTACCAACTGGACTATTTGCCATTATTGTTATTATTAATAAAATTAATTTGAGGTTTTAGATAATAAAATAATTTGACATATCTGATGTTACAACTTTTCAAAATTTTATCCACTGACGTGTAAATACAAATGTTGTCTGGTTTCACCATAAATTAAAACGATATCCATCAACTCCGAGTTGCTATACATGCAAGTAGGGCTTACAATCCCGCAATGAATTGAAAATCCCGGTATTTACGGCACTTGACGTTAAAATCCCGCGGGATCTCGGTATAAACGGGATCCCGCGATAAAATGATATATTATTATAGTATAATACCCACATTTATTTATGTACCTATTAAATAAAACAAGTATAAAATTAAACTTCTATCATTTATTTTCAATATATCAAAAAAATGTTCTTTTTTGAACACTAAACATAAATAATTATGCAGATTAGGCTGTATTACGCACTCAAACACAGCTTAAGATAAACAAAATGATATGTATTTAATATAAAATAACAAAATTAATATCAATCAAAAAAATTATTAATTTTTATTTATTGTTTTTGCTGAAAATATTTCCGAAGAAAACAATATATTTACGCTGTGGTCTGATAAGGAGCTCCGTATGTCATTTACTAGATAACCGGCAGCAGAAAGAGCTCTCTCGGCCTCGACAGTTGTTGGGATTACAGATTTTAGACAAATATAGGCTAGTTCTAGATACTTTCTTTTAGAACGTATACGTTAATTATTCTGTGACAGACTACCACCACTAACAATGTAGAAAACAGTATTCGTGCCACGTGTGAAATCAACGACGCCAAACGGACAGTGAGAAGCAGCTGTGCACAATCACAGAATCCCGCAATCCACAACGGGATCCGTATATTTAAAAATTGGTGCGGGATCTCGGTATTTCGGGATCCCGGTATACCGGGATTGCAAGCCCTACAAGCAAGCCATTTTTGACACTAACTACTAAAAAACTATTGTAAACACCACCACAGTAAACACCATATGAATAACTAAATAAGAGGGTTTTATCTCAGACTAATAAATAAAGGGGACGCCGTTATTTACATTCGATAGTGAAGTGTTGATATATGTGTATTTACAAACATTGGTACTTGTGACGTCCTTGACGACGTTGATGCCAATGTTACAGTTTTATCTTTATAGCTAGGTACAGCGGTCATTTTAATTGATTAACATACAAGGATCTACCTCATTCTTGACCTCAACTTACAAATTAGTTACATTGTAATATTCATAAGACTATGACACTATTTTCTTGCAACTTGTTTTATAATTATAGATTCTGAATATTCGAAAAAAAAATACATTATTGAAATTCCTAGCAATACAAACGCCGTAAGTGGCATCATTGCCTGGTATTAAACCGTACTATGAGGGACGCCATTATTACAGTCTGTTATTGTGAAATCGATATTAGCCGAGTTCAGTGTTTGGTGTCTCTTTAAACTGTGTTTTTTTATTTAATTCAATAAAAATTCCAAAGTGGTGTATAATATGCCGACAATTACAGGAAAAGAGCCAAATATGTGCTACTTCTTTTCACAAGTAAGTTTGACATTGTTTCCATGGGCGTTCTTACAAGGGTGTAAGGTGTCTGTCCTAAGTATTTTATTTGTTAATTTATTATGTTTGTATTTTGATACTAACACTAGCTCTGTGTTTATTTGTAGAATACCATAAGATTCTGCAATACGAGCAGTGTGGCTAGAAAATTTAGCCATATCTGAATATGATTTATCAAAGGATAATTATGTCTGTTCGAAACATTTCCGTGCTACAGATATTAAGGAAAACGATGCCTCACACATGGAGCTATCCCTATTAGTACAACATTTGGAAGGTAATACGTTTTAAAAAAGTAATAAGAATAATTTAACAAATATTTTTAGCAGTGTAGATGAAAAGGTTTTGCCGTCTCAAAGGTTGCTTCCTTCGAGAAATTGCCAGTGAAGGAAATTTTATAGATGTTGCTATAAAACATCTTCAATCACATGTTGTCCCTGATCCGTAAGAGAGGAGCTGTCAATGCTATGAGCTCAAAATTCAGTTTATTTTTGTTGTGTGCATATAAAACCTGCTTGGAACATGTTTATTTTCCCATATGATTAAATGTTCAATGTAACTTAATTTTTCTGCTACTTTTAGTACAAATATGTTTTGTTTTCTTTGCATTGTTTATATTCCAGCAGATTTTAATGAAATATATTTTTGCTCCTTTTCTTGTAGTTTTATTTAAATTATTTATTTTAATAAATGTAGTTTTTTTTGAATTTATATTAAAGGAAAAACTTCTTAAAGTAAAATGATTTCATTAAACGAATACATTTATACTTTATTGACAACTTTTTGTGTAACTACAACAGGAAAACAAACATAATAATAATAATCTGTCAGACTTTTGTTTTCCAAGAGTAACTAAACTTTTCATACGATTATTATTTGACAGTTTTTCCAGTAATCGAGGACTACTATGAAATAATAGAACTAATAGCAGGCAATGACATCGAATGCATCATATTTTGTAGCATTGAATACGTTCACTTGGTAGCTATAGTATAATGACAGTTTCAATCGAGGAGTTTTCTTTAGTCACTTTTGTTCTGGAAATGTTTTTAAAATATTAATTATAGATTTTGAAGAAACCACTAACTTTTTCCTATTTATTGTCTATTTATTACACATGAAAGCTTAGATAATCGAGCACTTCTGATTTTATCAAATTCTATTAAAAAGTCTAATATGGTTTCCTTATATTATGATAGATTTTAAACCTAAACTCGGTACGCCACTGTACCAGGGACCATTCTGTTTATTTATATATCATTTGTTTATCAACATACAATAGGTTGAGGTTACATGTTTACAATGTGTACTGAAATAGGGAATGCGGTCTCCCCTTTATTTATTTCTCTGAGGGAACTTCAGCGCTGCAGCGCTTTGACGCAGCGGTTACTTGAATAAACAAAACACGGCCAGTTCGCTGTAGCGCTGTTTTAAAGTAAAGTAAAGCATATATTGTCATATGCTGGGCCGCTGAAAGTTTTGACATTATAAAAAAGCGGCAAAAGTTAAATTTTAAGTAAGGTTGAATTCAGCCAACAAAATGAATATTGGAGAAAGTAATCTTGTTTGTGTCAGGGGTGTATAAAGGAATCGTTTGCTCAACGTAGTTTTGATTTCTTCCTGGATCTATTGATTCTAAAGGACCTGCTAAATTTTCTACTTCATAGGCAACAACATTTAAGTTATTGTTAACTATGTTTAAAACTATTTCGTCATCTTCGTCGAGGACCTGCCCCATCATATTATTCATGATGAAAATATATGGGTTTAATATTAATAACTGAGAAATTAAATAGGAACTATTTTAGATGAAAACACGGTAAAATGAAATTATTTTTCCACCTTCTGCCCTAAACCATAAATGCAACCTAACAACAACAACCATTTAAATTTAAGTCAAATGTCATTCATCACTTTTACAATTGACATTTGTCAATCAAACCGAAAGTCATTCAGCGAATGCAAGCTGAAAAGGGCTGCAGCACTGGATCGCTGCAAATTACCTGAATACACCCATTGAAGTTAACGTGAACCATTAACAGCTGTTCCATGACCTGTTTACTTATGAAACACTTTAATTATCACTTGGTTAAATGAAAAAGTTAAAGCAGTGATACTTAAATATGTGACAAATATACAAATTCATTTTGTTATGAATTCGAAAATATTTAAGTATCAAAAAAATGTACAGGAAGACTTGTAATTATTATTTTTTAAAGAAACCATTAAAACCTGCAAATTTTAAAGAATTTGAAAGAATTATTTACCTGCCTTTATGTAAAATGCATTGCACAGGTGACGACAAAAATTATAGTTAGATACATTTGTTTCGAAGTAATTGGTTTTCATCAGTACGATGTAATATACTACACTTATAGCAAATAACAATTTTAATTATATGCATTTCGATTTATTAAAAGGTGGAGGTGAAAAATCATCCTACATTGAAGTTCGGCAGCTCGTACTCTGAAAATTCTGTAATGTTACGTTAACAAATTGTTTTGCTGAATGTTGGATACTATCCGAGGATTCAGAGGTGATATTACTACAATTAATAGGTGAACTTGTACTTGACCCTAAAAATAATGTTGGTACAGCACTTCCCATTACTGTTTTTTAAACATTTTTTACTCAAAATGGTCATCAAAAATAATGATGTGTTTGTCGGAGTAAATTCTGATTTACATAATTTTCGAACTGATTCTATCCACAGAAATTGTCTGTCTTTTGTAATTCTGAAAAAACTTTTATTTCTATAGAATATGTTACAGATATTCATATAGTAAGAAATGCTTTTGCAATTTGGAGCACAACATTGACTTATAGTTCTACCAGGTAAACTCATTTTGGATAAAAAAAAACGAATAAAAAACAGTAAGGCAGTTCAGATGTTTGATTCAATAAATCCCTTATTATATTAATCTAAAACAAAAAAATTTATTAATGTATAAAACGCAGCAACGTACCTGAAGTCCTGAAGATAAACTATAACCTCAAATCTCAAACATTCTACGTTGATTGAAATATTTCAGTCAACGCAATTCTATTTCTGTTGATTGAAAGATTGAAAATACAGATTTGATCTGTGGTTGCAGATTTTTGTTTAACAATTTCTATTAAGGATAATGTTTAGCTGCACCAACGTGAGATGGCCTCAGTAAATGCATGTTCTGTCCGCCCTATCCAATAAAATCCTCTTATTTATTTACTCTTACGGTAAACACTATCGCAATGACGACGATTGTAAAATCGGATTTTAGTATTCGGAGTCGCTGAGGCCATCTGGCTCTCCACGTGTATTGCGAATGATGCTAGAGACTACAGTTGTCCAGCTACGTAATGGTTGAATGTACTACAACTTCAATAATTTCTTTCTCGGAAACTATAAGGATTTTACAAAAATTTTTTTTTACGATATTGACTCCATTTCTCACACCACATCTATTCCCAAATTTTTTTGGATAAGTTCTGAATCACCCTGTATATAATAGCTGTAAGTTTGGACACATGCATCTTTCTTTTTGTTCCTGTCCATTGCATATATACACCACCCAAAATTATTTTCTTATTTTTAGTCAAGTGTTGAACATTATTGACTATAATTATCTATTCTAGAAATGGCGCCTAAGAAACAATATGCTAACCCTAAGGCAAAAGGTAGAAATTATTCAAATTTATAATAAAAAAAACTCGGTGTGAGTAATTTGGCAATACGATTTAATATTACAAAAACTGGAGCGGGTGAAATTATAAGAGAAGAAATATTGAGACATTTTTTTTTCCATTGAGCAAGCAATATACGGGGCTCATAAAAATGAAGTTTAATGAAAGAAAATGGGATCAATCGTTGCGGACTATTTTTTATATTGAAGTACAAGTATTCAACAATAACGTGTAAATTTCAGCCCGATTTGTCGATTTTTGGAAAAAAACAGACTTTTCTGAACTGAAATCAAAAAATGTATTAAAGTTTTATGGCCCCGAAAAAAAAAAAATATTTGCACATAATAGTGTAATTATTAAAGCCCAACCCTGTTCCGAAAGATGCCTATGAATTATGGAGATTTTACAAAAACGTTTTTTTTCGAAAAACTCGATTTTTGCAAAAACTAAAATATTTTTTAATTTTGAAAAAAATCATTTTATGTTGCTCATCAATAGCTATCCTTTCACCAAGTTTCATAAAAAAATATTTAGTTTTGAAAGAGATACAGCTAAGTATTTGAAAAAATTGCGATTTTTAGCGGTTTTTTTGCAATAACTAATTAATTTATTTATCGATTAAAACCGGTTTAGGCTTATTCCATCCGTATTAAAAATTCCTACAACTTTTTTGAAACATTTTTGTCTAAATTGTTTAGTTTTTTAATAAATGAAAAAAACTGTTTTTTTCAAACTGGACGCCATTTTGAAAATTAAACCCAAAAATTCAGGTGGGGTAAAGTAGTTCATTGAATTCTACGGAATTTTTACCTAATTTTTACATATTTTCAATTACTGAACTATTTTTTGGCAAAAAAATGGGGTATTTTCGACAATTTGTTTGGACTATTAGGCATGGTACTTTGAGTCTCGGTTAAGCCTTGGTTAAGTAATCACATGATTAGACTGAACATATACTGATTTATTTTATAATCACAGTCTAATCACTTGATTAATTAATCAAGTCTTAACTGAGACTCAAAGTACCGGCCTTAACCTATTAATGTAATGTTTTTTTTAATAAAAAAATTGTACTCATTCAAGAAACTTGGATCTGGGGTGGGATATATAAAATATACGTTGTACAAGCCTGGTACAAATAGTCTGCATATGTGCAAATGCATAAAATTAAAAAACCTCTAAAATTTTAGTGCCAATGCAAGAATTGAAAGATGCGGTGGAGTCCCAGCAGCAGAACCAGCAAGCTCAGCAATTGCAAGAGCAACAACAGCAGCAATTCCAGAAGTTAGTACAAGCATCACATGAGAGCAGACAGGTGCAGGGTTACAAATTCTCTGTGCCGACCACCCCTAACATTAAGTTCACATCACCCCAGCAGGTACAGCACCCACAAATGATGCCACCCTCCTTCTCCTCACTTTCTCAGTACAATGCTTCTCACCTTGTAAGTTTTATTTTCTCTTCTAGCCTCATATTTTCTTCATTCCTTAGTAGTTAGATATCTCTGCTAAGTAGGTACTTTTGGTACGCTAGTAAATAATTTTTGGGGGATAGTTTTACATGATCCGTGTCGCAGTATGCACTAGTATTGATTATTAGATGTAACTCTTAATCTGGGTATACATCTGAGCATGGATACGAGGCAAGACAAACTCACCATGATGAACCATTTTTTGTACATTTGTATGATTTTTGTCTTGCTTCACGCCTAAGCTTTATACTCTAATGCAATTATTTGCTTTTATATGGTAAGTCAAAATAAGTTTTAAATAACGTATTTAATATACAGGGTGATTTATTTGAATATGGCAAAAATAAAATGAATGGATGTTCCCGTTAAGAAATGTTTATAATTGCAGAAAGAAATACATAAAAATTTGCATATAAGAGACATACTCGTATTAAAACTTTTTAAGGTTTTACGTTCGAGGCACTGTTCTAATCAAAAATTACTATAATAATGCCTGATACAATGTGTTTGGAACAGTAATTTTATTTCCTTCATGTTGGCAATTACATTTCGGTAAAATTAAAACTATACGATCAAGTTTTACATTAAAATACAACATTCTGTTTCACTGATTGGCGATTGGTGTAATTTTTCACGAGATTTTATTCAACCAATTAGCGATCGCAGTCATATAATTTTTTCGTTAATTGCGTCCTGATATTGTACTGTGGTAATTCCATGAGCAGATCCTTAATATAATATGCCTGAATGATTTTTGAAACCATTTCATGATATATATATATGTACATTTTCTTTTACAATACATTATGTTATTATATCACAATATTCTTAAGAGGTAATTAAATTAAAATAGTATTGTTAAAACTTTTGCATACAATATGTATGAAAATTTAACAGTTTCATACTTGGTAGCAGTGGCGGTTCGTGACATTGAGAATAGGTGAATCATATTCATTGATTGACTAAAAAGAAAAAAAGCACTGCTGGCGAAAATTTTCAAATTTTCAAGGTCAAACGGCTTTAAATGAATCTGGAAATTTTTAGTTGCATTTATATTATTAATAATAATAATAATGATATTGCATTTATTGCCCAACAGAACAAATGTTCCAAATACAGGACAAAAAAGTATCGACATTCAAGTATAAACATTAAAAATATAAAAAATCATAGTTCTAAATAAATACAAATATATGGTTTAAAATTTATTGAATTAAAAAATTCAGTTGCATTTGCAATATTAGCGAAAAACTGACGTTCGCGAGAGGGATTTTCATTTAGATTTTATAAAAAATAGAAATATTAGTTCGTCTTTTTGAGTTCTGCGAACATTAATGCACACTGTACATGTATGTTCCAAAGAAGCTTTGTGGTTACGACAGCCTTGCGTGACGTTCCTAAAATTGTTAAATCCCTTCTTATTCCACACGCCCGACGTTACACCCACAATTATACACGGCATACAGAAAAGTTTTTTTAAATGAATACCTACTTCCACACAACACTCAACCACTTATACTCCGAAACTTTCGAACGTACACGTCTTTTGACTTCCCCTTTTTATATCAAGAGAATAAGGCAATTTAAAAAATTCTCTTTGTCCTCAATTTTCCATCTGGAAAATGGCATTTCCAATAAAATACATACTGGATCATACATAGTAAACATTTTTACAATTACTATACAAAACAAAATATTAACAAAAAACTGTTATAATTGTGCACTGGGTGACGCGTATTGTATAAACTGTTAAAGGCAGGCGATGGGCAATGCTGCTTCAATTTCTGCGTCACTCGTTCCCTTACGTCGTAGTTTAATCCCGAGTTGGCCACCTCGTCGCCATGACAATTACAATTACTATACAAAACAAAATATTAACAAAGAACTGTTATAATTGTGCACTGGGTGACGCTTATTGTATAAACTGTTAAAGGCAGGCGATGGGCAATGCTGCTTCAATTTCTGTGTCACTCGTTCCCTTACGTCGTAGTTTAATCCCGAGTTGGCCACCTCGTCGCCATGACAACCGCCGTAAACAACGCTACGAAGAGAAGCAGAATACAGACTAATTTCAGTCTGCGTCACTTGCTTATACCATACGTTATATGGTACGAGGTTGATGTTCGCACTCAACGAAGGCAATATTTTTTTAGAAGGCGTTCACCGCACAATTATTCTGTTTATTTCTGCGTATCATACAAACAAATACAATACATTTTCAATATAGAATTATACCTAAATTATAAAATTTATATAAAATTAAAAATAATTTTAAATTGCATAACCAATCGAAAATTTTAGGTGAAGCGGTGTATCACTTGCGTCACCTGGCGAGCCGCTACTGCTTGGTAGCCGAGTTATTGAACTAAACTAATTACAAATTAAGCAGAAGTGTTGCGTTGGCGGTTAGGTTACCAAATAATAGAATTAATGAGCTTGCAAACTGCCTTTAAATTTTGCAGATAATCTTTTATTTGGTAGACATGTAAAATATTGCCGTCTTCAAATAAATCACCATGTAAAAAAGTGTGAAAAGAAGAAAAAATGCTTTCAAAAAGTACATTAGAATATTTAAAATAAGAATGTTTAATATTATGAGAGGGAAATATAAATATTCTAAAATGCTTAATTTTTTATATATTAACTAATAATTTTATCTGGTAAAGTAAAACTATTTTATATAAAATTTTCAATAAGCAGCAGAAATTATTTATCAAGTACATCTTTTGTGTTTAGCTAAAAGACGAAAAACCGGATCTTAGACGTCGTGGAGCTCCTAGAGGGCGAGGAAGGTCAAGGTCCAACACAAGGGAGCCTCAAAAAAGACCACCCCTAATATCTGCCATTAGCGACCCTTCCTTACTTACACCGCAGACTAGTGTCTTACTAACCCAATTACTCACAAATAGTAAGTTACAACAATCAGTATACATTTAAAATGTAATGGCCCCTCACTTTTAGTGTTCAGCAGAAAAAAAAAACAATGTCTGAAGTGGTTTATAAGTAATATTTTTAAAATATCAGTGTTTAACTGAATGCTTTCATCTACAGTCGGTTTTCTATATTTATTTAATTGGGACTTGTCCTAAATTACAAAACTTATTTCCTGTTTTATTTATTTTATATATTTGGAGTTTATTAGAGTATTTGTTATTAAACAATTCACACTTCCATCTGTTTCGTTTCGTTGCCATATCCAAGCACAATTAAAGTTTCTTTCCTTATCTGTTGGTTTCACCATTTTTTTTACGATACAATTAAATTGTTTTGTTCGGTTTCAATAAATTTTTTCCATATGATATTTTGTCAGAACTAACAAGCAAAAACGTTTGATCTTTCTTTTTCCCCTAAAACTGACTTAAAAAATTATTTAGTGTTACTTGTAAAAATTAAGTTCATGTAAAGGCAAATCGTCGTAAAACAAGTGTTATTTTTGACCATTGTTTAACGTTTTTTTCCAAAAATGTTTTTTCTGTAACTCTGTGATTTTTGCATTACCGTACTTAAAAAAATTGATATAAGCTAAAGTAAATAAAAAGATGTGCAATTGTACGTTTTTGTAAGATATTAACAAATTATGTTCAAGTTATAACATACTTTTTATTATAACTTTGTACTCTCCCAATGTCTTGTAAATCACTCAGTGAGGGACCGACACATTTTAAACGTACAGTCGTTAGTTAACAATAAACGTATATGTATATTTTTAAGGCACAGAAGTTAACAATTCCCTCTACAGCCAGAGTCAAAACATGGGGTCGAGTCAGTCTAACCAGATACGTATAAAGGAAGAGACAAACTCTGTCCCCATTTTACCCCAACCTCCCCCCACTACTTTAATTATTCCATCTCAAGTTAGTATTAACACTATTCAACCTACCACGTCAGACCCGGTAAGTATGGGATTTTACAAACGTTCAGTCGTCTGTATCTCGCTGCTTTTCAGTTATCTCTGAGCAGCCCGTTCAGCAACTGCGAGAGCCCGGTTCTAGATCCTACCTCACAAAACTTACATTCACCGACATCATCGCAGGGCTCGATGGGTTCGCCTAACAGGGAGTCGTCCCATCGCGACAGGAGAGCAGGGCACATTCACGCAGAGCAAAAGAGGAGATATAACATCAAGAATGGTTTTGACATGATCCATTCCCTCATTCCACACCTAAACCAAAATCCAAACGCAAAAGTACGTACCGGCTGTTTAAGAGTATGATTTTTTTATATTTGTTTGTCTTTAGTTGAGCAAGGCAGCTATGCTACAAAAAGGAGCTGAGTATATCAGACAACTGAAGTTGGAGAGGAACCAACTTAAGGAGGAAATGATTTCGTTACGTCAACAGATCGAGACTTTGAACACTTCCATAAGGTATGTTGATTTGTACTCAGATTTTGATGTGGATTTATTATTATTTTTTTGGAACGGTGTGTGTAACTTTAAGTTAGGGGGGTCAGTTTTTTAAAGGTAACAGTACATATTCCCCAGAGTACTAATCTGAAATTAACTTTTTTTTTTTTAATCGAATGATTTAAGTTTTTTATCCACTTAAACTCTTCAGCTTCCAGACTCTGTTGAATTTTACCTTTTTAAGCCAATTGTATGAAATTAACGGAACGATAGAGACCAAAAGTGCAATGGAAAATAATTTTGTAAAAATATATAATTTTTGTATGACTGCATGTTCTTTTAAAGTCACCATATTTTTCTGACATCCATACAGATGAAGCGCCGAACATAAAAAAAATGTTCAAGGTTTTTTAAAACTTAAAATTTCTTGCACGATTCATTAAATATTAAGTAATATTGTTGCGTGAATAATTTAATGTACAAAATAAAAAAAATAAAATAAAAATACTTACTGTTCAGATAGATTTGTAATATTTTTAAAAATCATTTAAAGTTTTTAATAAAAAGTATTTTTTTAAAGCACTGTGTTTAGTTTGTGAATCTGTCAGTGACTTCTGACCTTGGCCCAGTTCAAAACCAGCTATTACTTTCCTTTCCGATTATTAACAATTTAACAATTTGATTTAATTCTAATTTGGAACCTTTACCTCCTTTCTCGTGTTTTCACGCCTTATTACAAATATGGACTTCTTTGTTCTGTCCCAGACCAGGCTGGCGCCTCCCAGACGCAGCAGATGACTGTTATATGGTGATATGTTTTTAAGAACTTACTTAACCCGAAGTGGTTTGGGGTTCTAATTATCAGTTTGTAAATTTATTAGTCTCCGGGACAAAAGCTCTTCAGACCACCCTCTAAATACAAATATTTAACCCTCCTCTGACCATAGTAAGTTGTTCTTAGAAGGCCTAATAGAACTATTGAGCCCGTCTTTCTGAAAACCGCCCCATAAATTACAGGGATCTGGCTTTTGTTACAAACCTCTACCCTCTGGCCGCTGACTGTCTAACTTTCTTAAAATATGGGTAATGGCACCAATTAAAAGGAGTTTCTTGTCCTATTATCTAATTGTGATGTGACAATGGAGTGTTAGGCAAACAAAACAAACAGCCAATGTTAATTCAGCAGAACGAGAATGTACAAACCTCTCAACGCTTCATTTTATTACATTTATTTCAGTATTTATGAGGTGTTTTTGAAATGGTAGGTAATTTTGTGACTTCTATATGAAGTATTAAACTTTTAGTACAGTGTGTCTTCATTGTTAAATTCCTATGTGATATAAAACATGTATACGAATCAAGAAAGATGAAATTTGAAAATATTACATGCCATAGCTCCCAATTAGATATGTGTTTGAGGTTATTTGAGGTTAAACTAGCTAGTCCACCAGTGAGGTATGAAAATTATATAAAAAAAAATTCATGTTCTGAGATGGAATTTCAGAAAACAAAGAGTAACCACAAAAATCACCCGTTTTTTCACAGTTCACAGAGAACTAAAGAAAATAGATAAAAATAAGTTTTTGGTCTCTAATTACTCGTCGTAAAAAATTAAGATGAGCATAGCTTTTAGTTTTTTAAAAATTTCCAAAAATCACGCCTATTTAGTGGTTGAAAAGACGCTCAAAATGAAGAATTGAATATTACCAATAAATATAAAAACTATTAGCATGTGAATTTTTTTATCGAATGATTCTTGATATAAATATTTATTCTCATTACTGAAATAAGCATGTTGAATTAGAAAATCCACCCTTAAGCGTGTTCAGGGGGTGGAATCATCCCCAAAAATAGAGAAATAATCTTAAAAATTCCAAAAAAAATATATAATTCACATACTAATAGTTTTTATATCAATTGGTAATATTCAAATTCTTCATTTTTGGCATTTTTTCAACCCCTAAGTAGGGGCGATTTTTTAAATTTTCAAAATACTAAAAGCTATGCTCATTTCAGTTTTTTGCGGCAAGTAATTTGCTACAAAAAACATATTTTTATGTATTTTTTTAATTCTCTGCTAATTGTGAAAAAATGGTCGAAAATCACAAGTTTTTCGCGGTCACTCTTTGATATGTGTTTCTAATCATCAAAGGTAGCCTCTGTATAAATGTGAACCCCATTCAAAGTTACACCCTATATAAAGAAATTGCTTATGTTTTTTACAGTAATTGTCAGTCCATGTTACCTGCCACTGGGGCCCCTGTTTCTCGAAGGAGGGACAGTAAGATGCAAGAGATGTTTGACGAATATATTAAAACAAGGACCAGGGAAAACTGGAAGTTTTGGATTGTATCCTTTCAGCAGTATATACATGGTGTTTTGAAAAAAAGATGCTATGATTTGAGACGTTGATAGAACATAAAAAATATTTTTCCCATGCGCCTTGATTGGATTATCTTTTTTTGGTTTTGAAATACAGTGTCAAACATTCCATTTAAAAACTTCATTTTTAAAAAATTACCATATATATTTTTTAAAATAATGTATTGCATTTGGTACAACTAGGGTTCTAAGGATGCTAAAATTTTAGTATTTTAATTTTTAATTGGAGTTGAAATTTAAAATTTTTTCGATACACTTATTAAACCGGTTAATTTAGTTTTTTACTCTCAATGTTTTTCAGTTAAAATCGTAAAAACTAAAAAGTCCCCTGTTCTGACTGATTTTATATTTAAACTGTTCAGTGCAGTTTTCTAGAATGTGTCAAAACTTCAAAGAGGGGCTGAGGGGACTAAATGGGGTTGGTCAGAGTTTGATCAAATGTTTGATGACGTCGTCAAACATATTCGTCAAGAGCAGTTTATTTAAAAAATGGTTTCTTTATACGTAATAAACAAATGGCGATATGAATTAAAAAGGTTTATAATTTTTTTGGGACATCGACTGCTGATGCTGCTCTGCCGCTGGATCCTAAAATCTATGTATCGCTAAATTGAATGTAATAGTAGGAATAGTTTTAAATAACAGCTACACTAATATTATGCAACACTACTTTTTCTCATCTTTTTGGCAGCATACGGATTCTGCGTCGAAAGAACAACTAATCTTTTGATGCTATCCACCAATTGATCCAATTTTTGGTATCTTCCTAAGATTGGAAGCGTTGCTTAGCAGGCCATGTTCTACGGATCAGGACAAGTAGTAATCCGATGGAGCAATATCTGGTGAATATGGCGGATGGGGTAAATCAGTCCATTTCTGCGTTTAGTAATTTCAGTATTTCTTGACTTCATGAGCAACATGTGGTCAAGTGTTCTTGAAAATTACTTTATCGTGCCTTTGCTCGAATTTAGGCCACTTTTCCTTCAATGCATAGCTCAAACATATCAATTGTATTCGGTAGCATTCACCACTGATAGTTTCATTTGGTTGAAGCAGCTCATAGTACACAACACCAAGCTGGTTTCACCAAATACAGAGTATGGTCTTCGAACCATGAATATTTGGCCTTACCGACGATGTTGATGTCTTACCAATCAAACCCCACAATTTTTTACACTTGGGTCCATCACCAGTGATGATATGATGCAAAAAAACCCTTTCTTTTTTGCTGTTGAAGCAATTTCACATGTGAAAAATTGCCGTTCAATATCTCGGCTTCAGTTCCTATGGCACCCAATTTACTTGCTTTTAAATCATATCGAGTGCATTTAAATGTTTGGAAACTGTTGTGCAATCAACATTCAAGGATTCAACAAATTCATCTTGTGTTTGAAATGAATCTTGGACGAGTAATGCTTCCAATTATCCTTATCTTCCAATTTTTTCGGTTAATCACGGCGTTCTTTGTCAACTGTATCAAAATCACCACTTCTAAAATATCGAAATCAATACTCATACATTTTTATCGATGGAGTAAGTTCGCCCTAAGTTTCCAACAGCACTCGATGACTTTCAACAGCACTTTTTAAAAAAAGAAAAGTAAAACTTCCACAAATGGTGTTTTGTTGGCTCGTAATGCTACATCTTCAGAGCTGAGAAAAAATATGTTGTTTACACTTCGGCAAAATGACACATAATAAGAAGTAACGCCTAATGACAGAGATTTAACATGAATATAATTACAGAAGGACCCGATTCGATGTAGCATAAGTTGCGCCATCTATTGTAAATCTGTGAAAATTAATTCACAGTCCTTGTAATTTTGAATGAATGAATCAATCTATCAATTGTAACTGATAAGCTGATTATTAAGATAATGCAATTATGTCCGTATCTATGGAAAACTAACAACATTTACAAATGTGTTATTTTCAAAAACTTACACATAATAAATATCAGTGCATCCATTGCTTTTAAAGATATTGGCAAGGTTATATTTAAAAAATGTATTTGATGCTTTGTGTCTGTAGGCTAAAAATTATCTTATTTTCTGATCTATCAACCCCTGAATTTAGGATTTTTCTAAATTTCCTGAATAGTCCTTTAATGATCAGTGTTTAAGAGATTTAATGATTTGTCAGTATTTTTATGTCAGTATTTTTTTCATTCTAAATGTTTTTAATTATTTATGTGTCTTTTTTATTCTACTCTAAATTGTTGTTTTATATTTTGTGTTATTCTCTTACAGTTTTTACTAACTACTGTTTATAATATGTAATTTATATCCTTTATATGGGCATTAGCCTGATTAATAAAATTATTATTATTATTATTATTATTATTATTATTATTATTAAAACGTCTCAATTTGCTTAAAAAATTGAAAAAAACTCAATGTTTTATTCAGGCGGTGATTTATTTTACATTAAAAAATTTTATATTCCTCAGAAAATTTTCCTCAACGAGACACAGTTTAGTTTAATCTTCAAGCCATTGCTGAACTCTTTCAATAATTTTGTATCGACTTCCAGTCTTGATGACCTTTATTCATCTACACTGCTTTGGATTGAGCAACATTGTACACTTATGGATCTCAGACCAGGTAATTACATTTCAGCAATTCCCCAAGTTGTGTATTTCATATGTTCCTGTTTTTAGTTGTTCTTAATTCTCTTCGGTACCTGTGCACAAAGACAGATATTTTGTCAGAACCAGAGAAGTTACCCGACGAAGCTCGAAAGATAGTCCTTAGTAGTAATCTCCCTCAAAGTAAATAGCTCACTTCTGGTGCTTCAAGCAGTTGGTTTTACATATATTTGCTCAGACTAATATAGAATCGTGATATGCAGTGCAAATTTGTTTTAACAGTACACTAGTTTGATAGTTTCCAGAGTTAAGGTCTTGCCAAATTTTTTAAATCGGGGTTTTTATACTTTTATTTTTTTATTTTAAAGGAATGAGTAAAATTAAGTTTGAAAGTGCGAAGATGCCTTATACGTTGAAACTATTTTTAAAGGATCTACCTTTAATCTTAATCGTTTTATATGTGACTAATATAAAATAGTACAACTATTCTTTATGTTTTTGTATATAATTTCGGTAGTGCCTTAAATGATGAGCGTGATAATTTTATGTATAGTGTTTCATATAGGGTACTTAACATAATTGTATAAAGTTGTTTTATGTTTTAACATTGTTAATTTTTATGTATATTACGTGAAATCAATATAAATACATTTTATTTGTTAAACAGTTATGTATTTCTTTTTAAAATATATATTATTTTTATTTCAATTTGCACTTTGAGGTGTATTTTCTTTCATTGTGTGAAAAAATATATACAGTAGACCTTCGGTATATCACGGATTTAGGGCGATGACACAAAAACGTGTTTTTAAACTTGAGTATATATATATACATACATACATACACATTAGCACAAAAAAAATTATTGATGATTAGTACATATTTTTTGTATGTACATTAGGGTGCTTCGTTTGAAACGAAATTTTTTTCGTTCCATTAGCTGAATATATATGAGCAGCTTTATCGACCGATTTGGCCGATTTATCGTTGAATTATTGCATAAATTGTAGATATAACTGCTAGTTTGGGTCATCAAGAAAATTTGTAAAATACCAAGATTTTGGCGGATAAATTGCTGCCAAATAATTTGGAGCAATTATTTTGTCACATACACTAACACAGCGAGTAAACGGCAGATAAATCTGCCGTGAATTATCGAGCGATATTTTGTAGAACGTCATCTGCGTGTTAGTACATGTTGGAGGAAATATCTGCGTGATATGTAAAATCGGTTAATTTCTGTCTTGGGTTCAGAACTTACTACAAATTCAAATATGGCATCAAAAGAATTTATTAGTGGACTGATTGAGTTATATCGTAATCACCCGTGTTTATGGAAAACAACCTTACAAGAATAAAAATATTAAAAACGAGAGTTATAAGGAATTAGTGGTGTATTGTATTCTTTCCACAATAATGTTTTAACCCACTTGTTTGCTTTTTTCTGCATTGTTTTATAATCCCATAACCCATCATTCCAAGTAATAAAACACGTTTAAAGTCGTATTTGTTTATGTTTTTGTAGAACACACAAGCAAATTACACTTACGAATAATAAATAAATTTGATTTTTTGGACTTCCGAAAGATCAACGATGACAGAATAATCTTACCAAATTTAGAGATAAATCTTTGTGAATGACATAGACGTAACGAATAAACAGTCAGATAAACTTTGTACAATAATTCGATTCAATAAAACTTCGCATTAGTGTCCTCTCTGAGATTTGTCTGAAAGGTTTTTCTTAATGATTTATATGACAATTATTTTGTACAATTTATCGCTCCAATGAGTCTTTGCATGTGTATTCAGCTATTGACGAAGTATTGTTCTCAACATTGGAAAAGAAATCTTAAAGTTAATTTTATCGATTTTTGTATTTTTCTCATAAATGACTAGACCTACAACAAAAACGTAAATGACAGTTTTATAGGAAATTAAATTTACTATAAAAAGGGTCCTCAGTATCTAAGCTTACAAACTGAAAACCTTTTTTTATAGAAATTTAATTTCCTATAAAATTGTCATTTACGTTTTTGTTGCAAGTCTATTCATTTATGAGAAAAATGCAACAATAGATAAAAATTAACTTTACGATCTTTTAGGCACTTTGAATGAACAAAGATTCCCCTATAATTATCACCTGTGGACAATAAAATAATGTGAAATGCAGTTGAGAGATAAATAATTTAAAGAAAGTAGGTTTACGTGTTAAATCAATAGGAAAATTTTAAAATTTAAAAAAATTAAGTACTGAAATTTGGTGAGAATTTCTTTTCCTATGTTTAGAAGAATATTTCTTCAATGGAGCGAAGAAAAAAAAATTTGGGTCAAATAAAACACTAATGTACATATTTTTATATAATTTTACGCTAATAAATGAATCAAAAAACTAAGCAAGAACTATTCCTTTGAATAGTACAAATGAAACAGCCTTTTTCAGTGACAAAGAAAGGTATAAATTAAACTGAAAAAATCTGTAATTTTATTTCCTTCAGATTTTGAGATTTGTTTTACATGTTTTTTTTTAGTGAAGTAGGATATGATAATCGTACGTGCGGAAGTTGGTTAGCGACACGAACGTCTAAAGCCGACATGTTCTAAATGAATGCATTCTATATAGAGCCGCGGTGTATCGAGGGTACACTGTATATAGTAATAGAATATTTGTTTTAACTTCATCGACCAAAGAATGCATAATAAAAAAGTTTAAACAATCTGCAATGTATTGTATGATTATACAAATTATGACACAATTGATGTTTTATTTTTATAGTTTTTTTTTTGCCTTTATAACACATGTATTTTAAATAAAAATATTTGATGTATGAATACAATTGAAATGTGTTTGAAAATATTTCCTTATAACCAAATGTACTTATTGTAGTGGTTTTAATATTTTCAAGGCCAGTACTGTTATATAAAGTACTGTGCATTCAGGTTGTGATACCATGGCCCATGTACCTTGTTTCTGCCATTTACAGCCTTTACATGCATTTCCTTAGCTAATAATCTGCATGACCTGTCCTTGTTTTCGGGCTAGGCTCTGTTGAGGGCAGATCGGATGTCAGGATCCCTAGGCCTGCCCTGATGATTTTGATTCTTATGTTTTGAGGCCGCTTTGCATGGAATTGCTTTTCAGACAATGGTGGCCCTCCGAGACGTTCCGTAATGGTCCCTATGATCCTTTTAGGAACTGTACTTGTCCTAATTTCAAACTAGTAATCTATAGGGTGTTGGGCAGGGTGTCTTTATTGTCTTGCCTTAATTTTAATGTGCTCTTCAAGTTGGTCCAATCAAATCTTTCCTTTAAATATCCATTTCATTTAAAAACAAACCATTATGATGAAATCGAACTTAGTTGCGAAGGTATGGAATATTTGACTGCTAACGGATTTAATTCAGTTGAATTCCTTTGATAATCTGAATATGAGCTGGGCATCTAATTGTAATCATTTCCTGTTAATTTGAACGTAACTTTTTATTACGTTTCTAAAATTAGCGCTACTGGCGCTATCTATGTTGACGTTCCCAACATTTGACAAGGATGTCTAAATACAGATGATCGTATATAAAACAGATATATATATATGTGACTATTTAATCATAGAACGAACTAATATTCCTATGTTCTTGCGCGTTTCTGGGTCGTCTCTGTTATTATATAGAACATCAGCGCACCTGTTGAAGCGTTACCATACTAAAACAAAGATCTTTAAAAAATCGCGAAGTGAACAGCCTTGGACTAATGTAACGGCATTGTTCATATAATTACTGGTAGATATAATAAATTTTAGAGGTTGGCAGTAGTTCTAATCACTATTGTACAAAATTAAAATTTACAAATTAGGTTATGATGTTATGAGTGTCATGTAATGTTTATGTATTGTATTTTAATACATTTTATTGGTATAGGTAATACAAACTATTGATGTAGTTATTTTAAAGAACAATACTGAAACAGAAATGAATTATTCTTTACACTCAAATTTGTCGAATATCTGCAGAACTTGTTTGACAGAAAGTTCTTCCATGAAATCTGTATTTAGTTATGAACAAGTAATGGAACAAAAAATCTTGCTTGGGGATATGCTGATGTCTTGCACCTCTATTCTGGTAATGGAAGGTAATGTCTAATTCATAATTGATTTCCTATAATTTCTTTAATTTAGATAATACATGGAGATGGTCTTCCGGAAAATATTTGCGAGAATTGTTCTCAACAAGTCCATACAACATATTTATTCCAAAAATTATGCGAAAGATCTGATGCCACTTTGCGAGAGTGTACAGCTATTACGGACTTAAACAGTGATCACAGTAATATCTTCACAATTGAGATAGAGAGCAGTAAATTTGATATGGCTTTAGAAGAGAAATCTTTAAGTGACCATGAACAAAATGAAATCAATATTAAAAATGAAAGTTGTCAAACAGTATTTGGTAAGAAATTTAATTTACCAGTAGAATAGGTGTATATCCTGTAAAATTTTCTAGATGGAATGATAGACATGGAACCAAATAATTTGGATGAATCAAATGACGATAATGCAACGCTGAAACCAAATAAGGGTAGTTTGTCTCCAGATCGTAGTGATACGAGTATATCTGGAGATAAAGTAAAAACAGTTTTTAAGTGTGAGCACTGCAGTAAAGAGTTAGTAGTTAAATTGTTTAATAATCTGTATATATTTACAATATTTAATCACTTTTAGATTTAATGCAAAAAGTTTCCTTTGCCGTCATATGACAGTACATAAAAACAATCCACGAACAACAAAGCATAGAAGTAAAAGTGGTGTAACAAGAAAACGTAACCAACCTCGTACTTGTGAAATTTGTAACAAAACTTTTAGATTTCATAGCAACTTAGAAAGGCACAAGTTAACACACACAGGCGAAAAGCCTTTCTTATGTAATGTCTGCGGTAAAGGTTTTGCTCAAATGGCATACCTTAAAATACATTCATTTATACATGCAGGTTTGTATGCAGTTTTATTTGCTTTTTAATTACTATTGTTTTTATCCTAAAAATCTTATTTTGAAGGCGAGAAACCATACAAATGCCAAATGTGCGACAGAAGCTTTGCAGCACCCGGAACACTTATGACCCACGTAAGAACTCACACTGGTGAACGGCCCCACATATGCAAAATATGTGGAAAGGATTTTCCTCAGTCTGGATACTTGTCAGCTCACATCCGGACACATACTGGTGAGAAACCAATAGAATGCAAAGTATGCAATCGACGGTTTAATCAAAGTGGAAGGTTGATTGTCCACATGAGAATTCACAGTGGTGAAAAACCGTACCAGTGCACAACGTGCGGTAGGAGTTTCGCCGTTAAGGGCACCTTAAAAAAACATATCCGGACACACACTGGTGAAAAACCTTATAAGTGCAAGGAATGTGGGCAAGCGTTTGCTCAAAGCGGTACTTTAGCTAACCATATGAAAACTCATAAGTCCAAAGGGGAAAATGATAAATTAGTATCTTGGAGGGATGATATTTTGGTATAACTAGTTAGTTTTCTAAAGTACTTTTATAAACCACAAAATAGTTTTTTGCATTAAACCCTTAACTGGTTATAATATATACAAATTTAAAATTTTTTCTAGTGCTTATGAGGAATATATTAATTTCTTAATTTTTAAAAGGGCCCTCCATGGATAACGAATATATTCGCCTGCTTTGTTGTGATCTCATTCTCTCAATTAAATCTACAATGTGACGTAAAATATTCCATATATTTTTTTAAATTAATCTCTATTAAAGCAGTTAGTTTGCGTTGTTAAGGTGGGCCACATATCAAAAGGAGGCATTTATAAAAACTTAAATTATTCCAAAAATTCCCCATACCCTATTTGGTATGTTTAAGACAGATGCGGGTCAGCTAAGAGACATAGGACTCAATTTCAATGAAAGGCATTTTCTCTAAAGACAAATGTTTTTTAAAGTTTAAACTGAATTATATAAGGTTTAGTGAATAATAACCAGGCCCGGTCTGGCTCTTTGAGGGGCCATCAGGAAAAATCGAAATCGGGGCCTATTTGGTTTTGTCTGTTATTAGGGTGCATATCGACTCTCCCAAGGAAAACTGTCGTATCTCAAATTTGCTTATACTGAGATAATTGCATTTGAATAGTTGAGAAAATAATAATGTTCATTATTTTTTTTATTACAAGAGCCAAATCGTTCTTCTTTAACAAAGTAATTATTGTTTAGTCTTAATTAATTATTGATAATTGAAAATAGTGTAGGATAAGAAAAAAATGGATTTTGAATGAGTTACTACAGTTTTTGTCGCCAAATTTTTATTGAGAAACAACTTGCTACATTAATAAGGTACAGAAAAATTAAACATTTTCTATTTTTAGATAAAAAAATAATTGTTAATGATCAATAATGACATAAAAGGAAAATTTATTACGATTCAGAGTCAGAGTCATCTTCTTGGTCAATATTACTTTCTTCCTGGTGGTCAGTCTTACTAGCAGGCCGAAAGGAGTTGTAAAATCCATGATACATCGATGGTATTAAATTAGCCTTACACAGACCCAAAAGACCGTTTAATTTTTTACCGTCAATTGGCAGCAAACCTTGATACAATCTTGGAAATTGATATTCTTCGCGTTTGCGTGTGTTTTTTGTTTGTAAGTATAGTTCTTTATGATTTTCTCCAAAATTATACACAAAAAATATTTAGTGATGTGAGTGAAAATATATAACAAATTGATATATATTTTGATACATATCAGCTATTATATATATGTTAATAGCTGATATATATCAATTTTCCCGCCATTTCATCAATAAAGCCAAATTTCAAACTTAACCCTGCATTTTAAAACTAAAAACTTGTGGTGTGGTAGGCTTGGGTTGGACTGTAGTAGCTCTTGGGTACCTGGCATATCTCCGACAAAAATGAATATAAAAATCTGAAATTTTAGGGGTGTACTATACATGGGAAGAACTAAGAGCGCACGTAGTTTCAAGTCACCCCTTCCACCCTAGGGGGTGAGGGGTGGTTTTTTAGATGTACCCTACTCATTTTGCGAGTTTTGGATTCTACGCGTAAAACTACCCCAGAAAGCGTGTTCTTGCCGAATTCGCACAAAAACCAAACCACCACCCTCGTATGGACTTTGTCATTTTTTCGATGGGCATTTTTCTTGGGCACATCTCCGTCAAAAATAAATATAGAAATCTGAAATTTTAGGGGTGTACTATAAGTGGGGAGACCTAAGAGCGAACGTGATTTCAACTCACCCTTTCCACCCTAGTAGGTGCAGAGGGGGTGGTCTTTTAGACGTACCCCCAAGAACGCGTTTCCGGGGGTAGTTTTACGCATAGAATCCGAAAATCACAAAATAAATAGGGTATGTCTAAAAAGAAAACCCTTCACCCCACCCCCTAGGGTGGAAGGGATGAGTTGAACAGGTCTCCCCATATATAGTAAACCCCTAAAATTTCAGATTTTTAAGTACTACTTTAAAGCAGTTTCTTTATTATCATGTTTTTGATAATTTTTATTTCAATTTTTATCTTTAATTTTTTTTTAAGTACGTATTGTGATATACAAAGACTAAATTTTCTTGTTCTAGAAATTTCCCATTTTTTATTTGTGGGTTGATAAAACTAAATTGCTAATAAACAGCGTAGTTGCTTATAAACAGTCAGTAGTACGCAACAAAAATTAGAAGTCTAGAATCTAAATATGAAAAAAAAATAAAGATCACTTGATAACTTTTCTAAAAGTTCATATATATGACATGTATTTGGTGTCAAATTAATCAGCAAGGCATTAACAATATAAAAAAACTAATTTGAGTATAGTTTTTTTTTAACAAAATTCATCTGATATATATAATGATATATATTTTGATATATATCACCCAAAACTAAATAGCATGCTATTTTACATCACTAAAAATATTTTATTGGGATTGGAATTTCTCTGATTTTGCTGATTTTTACAGCCTCTCCAGTAATATTTTTTTTCCGGTTTTGTTTCTTTACCATTGGTTTAAAAGTTACAAAATCTTCTTGAGACATTTCTTTTACTTTGTACTGTGGGGCATTTTTATTAGACTAATCCACTGATCAGGACTACCAGGAGTGTATACAGCAGAGCGACGTATTTTTGCAACTTCAATCACAGCATGCATGCTGTCATTTTCATTTTGTGTGTGGCGATTTTTTTTCCAAAAAAAAACAGATTACAGCATCCCTTAAAACGTCTTACCACCAAGTTTCATCAAAATCAATACATCTTTAAGTGAGCACTCCGTGATGTGAAATGTAATACAAACCTTTATTTTTCGGACGATAATTTTTTTTATGAAATGTAGGGTAAAAAAACTATCTGACTGTGATACTGCTGTTTTTTTTATTAATGCAATACACGACCAACTAGTGCTCGTCTAAAGATGTATTTAATTTGATGAAACTTGGTGATAAGACATTTTAAGGGATGCTAAATGAGAATACGTAATTTGTTTTTTTGGAAAAAAATCGTTAAAATACCAATTAGCTGTTTTGACGTCAAAAAAATGCGTCCTAGTTGGCCATGAATTGCATTAATAAAAGCAGCAGCATTACAGTTATAGTTTTTTTATCCTACATTTTAAAAAAAATTTTTGGAAATTGGTCAAAAAACAAAGGCTTGTATAACATTTAAGCGGGACACCCTGTATAACCAGAGAATACCATGTCAAAAATATATCATGTTAAAAAAAATGTATGGGATGAAGTATGATATGTTTAACTAATGTGTGTGTATTTGCCAATGTCTAACAAAATATCAATCGTACGCCCCCGATCACCTAAAAAATAGTCGGCTGCCTAATGTCAATCATGTACATTCTTTCTGAATGTATGAAACTAGTTGTTCAAACATTGAAATCCCATACAGACTGACATTTTCAATATTTTTAATTGCAAAATTGCTACCTTTTAGCAATATAAGTACTACAATTCCCAAGTAAGACATTCTAGATTATTTATACCTTTAACGGAGTTTAAATTTCCACGCTTAGAAATTACATCATTACGCCTGCTGATATTCTCACCTTAACTTTTAGTTTTACGCTATTTTTGACTGTTTTTTTTTATTGTGTACTGCCGAATATACTGATACCTCTTGTCTACCAAATTTTTATAAATTAGTGTATGTAATTTTATACTTGTGTTGATTGATATGAACGTCAGTATTATATTCATATATTTGTGATATTACTGCATCTAAAATAAAAATGAAACAAACAGTAATCTCAATATAATGCATTTTATATTTACAGTTTTGTAATAAAAATTTTATGAATAAATACTTAAGACTATTATTCACTGTCACTATCCTCATCAGAATCTTTAAGTGCACTAGATTTTCCATGCTTTCTTGTCCTACTATTCTCAATATCCGATCCTTCTTCGTCAGAGGAATAGATAGCTCCTCCTAAAAATTGAATTCATTGTCGTAAGTTGAAACTACATTGTTTAATAGAACGGAAATTGTATACATAGGCTCTCTGCAGTATAAGTGCCATGTTTATAATGTGATCGTGTGGATTAAAATAAAGAAAAAAGCCGCAATGGAACTGGGAACATCAGCATGTGCAATTTGAGGCGCACATTTCATGGGTTTCCACAACGGAAATAGTTACAGCAGCAGACAGCCGTAAAAATCGAACTGCTCCGGGCATAGACGAGATTCCGCCAGAGGCCATTAAGGTCTGGGCAAAGGAGGCTCCGGCTTCCTTAAAGGACTTGATAAATAAGTACATGAGTCGCGATGTTTTTCCCGACGAATGGAAGAAGGCACGTCTGGTACTTATCCCCAAACCAGGCTAAGATCCAGAGTCGGCTTTCGGTTTCAGACCAATATGTCTCTTAAACACCTTGGCCAAAATAATACTAGCGAGGCTAGAGGAACAGATTTCTAGAAACGGGGACTTCAGCCCAGGGCAATTTGGGTTCATTCACTATGGTCGCGATCGAAAAAGTACTAGAGGTGGTGTCATGGGCCAGGAGGGAAAATAACCTATGTGCACTGATCCTGATTGACATAAGGAATGTTTTTAATTCTGCGTCTTGGCCTAGGATAATGCAAAAATTAGCCCGGAGGATGGATCCTCAGATCATGAACCTGACTGGGAGTTATTTTAATAATCGCTACTTAGAAGTATGTAGGAGTCAGAGCATTCGGTGGAGGACAGGTGGAGTTCCCCAGGGTTCCATACTAGGCCCATGCTTATGGAACGTCCTATACAACGACGTGCTGAATTTAAATATTCTACGAGGATCTGCATTAGTAGCTTATGCAGACGATCTCGCAGCTTACTCGTTGTAAGAAACGAGAAAGTCCTTATGGAAAACAGAAATCAGATTTTTAAAAATATTTTGGAGTGGATAGAGCGGAACGAGCTGGAAATCGCGCCCGATAAGACAGAAGCAGGCTATTAATCGTCATGAAAAGACCGAAAGGGGTGAAATTTATGATGGGCGGCACGAACATCGAGCCGAAAAAAGACGTGAAATACCTTGGCATCATGATCGACAAGAGCTTAACTTTTGGCGCCCATATCAACAGAATCTGCGAAAAGGCGAAAAAAACTGTGTCAGCACTCTTGCGCTTGATGCCCAACATAGGCGGAGTCGGGCAGAAAAAAAGGAGGGCTTTGACAGAGGTCGTAAACGCTACCCTTTTGTATGCGGCACCAGTGTGGGCGAAAGCCCTAGAGATAAATAGACACAGCCAAAGATTGATCGGCACACAAAGGAAAATGGCAATTAGAGTAGCCTGTCCCTATAGAACCACATCCACAGAAGCTGCGCAAGTTATAAGTAGTATTATCCCGATAGACGAACTCTTTAGGGAAAGAGTGGACATGTCACAGAGGGAACGCCCACCAGAAACCAAACTTAAAATGGCTAGGATAGAGATGCTACGCCGTTGGCAAACCAAATGGGATCACACCAGAAATGGTAAATCTGGGAATCATATTTTAATTCCGAGTTTTATTGACATATCCACTGATATTCAAAAACACTTCGACAAATCAAATAGAAAAACTTTAGAATCATTTTTTAAATATCTACGGAATATGTTACCTTTTTGTTTTTGTCACATATTACATGACATTTATTCCGCGGAGTCCTTGAAGATTAATATATAAATTACCTTTTTGTGTAACATGTGCTCCATGTTTATACTTATTTTTAATAGCATTGAGAGAAATGGCTCCCTCATCATCACTGCCTTCTTCTTCCCTGGAAAAGCTTGTTGCGTGTAGTCTTGCTCCTCCATCAGCTTTCTTTCGTATTGTTTTTGGTTTTGTTGCAGTTTGCTTTAGTTTTTCTTCTTCTTTCTATTTTTTTTATTAAAAAAACCTCATGAACATATGGAAATTGTGATTTTCTGTGCTACTCACCTTAATTCTAGTAGCTTTGTCTAAATCAGGATCGACTCCAACTTGAGACATTATTTTAATTCCAGAAGTTTTCGTAGAGCGATCGGCCAGAGATAATGTCATCTTTCTGTGGGTGAAACTTTCAGTGGAATGAGGCCTAAAACTGAGCTTAGTTCGGAAAACAGCCTGTCCTTGAAGACCAGTTCCTTGTCGAATGAACAAATGGTTATGGTCACCCTGCAGAAAAAGTAGTAACCATGTAGTTCGTAACACCAATCTTCGATATGTTATAATTTTGGTCCCCTTTCGAGTGTTAAGCTACTTTCTAGATTTAATATACTTAAGTTGCTTTTATGTTGCAGATACTACTGTAGTCTTTCTATATAAATTACTAAATACTTTATTATATTAAATTATCTCCTCCAAAGTTAATGTGCTTCCATTCTCCTATGTATCATATACCTACCTATACATAGGAGTAATGAATGCTATTAAACCTTATTTGAATTAGCTTCATACGGAAACCGCGCTTGTGCGTCTTAGTAGCGATATGGCGTGGATCTGCGCTTTCCGCAATGAAAGGGTTAATAATTGTCCAATTACTCTATAGGTCGTAATATTCTAGATATATATTAATGTGTGTAAACTTTGTGAAATTCTTTGGCTATTTTTATTTTTTTTTGCCTTGTTCTGTAATTGAACTCTGCCCGAACAATGCACTTCTAAAAAATAAATAAATATATAGTTAGCACTTACCTGCAATGGTTGTTTATATACATCAAAAATTTCGGCTCCTAAATGTAAACTAAAAGATCCGTCAGACCATTTAACAAATCTGGCATTCGATTCTTTTTTAACATTTCCTTCATCATCCATTATATCCCTCCACCTTATTGTATTTTCTACCTTTAGTTTAAGTCTGCCAAAGAAATTACAAACGTGAACTTTTAAAGTACCGTACGATTTATAGAGAAGCTTCAATATTTAATATTAAAATAAAATGGCATATGCAATGCATACCTTGCTCGTCCTTCTTCATCCAAAGTTTCCTCTTCATCAATTTCGTCTTCGTATGTCTCCGGATCAAACGGTCTGGTTTCAACTGACAAAAAGTTAGGTAGTTTAACAAAATTGATATCCCTTCCTAAATCACAGCTAATTTTTGGAACTTCTACATCTATTCGTGTTTCTGGAATTGGTTCGGGTTCATTTTCTTTGTCTTCGTCCTAAAGACATAAAAATTAATTGCTACATGTGAATTTAACATGTACTATAATGTATATTACATCTTCAATAAGTGGCCTTTGTTCTGCCTCATCTTCTGAACGTGAACGTCTTCCATCGTCAGACCGTGAGTGACGCCCATCCTCTCTGTCCGATTCGGCTTTCTCTTTTTCTTCTTCACTGCTAATGTCATCAGCATCACCAAATATATCAGCAGCATCAACTGAAAATTCGAAATAATGTATATACACTGTTATTTTTGTAATTCATACTACCTTTTTCTGCATCTCCTTCAGCTTCACTGTCAGAGTCTAAAACTCTCATTTTTTTCTTTCCTTCTCGTTCTTCAGAGCTATCTCTTTGCCTTTTCTCACCTTTTTCTTCATCTTCATCAATTTGTAAATTGGGACTGTTTGAGCCACTACGGTCTCTTGATCCTTCCCTGGATCTTGATTTAGAATGAGTTGATCTAAAAAATATATACATATTGAAGTGTTTGCATTAATCATGGATGGTAGGTTTTACCTATTTTGTGACTTATTAGATGCTGCACTGCCTGATCTTCTTGAATCTGCAGAACCTGAGCGAGACCTTCTGGAACCTGGTGATCCAGTTCTAGACCTTTTAGAAGCAGCAGATCCTGACCTTGACCTTTTAGAAGCAGCAGAACCAGATCGAGATCTTTGCGATCTATTGGAAGTGACAGATTTAGATCTTGATCGATTGGAAGCGACAGATTTGGATCTTGATCGATTGGACACAACAGATTTTGATCTTGATCTATTAGAATGAGCAGATTGTGACCTTGATCTTTTTGAGGCAGGTGAACCAGATCTGGACCTATTTGAACCAGCACTGCCGGATCTTTGCGAAGTTTGAGAATCTGACCTTTTGGAAGCGTTAGATCCTGACCTTTTAGAAGCTGCCGAGCCAGACCGCTTTGAAGCTGGGGTTCCCGACCTAGATCTGTGTGAACCTGCAGATTCTGATCTATGAGAGGCTGCAGATGGGGACCTTTGTGCGCCAGCAGACCCTGAACGTCTTGAAGCAACAGACTCTGACTTATTTGAAGCAACAGAACCTGATCTTCTAGATTCAGCAGAGGCAGATCTTCTAGATCCAGCAGATTCCGACCTAGATCTAACCGACTTATTTGGACTACCTGATCTATGGGACCCTGATCTATTCGAAGCAGCACTTCCAGATCTAGATCTGCTCTCAGATCTCTCAGACTGTCGACTAACTGACCTTTCGTGGCTACCGTCTCGGGATTTACTGTATTCTCTGGGAGAATTTGATGCTGATCTATCCAAACCATGACCTGGTGTTGGTGCTGGACCTTGATTAGAGTTAACACTTCGATTACTTTCACTGTCTGATTCAGAATCTGACATGTTGTACAAGAAAAGTTATCAAACCACAATGTTTCAGTTAAAAAACTAGTTATCTAACCTTACAAAGCTTTATGGATCTGACAGGCAAGGTAAAAAATGTTTACTTGTTCTGTGGATCATTGAGCATTGAAAAGTATAGACTGTTTCAACCATAGATACTTTCGCTAACGAGATCGGGATAATCCAAAGTGATCCAGAACAATCCTCAAGTATATTTAAACGTTCCAGTGCTCAGGAGTATGATACATCGTAGTGCTCTACTTTTCCCCCCTTCGCCCTGAACACCAACCGTTTTTTTGGTGTTTTATGTTCGGCCTTGCATAGTTGAAATCATGACTTTTTTTTTATTCCTTCATGTAATTTATATTAATTGGTATCAAAAATCTTATCTATATTTTTATTATTAATAAAGGAAACAATCAACAAATAAAATAAATGAATTATAGTTTAATTTTCATAGTTAAAAAAGATTAGCGTCCTGTGTCAGGAGCTTGATGTTTTGCACCCGAAAGCAGCTCATGATTTTATTAATAAAATAGTTGGGAATATGGTCATTTTATACCAAAGTCGTAAATAACTGAATTTTGACTGTATTATCCTTTTGTCCAACAGTAGGTAAAGCAAAATATAGATTACCTATACAGTTTATTGCAATCTAACAGTGTTTTACGAATACGAAAGAGAAAATATTTTAAAAAAATATTGTCCTATACTCCGCGGTCGAAATTATAGAGAGTGATTCATCGCTAGCTTTTGGACTAGTAAGGGGGATGAAGCGTGCCGGGAACGAAAATCCATTGGCGTGTCTGCGTAAAAGGCAACAAGATATAGAAAATATTGAAAAAAGATAATAAAATATAACATCTAATATTTTCTACGGTTTGCTATAATCGGCAATTTGATCCATTTTAATTATTACAGCATTTTAAAACGTCCCATTTGTGTTTTTTTAATTTATAAGTTTATTATAGCCATGGTATTAGACCCCTCGTCTACGCTTATGCTATGACGTTTCTCAGGACTGGTAAATCAAGTCCGTTTACACCCACTAAAAAAGCATTTCCCTATTCCCTACCAAGTGCAAAAGGCAGAAATAGAATATAGATCGACGTTCAGTGTAACTCAGTCTATAGACGATTATAGATTCTATCGATGTGCGTAGCGAGCGGCACAAAGATAAATAATATTGAACCGTATAAAAATCATTTTATATTTTATACGCATTATGGTAATAGTGTTTTTATATTATGTCTGAATCACTCTCTATAATTTCGACCGCGGAGTATAGATTCTCCATCATGTAGTGAAAACGGAAGTCAGTAGATATAATAAATGATATCGTTACTAGAAAGTTGTTAAATTATAAAATAAAATATAACTTATTGTAATATTTTTATTATCATAACAAAACAAAACAAGTATAAACATGAAATTATAATAATAAATATAAAACAGTAAAAAAATATAAGGTGGAAATTTTATTATTTAGAAATATTGTCAAACTCAATAATTATTTATTTTTATTGGAACTAAATAACGTATCTTGATATCCAAGCATCCAATATTTGTCTTTAAATTCTCCGTACAATAATTATTCAAATAATAAATAATTACGATATAATAAAGAAACGAAACTTAAATATATTATGAAAGTCATAGCAATCAATCAATATAGTAAAATTCAATTGTTGATTTAAATTTAATTTAAATAAAGTAAATAAAGGATTTAAATAAAGTATATACAGTGTAGGAAAGTACCGATGGTCTATCAAAAGTTACCTGAGAGCGATAAAGTAATGCCATAGAAATCCATGGGATAGACAAGGATGAATATAATGAAGGCGTCTAATAGTCAACGCCCATTTCGCCCTTCCACAAATAAGAAGTGGATCTTATCTGTGGAAGGGCGAAACGGGCGGTGACTAAGAGACCCCTTCATTATAGCCATCCTTCTCTATCGCATGGATTTCTATGGCTTACTTTATCGCTCTCACGTAACTTCAGATAGACCATCGGTACTTTCCTACCCTGTATAAGTATTACAGCGTTCCCGGTGGTTGAGCCAAGAAACGCGATTAGGGAAAGGCCACGTGCCTGTAGATGTATTCATTTATATTTCCTTTGTCGTTGGCTAAATACCCTCTGGGTGAAGGCCAAAAAAAGAAGAAGAAGAAGATATTTCCTTCGTCTATGGTCTATGGGTCGCATTAGTGAAGTGTATTTTGTGTGGCCTATCTCCATGCTCCACGCGTATTATTCGGTATGTAGTAAATGAGCGAAATCAATGAATTTATCATGAAATATATTGAAAACAAAATTCTGGTTAAAATAAATGATTTTCTTTTTGAAATATTTTAATAATTGACTGGATTCATAACCTTAAGCTACATACGTTTTGTTTAAAATTTTTAATAAAATTCAGTTTGACAAATTCACAAGACCACTAAAAAAACATGGATTTTGATTCAGATGAGGAAAATGTTATAGAAGAAGACTTTTATTCGTTTTTAAATGTCCCCAAGGAGGTAAGGTAATTTTTTTTACTTCATTTAAAATTGTGCAAATATTTGATCTATAACTTTTCTCTCCTAACCTATAAATTGTATTATTTTGTTGTGTAATATTTGTAGTATGCACTTTTAGGCTACTAAAGAAGAAATTAACAATGCATATCGACGTCTTAGTCGCATGTACCATCCTGACAAACATGTTGATCCAGCTCTTAAAGCAAAGGCAGAAATTATGTTCAACAAAACGAAACGTGCCTACGAAGGTAATATATTATTTACTTAAGTAGGTGTATCACGTATTTGATGTCTGGATTCCTCGTATTTAATATGATGTAATATAATGTATTTAATATATGTATAAATGTATATACAGTCTAGTGATAGGACTCTTTAAACTTTCAATTTTGTATTTAGTGTTGTCAGATCCTCACCAAAGGGCAATATATGACTCACTGGGTACCAAAGGTTTAGAAACTGAAGGCTGGGAAATAGTTCAGAGAACTAAAACTCCTGCTGAAATTAGGGCTGAATATGAGCAGTTAGCTGAAGAAAGGGCAGAACGAAGAAAAAAGCAGGCTACAAATCCTACTGGAAATATTACGATAGCGATTAACGCTACAGATTTATTTAATCCGTACGATAACGAGTTATTTGATGATGAGTTTGAAAGGTAAGCATATTTTATATACATAAAAAAAATGCTAACGTAAATTAATTTACAGTGACTTTATTTCAAGTATTCCATCAATTGAAGTATCTTCAATGCAATTTAATCAATCTGTTGACTTTCCTCTAACTCAAAAGGACACATGTACTCTATCGGGGCAACTGCAGACTCAAAATGGTACTGGAGGTGGCGGTATTAATTTAAGTTGGAGGCATATATTTTCTCATAAGAGTTGGGCGGAAGTAGAAATGACAGCGGGTACATAGCTTTAAGATCACATCTGTTAATTTGAGCTGGTGGTATTTATTTTTTTAGGTAGTGGACCAGCATTATCTTTTAAGGGTTTTAGGACATTAACGAAAAGGTTTTTCTGGAATGGCGGCACTATACTGCAATTTACACCGGAGGGAGTAAGGCCCGGAATTATGTCTAGTAAGTGAGAAATAAATAGGCGTATGATGAAAAATATTAAAATTTTTCAAATTACAGCATTGGCGATGCAAATTGATAAATATTCGGTTGGATATCTTTCATATCATGGCGGAATTAGATCATTATTTTCAACGCAAGTTATTAGGGATACAGGTGAATAGACATTTTCATAATATTAAGATGTTTGTATAAACTGTTTTTTTTTTTTAGAAAATAATAGATATAATTTTTCCATACAAGTGGGTTTACCACATTCTTTTGTGCTTTTGCAGTATACGAGGAAGATGATGAATCAAGAATTGAAATTAAAAATAGCAGTGAAGTAATAAAAAAGTAAAAAATGTAAACAGTAACAATTTGTTAGTCATATTTTTTTGTAGGTATGGGACTTTTGGTGGAGTTATTGAATACGGCGCAGAGAAAAAAATATCGAAACACAGTAACTTGTCTTTTGCAGTAGTTTGTGGAGTACCGTCTGGAGTAAAGTTAAAAATCAGGTAATTGCATTTAGCGAATTATTATAATTTCAAGTTTTCATGATTTTGGTATCCTACAAATCAGTTACATTTTTTAGACTAACAAGAGCCTCGCAGACTTATTCGTTCCCTATTCATTTGTGTGAAGAGGTCATGCCTGCCCCTATATTCTATGCCACCATAGTGCCTTTAGTAGTTTTCGTTGTCGTTAAGAAAGGTTTCGTTGAACCTTTTCTCAAAGAAGAGAAATCGAAGAAAGTCGAGAAACAAAAACAAAATAATTACAATAAACTACTGGAGAAGAGGAAAGAAGCAGTGGCAGCTCAAGAACTTATGATGGCAACGTACAATAGAATACGGGAGGAAGAAAGTAACAAAAAAGGAATGGTGATTATAAAAGCCATTTATGGACGGATTATAACAGGTAATTTAATTCATTACACTAGAGTCCCAAAACGGTAGGCAGAGACTCGTTCTTTACATTAGATCTGTGCGATGAGTAAGGTGTGTGAGGAATGCGATTCCAGCTTAGGACAGCAGGAAAACTTATCCTCTGAAAACTGAATTCGTGCGTTCAAATGCGCTCTTACTTTCAAAATCTTCATTATCTCGACTTCTGGACCACGTACAAAAATAAGCGGTTTAACACAAGCTCTTATGGGAAAAATGGCTTGAGAATATCAAACGAAAAATCATTTTTTGACTCCCAGGTTATTAACAGATTGGCTATTAGCACCCGCACATGTTTCTAGAAACTCACTGAAATAACTAAAATGTGAATATAAAATGTTTTTTCGTCTTGCACGCGTTTGATATGAAAGGAAACGCCTAAGCTGAAAACTGGCACATCGTGCCGTGAAACTATGCAGCTCTAGTCGTCTCTTTTTTACGTAATAAGTAAAGTTAGAATATCCAAAATTATTCTCAGATTAAGAACTTCAAAAAGTATGGTTTGATTCATTTTTTGAGATTTACTGCCTACTATATTGGAACTCTGGTATAAGAAATTTAAAATTATTATTTTGATATTTTTTAGAACGTGGTAATCAAGGTGATGCGGAACTGTCTAATGAAGTAATTGATGTTACTGTACCTATCCAGTGTTTAGTCAAAGACAGTAAATTGGTCATTCATGGACGCACAAAGGTAGCAAATCATAAAGTCGAGACATGCAACTTTATTTGTTTTCTTTTAGAGTGAATTACCAGGTTTCTTTGACCCAGCCTTAGGGGAAGAGAAAATGTTACACATAATTTATAATTATCATGATCAGCCCCACGAAGTTACTATTGCGGATAATGAGTCTTTAAGGTTACCTAAAACATGTAAGTATTCACTTTTATATTTGGACAAGAGCACTTCTTTATACATGTTAATATTTGTTCTTATTAATTTTTCCATTGATTTTTTCTTTTTCAGCCCACAGAACAAATATAACGTAGTAGCAAATCATGCGTAGTTAAAAATGTAGTGATTGTAAAAGTGAACTGGTACTCATGAAGAGTTGGTGCAAAGTTTGTAATTTCATTGTTTGTGCCAATGAATCAAATTGTTTTTATTTCAAAGTGCGCTTGTTGTGAAAAGACTATCTTTTTTAAAAAACAATAAAATTGTTATTAATTAAATTCTGTTTATTTATTACTGTTACGTTAACTATCAGAGTTTGATATAGCCTTCATCCCTGAAGAATTTGAGTATATATCCTTAAGAAAATTTAATCCTTCGTATCTTGTTTCTTCTTGGCCTGCGGGAGTCCAACTGAAGTCTACCTCGAGTCGGAAACTGCCTAAAAAATGATGTGGTACGTTTATCCATTCCTAAAAGAAACCAGATTAGAAAAATTCATGTTTGTTTTTTATTAACATACATGTGGTGATAACATGCCAAAATATTTTTGTCCAGAAGGCTTTTCATAGAGATGGTACACGTGCCCAGGTTTTTTTACAAAATTGCAAGCTGCGTTGTTGAGGTCATTATGTAATTTCGTTTCATTTACAACTTCGTTCATAAGGACATGTAAATTTTTCATCTAGAATTTATACATTATTGTGACTATATATTAGCTGTGTGTACTGGGCACGTACCTGTTTACCTATTATATCCAATTTGTTTTTAGCATTGGCTTGAATGAACGATTCACTCTAAAAAATACAATGTTTACAAATTTATATAGATATATAGAAATTTTCTCACAGTATGAAGACTTTCCCCTAACTCCATTAACTCCAGGTGTGTTTTTTTAGAAGTTCGTAAGGGATTTACTAAAGCTATTCCCCCAGGTTCTGGTTCTCTTTCCACAAGTACAACTATAAAATTAGTGTATTTCTAAATATTTTTCTCGGCACTTTTGTGAGTGGTGAGCTATTTTATTCAAATTATATATTAGTTTTGAATTAAAATTGTAGAAAATTTATTCAGCTCCAATTTTAATAAAAAAGTAAGGTTTGGACTAGAATATTCCCAAATTCTTGGTTGTCTGTAACTAAAGACTGCTGAAAAAATTTAAATCCATTTTTCTGTGGAACGGTACAATTTAGACACATGCAAGTATACCTTCTTTAGAATAAATAGTATTAAAAAAAATCTGTCGTAAAACTTATGGCAAAAATAACAAAATACTGTTCAGGGAATTTTTATTTATTTAAAAAATTAAGTGAATCTTGACAGAATGATTAAAAATGTTTTCGAAAACTTGCAACTTTTTAAGGAAGCGAAATTTCTATTAAGGTAACTTGAACTAAAGTGGTTTATTTTGACCTAAGGCAGCTACTGTTGCAGTAAGAGTAACCTTTGCAATTAAAATTTCATTGATAATTTGATTATGTACTTATTTCTTTAAAAATTGCATTAAATACGTACAAATTCATCCAATATCTACCTTTATTTTTTGGTGCTTCTTCAGTGTCTGTTTCATTTGATATATTTTGAAAGCAACGTTTCATTTTGGAAAAAAATATTTATATATTTAATTAAAAAAAAATTATAGGTTACGTTTCTTATTTTCTCTAATTTTGACAACAGGTGACAACATAGATGAGAAGGGTGACAATCTGACAATAGGCGTGTTTTATTTATCTGAGTTAAGTTACTCTCAATTAATTGCACAATAAATATCTCAGAGTAGCTTAGAAGTTAAGTAACTTTTGTTTGTTTCCACCAATGATTTTATTGACGTTAGGGAAAGAATCATTTTCGCTAAGTAACCTTTTTTGTTTACATTGAAGATTTATGGCAGCATGCCATGGAGACTAGATATGCGGCATGCCATTACGAAAAGTGTGGCTGAGTGTGCGAGAGAGACAGACAGTATCTCAGTAATTGCTGTCTCACTATAGCACGCACGCGATTGGTTGGAGCATTCGGAACATTCATTTCCAACCAAGTAGTAGTATATACCAGAGATGGACTAAACTGCTTTTTTTGCGGAGCAATGACATCTGCTACTGCTCCGGCAACAGAGCAGTGACAAATAGCTGCGATTTTTCGGAACAGCTCCTGGTAGCGCGCGCATACATTCNTGTAAAGGATTTTTTTATTATTTATTTTTTATTTCATTGTTACTTTTTCTCTGTTTTTTAATAATTCTTCGTCCAGCTGAGGTTTTTTGGATTGGGATAATTCTTCCTCTTCTTCGACTACCATCAGCTCCTGAAAAAATTACTCAATTACTTAATCAATCATGGTCTTTATTTAAATATTAAAAATTGTTTATTTCGTCTATTTTTAAACAGCACTTTACAGTTTAAACAAATATGTATACATATTATTTCTATAAAATTGTAAACCATATAAATAAATAAAAAAAAACAATATACAATACAATACAGGGTATTCCATTTAAAAATAATATAACTTTGATCTGCCACCCTGTTATGCAACACCCTCTGTATCTACGAAAATATATTTTGCAAAAAGTTTACACTAAACCCTACGACTTTCGTATTTAACATGTTAATTAACAAAATAAAAAATAATACACCAACAACCAAGAAAAAATGTCATAAAACCGACACCAAAACAGGTCAAAACCAAAAGCAGTAGAGAAGACACAGTACTATTTATTAGATATTTAACACATACCAAATTTCAACACTTAGGTGTTGAAGAATCCTCACGTAACTGCTATAGGAAGAAAAAATATATTAACACCCTTTTAGGAATGTAAAACTGATATCATATAATAATTTAGAAAATAGCAAAAAAATCTTACCAAATCCAAATGTGGCTATTGCTGATGAAAATGATGCTGGTGTTTTAATTTTATGCAATGTAGAAATCATTTTTTCCATACTGCCGGTTACCTCTAGTGGTGATTTTTCATAATATTTATCAAAACATTGATTCATTATTGCTAACAACTCTGTATATCTTTTTCGGCTTTCATCAGGATCAAATATTGGTACATCCATAGTACTAGTTGAAGGTAGGCTTGTGTTCTCCGAAAATGACAATCTGTTTTCCTCATTTGTTTGTGTTAAAGCAGGGCTCGATTCAGTTTCAAGTGTAACAATTAAAGGTAAAAGCCACTCACCTTTACTGGGTTGCCCAGTAGCCACCAAATAAAGATTTTCTTTAATCTTAAGGTTATCTATTTTATTAATGTATTTGTCGGTGCAAAACAGAGCATTTGCCCAATGAATATGTTTGCAAATGGCACCTAAAAAAGAGAAGTTTTGGTAAGGATTTGAAAACACATATTAACAATAATTTTATAGGTATAGTATAGCATAATATTTTTTTTAGGAAACAAATTCAATCTTCTCCAAGCATAAATTTAAATCTTTATTACCTGTACTTCCTACTGTGCATGAGCATATGAGGACTTCAGTATTAACTAAATACAATAAATTTGGTTTGGTTTCACTCGGGACAGCAACTATGTTTTCATTAAGTTTCTTAATCAGTTTTATTAAATCTAAGGGAGGCATTTTTATGTCCTTATCCAAAAGATTTTTACTGGAGCGGTTGCTGGTAGCATCTAATAGTTTTCTCTCTGTGTAGTCCTCAAATTTGGTCAACATAAAATCCACCATTTGCATTAAGTTAAATGCTTTTATACGGGAAAAGATTTTGTCTTTGATTTGACGAATTGTACTTTCGGAATAATTATTGGTATGATTGTTTTTCATTAACACACCACGTCTATAGGCCTTCACCCAACATTCGCGTTTTGGCCACCAATAATTATTTAAATAATTGATGTATTTAGGGAATAATTTTGCATTTTTAACAGCTATAGCATATTTGGCTGTCGCCTCCTCCAAACTGTTTGCATATAGAATATTTTGAAAATCTCTATAAATACTTGTTTGCTCGTCTCTGGGAATACCATTTTTTGATTTTGAGAGCCATCTAAAGACTGCCTGCAAAACATGAAATATGCACAGCATTCTTTTTGACCCAGGCCAAGTATCGCCAATGGCTTTTTGTTCAGATTGAGAATCGTCTGTCATGAAAACTGCTGGACCTTCCTCATGTCCCCCAAAAATAGGTTCTCCTACAAGTTCCTTGATTATGTTGAAGCCAGATTTGATGGCATCTACACATTCAGATGTTGTAATTATAAGCCCTAGTGGTAAAGCTCCACATTCACTGTGTGTCAACATAACAAAAATCCGACTTCCATCCCTATCCATGGTTCCCGAAGAATCAATAAACACAATTTCAGAAGCAGCTTCCACATATTTATGGACTCTCTTCATAATAGGAGTACAAAT